TCCAGCGACCTTTCTTGACGTTTGTCCAGGTGATACCTGCATCCGCCGACATGAAGGTGTCTGCGTCGTCAAGAGACTCCAGTTTCGCCCCGACGTTTCCGACTCCAAAGATGAGGCCGACAGCTGTAGGAGCGCCGAAAGTCTTCCTTCGATCCTCGCGCTCCGTGTAGTGGTGGAGGTGCAAGGCACACGACTTGCCCCCTGACCTGTTGCACCTGTAGGGATTGCCATCTGCGTCATTGTGTGGAGGATTGAGATAGCTCCATCGAGCACCGTCGTTGTGAGAGATCTTGGTTTGTATCTCCTTCTTCTTGTCCTTTTTACTATCGCTGTTGGAGACAACATTGATAATTGCAACACCTTCAAGGCCCTGGACCTTCTCAAAGTCGACAAAGGATGCTGCGTTTGCATTGACATTGGTGGCACTAACAACGTACGATGTGCCATTCGAATTGCTCTTAACGATGGAGCCATAGTTCCAATCAGCGGATGGTTCTGCTGAGACAAACATATTAACTGCATGCGTCGAGCTATCCAGTAAAGTATACTGGCTGTCATGGTTCTTATGGAAGTCATGAGGGAATTGGGCTTTCTCGAAACGTTTCCCGTCAAGACTTGCAAAAGACTGCAGGTCCTCTTTATCGGTTGCATCCCTAACTAACACAATGAATTCGTTCATCGTTGCAAAGTTGGTCACTTGGCCATCGAAGGTTGTAATGTCTTCTTGAAAGAAGTCATCACTTGTCCTAACAGTGAAAGGGGCGTCGTTGTTTTCTTCGGTTCGAGCAAGACAAACCACCTGCTTCAAATTTCGGTTCCTATAGGTAGAACTTCCAGTGAACTCGCACTTGTTGGCGTAGCGGTGAAGGGTCGTCCAGTCGTCACCACGGTCGAGAGATATCCATGTCTGCTCAATGCAGCCACTTAGTCCCTTGTCGCATTTTTCGCTGCGCCAGATTAGCCAATCTCTCTTCTCAGGATGAAAGCTCAGCGGCAGGGAGCCCTTTGGAGGTTCAGGAGCGTCAAAGCTGTGGAAGGTTTGGCCTCTGTCAATGGTATAGATAACCTTTTTCGTTGGCGTGGTGAAATAAACAATATCCTGGAAATAACGATGGGGATAAATGCCATAGATGTCTTGTCCTTCAAGGATGCGAGTCCAATCTTTGCCTTGATTGCTTGACAGCCAGACTTTCTTGTCAATTTGTAGATTGCCGTCTACTAGGTGTGAGGCGCCCCGAGCAATGACCGTCTCATCGTTACTGGAAAAGCCCCTTTCAAGGTGTATCTTTTGCATCTCCTTCATGTCCGTATCAAATTCGAACGTCTTCATTGATACCTTTCCACTGGCGGGAGCAGACGGGGCGGAGATGGCATCAGAGCACTTTCTCTCTACCGGATCATCCTTCTGCGCGCCGTCGACCCGGTCGCAAGTATTGCCGGGAATCAGCCTCCAGCCAGAGCTTCCTTTGAACGTATCCTCTGGCTTTCCGCAGACACCTTCAGGTCGCGCAATAGGTCCCACCTTGACACATTCGCTACGATCTTCTCCGTTGCGCTGAAAGTTGTAATCGCATTCAAAATCGGCATCTGTGCATTTGCAATTCTCATATTTAGGGACTGGGTCCTTGAATTCGCTCTTGACAAAGCAGTCGGCAGTCTTCTTGCGGCGGCGATATGTTTGCTTGTGGCCCATAAGGCAAGTAGGGTTTCCATCAGAATCGACACGAGCATGCCAATCCTCCATGTCGTCATCGCCACAAGTGCGTTCATGGAGACCTTCAAAATCGATGGCGATGAAATGGTAAGAGCCACCGCTTACACCTAGAAGAAGGAATTTCAGGCTTGTCGAGTCTTGAGTTGTGGTGAGAATGGCGGGTCTAATCTTCAGTCCGTCAGGAAGCTTCTCCGACTTCCAGGTCTCACCGTGATCGAGGGAGTAGGAATATTCGTCAATGTCTGAATCCCTAGAGTCCTGAACAGCAACCAAGATTGAACCTGAATCACCAAACTCGTATTTGTGGGGACCTTTGAGCGCTTCCTTCCAGCTCACCCCAGCGTTGTCCGAGACATATAGATTGGCCTTCGTGAAGTCGCCCAGCTGGTCCCCGGTGTTGCCGTTTGCCATCGCCAATCCAGGAGCGGGGCTTGAGAACACACGTCCTGTATTATCAAGCTCAGTCTCGGAATGGACATGGATAGTTTCCTCACCAGCCTTGATGTTGCTAAAGGTTCGGCCATCATCAAACGTGATTTTACTCACGATCTTTTTATCGGCGCCTTTTTCATCAACATCGTGACCGTTCTCGACCACATTGACCAGATATACACCCTGGATCCCGCTGATCTTCTCAAAATCAACATGGCCCCTCTTGTTTCGGTTGGTATATGCTACGTTCTCGGTGAAGTAGGTACCATTCGAGTTACTGGTGAATAATACTCCCATGGGATGAGATGGGTGCGAGGTTAGAGCGTCGATTTGAATGCTCGAATTGGTGCTCTCAAGGACAGTGTAGGCCTCGGTAAGCATATGCGAATGGTCGTGCTTTTCGGCTGTGGGGAACATGGCACGGTGCCACGTCTGCGTGTCCTTGGATACATAGAGTACCATCTCGTCCACCAAGCTGGAAGAAGTAGCAACAAGGAGATAGCTCTTGACGACTGCCAGGTTAACGACACCATCGACCTCCTTGTTGGAATTCAGCTTGGGCTCGAACTCGGCGATCTTGCCATCATTGGATTCGAAGAAAGAGTCTGAGATGCGCAGCTTTTGGTCATCGATAGTTGAAGCAAATCCCTCGGCAACAATGCACATTGTCCTCTTCTTGTCGAGGTCGTCATCGCCAGTGGTGAACTCGGGAGAAGATTTGGCCCAGTGGCAGCCAGCAGTGGAGGGACGAAGAGTATGGACAGATTCAAAGCCGTCGGTCGTATATTTGGCCTCCCTCGAGCAGAAGATGCTTTCGCAGGACATGCCGTTGAAGATTATTCGCTTAGGGTCGCTGGCGTGGAAGCTGAGAACATCAGCTTCATAGAAGCTGGGAATGCTGGCGCTGTTCCACGTCGTCCAGGACGCGCCTCGGTCCTCGGTCTTGAAGTGCTTTTTGCTATCTGTCAAAATGAAAGCTGTCTTGGGTTCGTATCGATGCATGATCAGAGCGGTTGCAATGCCGTCAGGGACGCCTTTGGCTGTGTTCCAGGTGACGCCTGCGTCATCGGATCGGTAGACATTGCCCTCCTCGTAATCGTGGAAGACGATGGTGTCGCTATCCTCGAAATAACTGATCCCAAGCGGCGGGTTGTTCATCGACGTCGTTTTCACAGTTGGGCTATCTTTTGCGACCACAGCTGAGAGCAGCACTCCAGCTATGGTCAGGAGCTGGATGCGCCATGAGGCTGCAGCCTTGCCCCCGAACCTCATCTTATCGGCGCGGAAAGTGGGAAGATCATGGAAGAGTGCACAGAAGCGAATGAGGTGCCACGGCTGATGACAGGATGGTTGGAATTCGAATTCGAAATGTCTAGTGGTGCGCTTTCTTGGGGGTCTCGCGGGTGAGATTGCTGAGTGTTGGTAGAAAGAGGTGACGTGCACCAGTGCTACGTCTTGCCGTTCACGCTACGTACTGCTTCACAATAGGCCGGGAGGGGCGGATACGGTTACCTGTGTGTGGCGCAGTACAACGCAGCTCCAGCTAAGATAGGTAGAGCTGTGGCGCATGCTGTTAGGCATCCTCTTTAAGCTTGAGCAACTCATTGAAGAAGACGTTTGCAGCTCTTTTTATGGTTTGCTTGGGGCATTCTCGGTTGCGAAATTGGAAGCCACTATTGAGTTGTTCCTTCCCCCTTCCGTCAACTGGGATGAGATATTCGTGGAATTTCGGCGCTGCACTAGATAAGCTACCCCAAGTAGTGAGTCGCATCTTACGTGGACAGAACAGAGCTGTCTGCCTACAAAGTACAGATTGAACCATCCAAGTGCACAGGTAGCAACCCAAGTGGCCAGGCAAGCGTTATGCATCATCCATCTGCATTGACTCTGTTCGACCCCGGCAAGAATAATTCATGGCATAAATGTAAAGCTCACCGAACAAGAGAGCATTGCATTCCTTGGCAGAGCCTGAGGGCCAAGCAGTGATCTAAGGCAGGTACAAGCCAGAAATGATCTCGACACTAGCCTAAAACATGAAACAGCTCCACTTATGCTCACTCTATATCAGTCCCTTGGCAGACGCGTCTCGCTCGAGCTGTTGGCGTAGGAGTGCCCGAGAATCACTCTTGCCCCTTCCAGCGCGTTCTTCGACCGGTGTCAGATCAATGCAATACTCACAAACATTGTTGTTTTCCCTGTCATCTGGCATAGAAAATGGAGGGCCTCCTTGCCAGATGTCAACGGCCGCAGCCAGTTGGTAATACGTTGTCGGTTGGTGTTCTGACCTGTGCTAGGACCCCTTCTCCATCCTTTCATTTTACCCGCAAACAGGGTCCGTAGAGGGCGTAGAGGCAGGCTTGGGTCGAGGATGAACGGCCAGGAGCGGAGGCCTGCATACATACTGAGACGTTGCGACTCCTTTTGTATTCAGAAATGTCCAACTAGGGACGTATTTGTACTGGCTCTCCTACATCTAGAATCATTCACCCTTGTAGTCGCAAACCGAGATTTGATCAAACCAGCAGCTTTAGGAAAGGCGACGCACAAATTTGTACTGCCTGCCTCCCCAGCCTATCCCCACGTGTTATTGTTTACTTAGTACCGGCCTTTCTAGTCGGCTGGCAGGTAGCAACGGCCAACCAAAGCGGTACTAATAAAACAGACCACCCTCCACCCACCCTCACCTTCCTGTTCACCATCCTCCTCCCATCCGCCATCCCTCGCCGTCAGACCGAATCCCAGGTTGACAAGGAGCCCTTCGCGCCCACGTCTCCTGCACGACGACAACGCCCTTGCGCCATCTGCCTTCAACACCCAGACCCCCGAGCGTTCGACTCATCCCGTGGCGCGCATTATGGCGGCGGCATACAACCAGTTCCTGGCCTCGCCCAGCTCCTCGCTGCTGGCTGACAGCGCGTCGCTGCATTATGTTCCAACCACCACCACCTTCTCTGGCGCAACGGAGGTTATCAAGCATCTGAACTCGCTGCACAGACAGCTCAAGATCAAGAAGCAGGACATCCTCACTGTCATCGAGGGCGAGTCCGCGGCTGTCATCGAGGTTGACACCACACTCGAGTTTATCACGAGCGGGGGCGCCTACCTACCCGGTCTCGACGACAACTTCTTAAGCGACCGCGTCGCATACCTGCCAATTGTATGTAACCATCCTGAAAGCCTACCTACTGCCATGCGCTAACTTCAATTGAATATAGACCCATCTCGTTTTCTTCAACGCGGCCGGCAAGATTTCGCAGATCCGTCTCCAGTGGGACCAGGGTGCGCTGCTCAAGCAGATCGAGATCATTGGAAAGTCCGGTCGAAACTGGCCTATCAAGGACAACAGAGAGCAGATCAAGTTGATCCAGAGCTGCCAGAAGGCAGTTGCGGCTGGAACCGGAGCCGCTAGTATCCCGCAAAACCAAAACGAACACCTTAACCGAGCGCGAGGAAACTCTACACATGCCCTCCGTGACCCCCATGCCACTTTACACATGATGGCCTCGAGGGAGGAGATTGAGAACGAGTCTATGGCGTCGGTAGTTTCTCCATTCGGCGGCAAACGCCCTCAGCAGAGATCTTTCACCCAAATCCTAGGCGACGAGCCAGAGGAAGAGGATTCTCCCAGCGCCAACAGGCATTCTACTGTTTCGCCCGCAAAGGCTGGCCAGGGCAAGAACTTCCAACCCATGCGTTTATTTGACAGGGATCAGGAGCACCCTGAGGACGAAGACACTCCCAAAGGGCGCCCATCAAGCCAGTACATCCGCCCCAACCCACGAAAGTTCCAGCACTTTGACTTCGCGGACGGATCTGACCCACAGGATGCCCCTGAGGCTGGTGTCACGATTGACAAGCGTCAAAAATCCAAGCATGATAGCCAGTGGGATTTCGAGGATTTCGTCACTCCCTCAAAGCCAAAGCCTTCTAAGGGTGTTCGTTATCAAGATGTCAGGCACTGGGATACTGATCGAGAGGTTCTCAAGGGTGAGACCCCTGCCCCACCAGCTGGCAAGGGTCGTCGCGATGCCGAGTCGCACTTCGAGTTGCAAGACGATGGGGAGAGGGTTGTCCACCCCAACAACAAAAACATGCGCCAACGTGGCTCGGTTCACAACGATCAATTAAATCTCTACAAGGACCGAACTCTGCAAGAGGGGGCCAGCCCAGAACCTAACAAGGCCCTGGGCAACATTACCAACCTGGCTCACCGCGGTAAGGACTTCGACCCTCACTTCACCATGACGGATGATCCCGCCCCCGAAGAGGCCCCTGCATCACGGCATGTTCCTGAGGGACGCCAAAAGGCTGTCAAGATGATGGGTGCCAACTGGTCCGCCTACGACGAGTCCCCTAAGCAAAAGGAGAACCAGACAGGGGCCCCCACAGCCAAGGATGACTCTCGTATTCACATTGCCGGTGACGGAATGGGAGGCCGAAAAGGAACCAACCGAGATTGGCTCTACGGCGAGGAGGCAGAGCAGCAGGCTCCCAAGCCTGCCCCCACGCGGAAGACGGGCCTCACATCTCAGCAGAGGAGTTTCTGGGATTTTTAAACCAAGATAGCAGCGTGTGTTGTAAAATTACGGTTGGCGTGTTTGATAGGTCATACGCCGGGGGCGATAACAAATCCTTGGGAGGGAGCCGTTGTGCGCGGAGTTGCTATTGATGATTACATGTCTACAAATTTTTCACTCATGATTCATGGGAGATACTGTTCGTCGTCCTTTTCTCATTTCCTTAGCTCATGCCATACGGGCACTATTATCAGAGAGCCCCTTTGTATGTACTCCTTACCTAGGTAGTCTCTGTCTGTCTGATAGAGCACTGTAACACAAGAAAACTCTAAAGGAGAAAAAAATGTTGAAATTTATACCGAATAATCATCATCACAACAGCCGAGGTACATAAGCACGATCCATTACATGACTTGGGTACAACAGTCCAATGAAAGAGATCCAATCTTATCTCATGTCACGAAGATCTGGGCGAACAAAAAGTACATCTGAGAATGCGGTAGCCGGTTGTAAACTCAGGCATGAAAGAAGAAGAAAGCACGCTACCTAATCCAAGTTGAAACCAACTCTCGAGAAACCCCAAAACAAGACCATTATTCCCACCCATTTAAATCATACGCCATCCATCATAAAGCATCAATATATGGTACCATACCCTAGCTATTTAAGAAAAAGAAGTGCGATTTTGGCCCGCCCTCAGCACAGGAACTTGTAAACCTTCTTCCAGGTCGGCCACGCGGAGCGCTCCTGCTCCTCGTGGGCGTGCAGGATCGGGACGTTGAAGTCCCGGCGGCCGGTGTCGACATCCATGTCCCGCGTGCGGACATAGGTCGTCCGATAGAAGAGCTTATGGAGCACGTAGAAGATGAGGATGATGGGCCCGCCCATCCACTTGAGGAAGAAGGACCTGGCGATCTCGCCAGAGGTCATCTGGGCCCAGCCGACGGGGAATGCGCCGACCCAGAACTGGGCGGCGAGCACGGCGATGTTCATGATGAGCCCTACCCACGAGCCGAGGACGCCGACCTGGGAGCGGAAGGGGAGCTCGGCCGTGGTGCGGCCGCGGGCCGCCCAGGCGTGGCGGAAGCGGATGTGGCACAGGCAGATGGAGCCCCAGGTGAAGATGGAGGAGAGGCCGGAGATTGCGAGCAGCCAGTCGAGGACGTCGTTTTGCGCGCTGAGGTCTGCGAGGAACGAGAGGAAGCCGAAGGCGCCGGCGACAGCTAGTGCCGCGAGCGGCCGTCCCTTTCGGTCGATGTATGCGAGGAACTTGGGCGCTTGGTTGAGGTTGGCGAGAGCGGCAAGGGTACGTGAGGAACCGAATACGGCGGAGTTTCCCACTGACAGAACTGCAATCAGGATGACCGTGTTCATCACGGATGGGAGAACTTCGATGCCAGCCGCCTCGATTGCGATGACGAATGGGGAGGCTTTGGCATCGGCGTCGCTGGCTCCATCGGTAAGCCGAGGGTTATCGTGTTTGACAAGAAGACCGACGAGAGTAAGTGCCGCAATATAGAATATGGTGATTCTCCAGAATACCTGTTTTATGGCTGTTGGGAGCGACTTTCGGGGGTTGATAGTCTCAGCAGCCGCAAGCCCGACAAGTTCCGTGCCGGTAAATGAGAATGCCGCCGTAACAAAGACACTACACAGACCCTTGAAGCCATTCTTGAAAGCACCTGGATTGTGCCAATATTCGCCTCCAATATAGCCGCGATCCGGGGTTCCACCCAAGTTCAAGACAATACCCAGGAGTCTAAGGCGGGCCCATCAGTTAGACTTTGGATCATTCCAATAAGGAAAAGAGATGGGGACGCCCGAAGGGAGGGATAGTCAGGTGAAGAGCATGAACAATACTGACATAAAGCTTATTACAGCAACCACTTTGATGATGGAGAAGATGAATTCAGCCTCACCATATACTTTGATGCCAAACATATTGATGAGGATGATTACGGTAAGGAACACTGAGACAAAGATTGCCCGGGTGAGCCTCTCATCCCAGTAGCCGATCGTCATGGCAGCCGCAATTATCTCCAGCGGCAGAACAGTCAGCCACTGCATAGCATAACTTAAACAGCCGATTGTTAGCGGGACACGCCCGGGGCGAGGTCTGGATTTCTGACAAACTTACTTCCACCCCATGGCAAAGCCCCAGGAAGGGTCCAGAAAGCGTGTCGCCCAGGAAGAGAAGGATCCGGCTATAGGGAAAAGCACGGCAAGCTCACCCAAAGCCTGGCATGTGCAATACAGCATGGCGCCCACGATTGAAAAGGCGAGTAATAGAGATGCGGGCCCGCCAGTAGCCAGGGCCTTACCAGAGGCCACGAAGAGCCCGGTGCCTATCGAGCCTCCAATGGCAATCATTTGAAGGTGGCGCCCCTTCAGCTTCCTCGCCAGGCCCGTCTGTACCGTCTCGAGGGTGGCGAGCCGCAGGTCGTAGTAATGCGCGCCGTCGTGCTCGCGGAAGGAGGCATTCTCGTGGTGGTTGAAGTTCTCATTGCCAAAGAAGTTGGAGGCCGGGTCGCGCTTGAAACCATCGATGAAGCGCTCGAAGCGCTTGGGGGGTATGCCATCACCGAAATCGGGCTCCCTCATGCTGTAGGAACTTCCCTGGGTGAGGGTGTCGTCTTTGAGTTTGATACTGTTGAGAGTGCCCAGTTCGATGTCACGGCGCGGAGCCATGGCCGCGGAAATTGGGGGCGAGCGTCTTGGCCAACCCCGACTGCTGCTATGTACTTGGTTCGGTTGCGGGACTCGTCGAGAGTGCGGGCGGGCAGGCCAGGGCCAGGCCCATACGACGGATCAGAAAGGAATGACGATATTGCAGGGATCATTCAGTGCGGGAGGATCTCTGCGACTCGAAGGCGCATCTCATCCAGAGGGCTCTGTCGTTCCACCGGAGGGCGCCTAAGGGAGCGGAAGTTGGCGAAGTTGATTAGAGTTGGAGCGACGAAGATGGGGCGTGTGGGTGGACGCATCCACGAAGCACATGTGAGCTGCAAGATGCGAGCCAAGGTTTGGGGATTGGGGGTGCGTGTAACAGTCTGCTCCCTCTTGTCCCGCAGACGCACAGGCCAGGAGCAGCAGGACGATAAAGAATCTCCCCCCAATTGAAGAATCATACAGGGAGGAAATGCAATGATAAGCAAAGGTCCCTAGGATGGCAGCCAAGGCGAGGAAACATGGTATCTCGGCTATGCGCAATTGGACAATGAGTGCCAGAGCCTTATCATCACCCCAGCTCTGCTCTCATTACTCGCGTGTGGGTTGATCTGAGGCAGCCCCTAAAGTGTCTTAGTCAGTGGGCGGCTGATCCACTAAAACATGTTCTTACTAGACTGTTTCTCTACAAGGCGGGACTTTCCAGTACTTGGTTCTTGCGCTAAAGCTCACCTTCAGAGGGTACCCTGGACTGGTATCAAAGTAATGGTACCTCCCCGCACTTAGCCCGGTAAACAGCAACATATGCCCGGCTCTTACCTATTTGGGAATATACTATAGCCTCATGTTGTAGAGACAAACATCCTCAAGCCACAATCTGCCTAAAGCACAGAAACAACACAAATCTAAGGCGAAGCTTCACGCTTATACTCAGAAGCTCAGGGGCAATCTCAATGAAATTTCTGGAATATCAGAATTCGGGGCAACCGAGGCCATCGAAACTGCTATGTGTTTTGCTACTGCCCTCCATCTCGACAAAGTCAGAGACGCTAAAATCTCTCTATTTGTTGAAGCACACAAAACTTCTACAAGTTTCGGTCAAATTTCACTCTGTTGGTTCCAATTTCCAAGCCATGCATGTTCAAAACAAGCTGGCCAAGTGTACCTGGATCAAATGTTCAAGCTGCTGAAAGAAATCCTCCACCACCGCAACACGGGGATTACAACCACACTTCATTATCTAATTCAAAAATATACTTTTCGTGCTTTACATGCGCTTTCCTGTGAATTATGCTTTTCATTCAGTGAAACACACGATGTTAGTTTATTGTTAACTTCGTGAGGAGATGACTCCTCTTTCCCTCTCCATATCTTTCGGGCGTCTCTAGCAAAGGCAACGACGATGATGGGAAATTTTGCTTTTTGAATTTCCCTTCGAACAGAAAACTTTGAGTCTCTAGTCGTTCCAATGTGTCTACAAAAGGCGAGTCTCTCTCTCCCTCGTTCGTTCAGACAAATTCATCCCTCTACATCAATTCTCAAGGATCTTCTTCAGACTTGACACCTACCTACCTACTCACAAGATATCTTTGTATCAAAACTTCTTCCATAAGCCCGAGGGACTTCTTTACTCTCGTTCACCTCAAAACATCGTTACATCCATCAGTCACACTGAACCCCAAGGTTCTCTAATTCACACATCTACGCTTAAAAATATCTCGACACCAATCATTCCCCTTGAACACCAAGGTCTTCTATTTTCACATATACACTTCAAGATATCTTTTGTATACACTTTAATCCTTAAGCTCAAGGTACTGTCACTACAAGAGAAATGGTTCCTTCAACCATGAATCCTTCCTCGGGAGAAACCACCACCAATTCCCTTCATGCCAGTCTTTTGAAAGGCTCTCACCCTGAGCATTCGCTCCCTTCCACTAAGTCCAATCCTCCTATGGGCCCATCCCTGCGCGCAATCGGCGAGGAGAGGCGTGATATGGGAAACATCCGAGCACTCTTTGGCTATTTCCCAAAGGGAAAGAAATATATTGACAACAAAACTCTCCGCGAAATATCCCACTTGAGGGATGTTCTCTTCCTGAGCGTGCACATCTGTCCATCCAGGATCAAGCACCAGGGCTACGTCGACGTCGGGATCTCCGTCTTCGACACCCGCTACCTCGACAATGGCATGCGAGCCGGCAGAAAGGATGAAGAATGGGCCATGGCGGCCGTGCAGTCCTACCACTTCTGCCTCATCCCCGGCAACAAATGGGGCATCACACTCCCCAAGAGGAGGTTCAACTTTGGCCACTCGACCGTGATCATGCCCGAACATCTACCCGCCTTCATCGCCGGCATCATCAGGGGCCGCGACTACGCCGTCGTCGTCTCGAACCCGCAGTCGCGCCCCGAGAGTCTACAAAAGTTGGGCCTCGACCTGGGCCTCGATCCCCTCTGCTCCGTCGACGTCGTCGGCGCCTACAACCTCGTCATGGAGAAGCACCACACCGGCCTCAGCAACATCATGTCCGAGATGCGCCTGTTCCAGATGTGGACCAACCACCCGGGCAACGCGGCTCACTACAACCTCCGGGCCCTCATCGGCCTCGCGACCCTCGACGCCGCCAAGAAGGAGTGGGAGTGGTCGACCGACTTCATGTGGTACATGACCTTCCTCGCTAAAAGCCCCGAGGCCATGTTCACCGAAGGCTGCAGAGAGGAATGGGTCGACTGGTTCTTCAAAGCACACCTCAAAACCGTTACGGGTCAAGATGTCGCTGCGCATCGAAAGGTGGAAGCCAGAATGTGGGACGCCAAAACGATCTAGCAGATGGGCCGGCGTGGCTACCAGGAGTGGCTGCGGATCACTGGATGTTCTAAAGGATGGTTTTGATTTCCAGGTTGCAGTTGGTTTCGTTGCTTTCGTGCGCTCTGCTCTATAATGCTGTATAATTAATTGGGAAAAGAAGAAGAAAAAAGGGGGAAGAAGAGGGAGAAGTTTGAATATTTTGATTGGGATGAGAGATAACAAGCGTGGTATGTTCATAGCGAGACAAAGATCGCAAGCGTGGTATATTCGTAGCAAAACAATATTTATAAATTGACAAAAATTGGTCTATTTAAGCATCATCTGCACCTGCATCTGCATCCGCATCTACATCTTCAGTAATGAGATTTCCTTGTGCGTCCCGGGGCAAGCGCTTCCACCCGGTAGAGAAAAGCTTGCCCATGTTGAATCGAGGCAAAGGATGAGCCTCGGTGTTCAACACGACCTTGTCGAGGGGGAGAAGGTCATTGGGCGAGAAGAGTAGGTATAAATATTTCAACGTCTCGGCCTAAATTTCAGAGTTAGTCAGTGCTGTGCTTGAAGATGGAGGGTGTTGTGAACATCATACCAGCCAGAAGCTTTCCATGTTGTCCTTGACTCTTGGTGGAACAATGTTCGCATTTGACAAGCTGGTGAATCCTCCGTTGTCTTCGACGGCGGTGTGTTCCAAGAATGACTCAAACATCTCCCAGCCCCATTCGCGATACTTGACATCACCAGTGATCCTCCACATGTAAAACAGACTCTCCACAGTTTCTGGTCGCTGGAGGTTGTGTACATCCGCTGACTTGACGCTGAAGTCCTTGCGCCACTCCGCGTGGGGGTCGGGGTCAAAGTACTCCGGAGGGTTGTGGGCGGCATCCGCGGGAGCTGGGGGGTTGGCAATATTGAAATACGTGATCTCAGCTGCCAGGCCCGTCGCCATGTACTTGTACATGCCCCAACATGTCTGTGTGAGCTCTCGCGCAAGTTTCATATCCTCTTCCTTCTCCTTGGACCACGAAGGCAGCTTGCGGGCTTCCGCCTCAGTGAGGCCTTCTGTGACCGCAAGGGCAATAGTTCCCGGCAGGAAACAAACGAGATGGTCCATTTTGGGTGACAGAGGGCCATCAATTCCACCTGGTCGCTCCCCTACAATAGTAAAGCCAGATGGCTCGGTGTAAGTGAGGAGGTGCTTGCGGATCCCGTGCATGGACTCCTTCCATAGTTCCTGGTATACCGGCTCCTCCTTGTTCGTCTGGAGGTATTGTTTGATGAGATACTCGTAGTAGGAATCTCCACGACTGCCAAGTCGAATATTCTCACCCGTAAATTCGCCATTAGTAGCGTAAATGAAGATGGGAACGAGCCCATCTTTGACATTGTTCTCGTCAACAATCTCCATGACCTTCTCCACCTTGTCCCAGTAATACTTTTCACCGGTAAGCTTGGCTAGATACTTGAATTCAAGCTGCACGCTTGTGGCCTCGGCCGTCGAGGCCGCGCCCATGTCAGCGTGTGAGGGGATGCCTTTGAACTTCTCCAAGTTGACACTGGAGTAAGGGATTCCAGAGGGTGATTCAAAGGCACTCATCAGGCGGTCGGCCAGGTCTTTGCCTTTTTCCAGATAGAGATCCTCCCCGAGGCTGCCAGGGCCCTCAGCCGGGAGCGGCGCAAGCTCGGGGAACTCAGTCGACAGGTAATGGGCAGAGAGCAAACCTCCCAGCATTCGGATGGTCGTTTCGAAAGTGCTCACGTCCTGATTCTGGTTCCAGGTCAGGCTCGTAGATATCCACTCCCTGGCATGCTGGATGCGAGAAGTCAAGTTCATCAACATCATTGTGTCCAACGAATCGATGATGATCCATCCCATGCCCTGTGGGGTCATGTTCTTCCCCGTCTTGGTCACAGGGTGGTACTCGTCATAGCCTAAGATATGCGCTGTCAGTTCCTCCCGTTCCGTCTGTGCGATGATGGGATTGCTTGGTTCCTACGTACCCCAGGCATAACGCTCGTACGAATCCCAGCTCAACTCGAAAGCCTCCACAACCTTCTTGCGCCTCGCATCCCAATCGACATTGCCTCCCGAGGGCCTCTCCCACGGCCACGAACGCTCCGCAGTCCAGGCCTCCTTTCTCGAGGACGAGAAGAAGCCTAGAAGGTACAGCAGAAAGATGAAGCCCAGTGTAATGCCAAGCAGATTCCGCTTCTTCCTCCACCAACGACGGTTCCTATGCGTCGGTGTGTGGTGAAATGGTTTATCTTTGTACATGGGCAGCGAGTCCTTGTCGAACAAGCCATTGACCCGGTCCTTGACCTCGTGCATAACCTTCCTCGTCGGGTTTCCTCGCAGCGAGGACCAGGCCGTGTCCTCAAGATCTCGACTGTTAGCCTCGAAGTTGGGGACGTTTCGGGGGACGTCGAAGGCCATTTTCTCGGGTTCGCTTGCGCCAGCCTTGTCCTTACTGTCTCCGAAGTGCTGTGAGAGTGGCGAGGCCGGTGCCTTGAAAACGGTCTTTCGGCGGATATCGAAGGGGTCGCGGATCATGGGACTGGCTGTATCATATCGTATCGTACAAGGAAGAGAAACAATTGATATACAACACACAACGCTTCGAGGGCAAAGAACAGAAAATATAAAGAAAAAAGCAACGATCCCTCCCAAGGAAACCAACTTCCTCCGTGGTGTCCGCGCAGGCGACTGAGAAACAAAGGCGCAGGTGTGGAAGGGGAATGCGATGCGGCCACCTAGCACTTTATCCAAGTTGTACGCGACTGGCGCTGGCACTTGTTTGGGGTGGTTACAGCGGTCGGTAGCGCTGCTTGGCAGTGAGAGTACCCACTGTAGAATATCTCGACAACCGCTCGCCCCAGCCAATCAACCACATGTCCATTATCCCTTTTCTTCAACGATATAGGACATCTAAAAACATTGAATGGATGGGGCTAGAATCCATCACTCGGCGGATAACGGCTGCGGTGCACCAAAACTACATAGACTGCTTCGGCCATTGTTGGTGGACTTCTATGTCTTACTCAAACAGCCACTATTGGCAGCCAAGGGCATTCAAGCAATTCTCCCAGCGATATATAGCACAATATCCAGTAGTAGACTTATGTATTGCAAAAAAACTCTATACAGTAATTGTACTTGCGACCAGGCTGATATATACACTTTCTGGTTACATTGTGTTCCTACATTTATCCTTCGCCATCAGTATCCATCTTTATAATGGAATCTAACAGGCGAGAATCTTCTCCACTGCTGCCTCAGCAACAACCATGACAATGGCCTGGCTGTTGCCAGAAGGGAGGTCAGGATGAATACTGGCATCCGTGATGAACTAGAATCTCCGTTAGCCTTTCTCTCTTACACACATGCCTGAATCTAAGTCACTCACCAGGTTGTCCGTCCCGTAGACCTTGGCATTCGTGTCAACGACAGAGGAACCACCCTTGCGGCCGTCGTCAGTTCCCAGCTTCGTGGTGCCGACAAAGTGATTGCCCCCAGTCGCTGCTTTGATGACGGCAGACGTGTTGGTGTAGCCGACAATCTGGAATCCCTGGTTGGATGTGATATCCTTGACGAGGCTGTCGACAAGGGCGGTAGCTGCTTCGCGATCGCCCTCGGTCTGGAGGTAAGGACTCTGCACGACTGTCGTCTTTCCATCTGCTGCCAATCCCAAAACACCCTCTGAGGTCAGGCCGTGGGTCTGGTAAACCTTCAAAGAAACCAGACCAGTGTCTGAAGGGGCTGCTGAACCTTGGTAGTAACGGGTAACACCATCGCTGCCAACATTGGAAGTAAAGAAGACCATTCTGTGTCTTCCCTGGGTGAGAACGCCGGAGCCAGTGCTTTCATAAAGATCGATGTTCTTGGTATCGGTTCCATCGAGGACAATGGTGCTATCCAGAGGGCCCCAGGTCTCGTTGGTTTGGATGTTCAAAGTGAAGATGTTGTGGTCCTTGAAGCTCTTGCCAACTGGCAGCTCAATCCATTCCTTCTCATCTGGCAGGGTAACGCCAGTCTTCTTAGCGGTCTGGATCTGCTCCTTGGGACCAATACCAGAGTTGAAAAGAACCTTGGGAGTAGACATGGCACCAGCGGCCAGGACTACCCGTCCGTTCCTGTTCAGCTGGACAATCTCGCTGCTTCCGTCCGAGTTCTGAATCTCGACTCCCGTCACACGCGAGCCCTTGCGCACAAGACGGATGACATTGCTGCCAAGGCGAAGAGTGAAGTTATCCCGCTGCTGGGAGAAGGGCAGGTAGGTCCGTACAGGTCCAGCCCGCATGGCATTCTTGATGTTCCAGGTAGGGTGGCTGTAAACCTGATGCTTCTCATCGGCTTCCTTGGACATATCGGTCGCCTTCCAGCCAAGTCCGTCGAAAAAGGGAGCAAAGGTATCGTACATGCCCTGATCGTAGCGCTGGCCATCCTCAGATGGGGTGTTTGAACCCGGGTTGCGCTCGTAAAACTTCGCTGCCGCAGGGGCGATATCATTCCACTTCCAACCCTTGGGCCACTTGTCGTCGAAATCTCTCGCTGGTGGATGGACGAACACCATAAAGTTGACAGTGGCACCGCCGCCAAGAACACAAATAGCGGAAGCCGCAGTATCCTTGCATAAGTACTCGTTCCAGAGATCAAGTCCACCCACCGCAGATGTAAGTCCAGGTACGTCAATGGGCGTCAGGGTATCATTCCAGACCAGAGAGTGGTTAGATCCTGTTGCTATCGTAGGACCTGGCCCTCTCTCGATCAGCAAGACCTGCTTGTTTGTCTCGGAGAGGCGATCAGCGGTGATGATTCCCGCTGGTCCACCACCAACCACGATATAATCATAGCTTTGTTTGCTCAGGGCAGCCAGAGCGCTGCCTGCAAGGGAGAGGGCTAGCAGGCCAAAGTTGGACACCGAACGCATGGTGATGGAGGTTGTCAAAAAATGATGGAAAATCATCCTCTAAGACATCCTCTACATCACCGCTGGTATCGGAGACTTATATATTTCTACATGACTGCCAACCGGAGTGCCAATCTCCGAAAAGTCGAGCTGACCGATTCCAACGTAACGATTTTAGACGTCGGTGTTCGTTCCGAAGTCTTTGCAAGGCTGATGCTAGTCCGCTCTACATTTAGCCATTGGGTGACCTTTTCCGGACAGCCTACCTAAATGGGAGCATGATAATAAGGGTGTCGTCAAATTTTGCCTCTCGTTTCACAATTCGGCATCGTCGTTGCGCTACTTTGCCCTCTAGGAGGATAGTGGAAACAGGATGGCTTCGGTGGGTATGCCGAGCCTTTTCTCTGCTCAAGCCTTCATGTTTCCAAGTCGGCGACATACTCGGCAATATGGATAAGTCGTGCGTAGCCTTTGATGGTTTGGGGATGTGTAGTTGCGCAATATCATGGGAGATCCGGCAGCTCAAGAGTGACATCACAAAATTGATTTGTACCTCTTCCAAAGCTCGCCAAATGGCTTCCTCTTTGTTAAGAAATAAGAAGGGGAGTATAGGAAACCCTGTGGATTCGGATTCCACGGCTTCCGATCCACCTTATGTCATTATCAATCTAAGCGCAGGTTTCCATCTTCTAGAAGCCATTGGTGCGATGCCGTTTGAGGCTCATGGTCCGGTTGGGGCTCATGGTTTGGTCGGAGATCCTTCGGCGGACCCATCTCTGCTCCGAGGCGAAGGCGATTCAGCCCAGCCCTGAACCCGCGATTAATTAAGAAATTATCAGGTACAAACAGTTCATGATTCAGTGTTTCGTGCTAATGCCCTCTTCGAGACATGCTCGGATACATGGTTGATTCGTCACGTGATTTGGATGGCCTTTGAAACGACTTGTCTCGGTGTTATGTGAGTAAGTTAGTGTCGAATAGATTACTTGGTAGAAATATGACCTACTGGTAGCTAATTCACGCTAACATCTTTTGGGACCAGCCTTGAATATCATAGATAGGCATGTTACTGCCAAAATCACCATGGTGTCGTTAGCTAGGCACACTTAGGATGGCTAAGATAACCATATGCAGTTGATACGAGATTAAAACTATCAACTACAAATACGTGGTCATTTGTAATGATACTATCAAAACACTCCGTATGTGTGGAGAAAAAGTAAAATACCGAAATGGAGAGAGTTGCTGCTTTAATACCTGCCTTACCGATTACTTCTGACATATTTGAATAGAAATGAGGAGGACTAAAACCATGGAAACTCATTTCAGTATTAAAATCACCTTTTTTAAACTACCCACCCACTAAGCTATTGTTAAAGCATACTTCATACTGATCGTAGGAGTTGTGGATGTATTACCTACGTGGTGGGTGATCGGAGTGAGTCTAGGGTAGGGCGAGGAGCGAATGGAGTAATTCGTTAAGAAAACCAGAATTACTCTTGTGTGATTTGAAGTCGAAACACGTTCAAATCACATACTGAGAAGAAAAACACTTGTACAATTCCAAGGAAACAATTTATTTCTCATTTCGCCCCCACAACTCCGCGAAAGTTCTGCTTTACATACTGGATACCCCTTGAAGATTATCGGCATGGAAATAGCGAACTTCCCCTCTCTCACTGGCGAGGAGTTCCTCGAGGCGTGCCACCATCTCGACGGAGCTTACTGCAGAGCCCAGCTGGGACCTCTCCGAAAACGCTGGAAACTGAGATTGCGAATGGCGGCCCAGGCAGACTTTCTCTTTCAGGACGTCCCAAATTCATACATTGAAATTACGCGGCCGCTCGACCCAGAAGATCTCGACATCGACCTCGAGAGTTTGACCATATCATCCGGAAGGGAGGAAAGAGGGGAGAATATGAGCGGGATGGACCAAGAAATGATGGAAATTGAGGAATCTGACCAGGCATGAATGAAGCATTATGAGATTCATTTCTCCTATATCTAAAGGTATCGCTAACTGGATGCGTAGGCAGTTCTGAGGAAACCAGTAATCCGGAAAGATGGAGCTATCGTCTGCTATGAGATTCACCTGCACCCCACGTATCGGATGCCATGCCTGTGGTTCCAAATACAAGGGTTGGACACAGGAGAGTCCCAGTATGATCTTGACACAGTGTTTCGTTATTTGGTCCCTGAACAGTACAAAGAAGGTCTCCGCCGGTATGGAGGTATTGGGGGCATATCCCTTGATGTAAGTAAAATAATCCGGAGGCCGGCGAAGCTTGAAGGAGAAAGCGACAGGCTGTATGAAATGCTGGTTGCTGACGACTGTTTCTATAGAATCATCCAGTTAAGGGCGATCCGTGGTTCTTTGTCCACCCTTGTTTAACTGGGGACAACATGTCGGCTTTTAAGTGCCAAATAAGTGAATATCTCATAATCTGGCTTGGTCTCGTGGGAGGCTGCGTGGGCCTTTGGGTGCCCAGACAAATGGCAACCATTAAGTAGAGTAGGCAAAGCCTGTCTCGCCAAGTTGCGCATCATCCGAATCGGTGTGGCTAAATCCTCTATTCGTCATCACTGTCTTCCTCCATAGCCACGTCCGAATCGCTATCATCGTCGTCATCGCGCGTTCGTTTGTGGCCTCTGTTCTCAGATGTGTTGGCGTCTTTCATTTCTTGATCGGCCGAAGCTGCAGGCTTTGCGGGCGTGGCCTTGTTTGAGGAAGTAGGGGCGCCTGGCGGTGGCGCATTGAAAATACTTTGCTGTAGCTCCGTCTGTTCGACACCGGCGGCTCCAGATGCATTAGGAGGCTTGAAGGAACCGTCAAGCTTCGAGACAAAGTGAGATTTGCCCTTGGCGTACTGGATTTTCTGTTCATCAAAGCAAATCCGTCAGTACAGAATGGAGGCAGTTTGGAGAAGTCAACCAAAAGCTTACCAGGGGTTTCCCCAAGAATGATTGGCCGTCTAACGACCGCATGGCCTGTGTTGCCGACTGGATGTCTCTGAAGACAATGTGCGCTTGCCCGCGCATGCTCATAGTTTTCAACGCGACTACATCGAGGACGGGACCGAAGGTCGAGAAGAGCATATAGAGGGCGGTTCGCAGATCGGCCTTTTGGATCTTCGACGAGGGAAGGTTTGTGATATAGAGCCTAGTATATGTTAACAACCACTTAAATCATTCTCCAACCTGGGCGACGTACGTTTGGTTTGGAGCCAGAGGCTGGACTTTGGCAGGAAGCGAAGCATTGGGAACAAGGCTCCGCGTGACGCCTGCGGTCGCCATTGTATTGAGGAATGGGTCGAGGCCTGGGGCGTCGAATTGGTACTTGGCACACGTATTGAATTTATTTACGCAATACAATAACGGGCGTCCAAGGAGCCTCGATTAGTGCGATGGGTGAAGCGAATGTGTTGGTGCTGATTGAACAAGCTCGCGTTTGTCCTTGATTTGCTTGTTGGGTATAATTTTTGACAGAGTATGTACTCAGTCTCCAGCTTCCCGAAGCCTTTAGCGCTTGCCGCCTACAGCTGGGTGAATTGGGTGTGTGGCCCAAGCGCTGGCGCTGGGAGACTGGGACCCCGCCATGCATCGTCATCCCTAAGCCTCAACCTTGAATGCCTACACTTACTACACTGCTACACTGCATCAGACACCGCTTGCGCAATAGTAGAGAGCTACTCCTATTGCCCACCACGAATCGCCCAATATGTCGAAGCCCGAGATCCATCATCTTTTCCACAATCCAATTGCGGATCACTCCTTCTCCGCCGACCACAGCACCCTCGCCGTTGCCCGAGACAATGCCGTTGAGCTCTATGGTCGGAGCGGCAATGCGTTCAAGCTCCTGGATGAGCTGAAAGGACACGACAAAACCGTCACTAGCGTTGATATTGCCCCAAAAAGCGGTAGAATCGTGTCTTGCTCACAAGGTCCGTTTGTCCCCTGACTGACTATGGTGTTCAATTGAAGATAGCACAGCTAACCAAGAGCTCCAGACCGCAATGCCCTCGTCTGGGAACCCTCACCTACCGGATACAAGCCCACCCTTGTCCTTCTTCGAATCAGCCGAGCTGCCACCTTTGTGCGTTGGTCTCCTTCCGAGACGAAGTTTGCCGTCGGTTCTGGTGACCGTGTCATCGCCATCTGCTACTTCGAGGAGGAGAACGACTGGTGGGTCTCGAAGCACCTCAAGAAGCCCATCCGCAGCACAATCACCAGCGTTGACTGGCACCCTAATTCAGTGCTTTTGGCCGCTGGATCGACTGATGCCCACGCCCGCGTCTTCTCTAGCTTCATCAAGGGCGTGGACCAGAGGCCCGAGCCCACCGCTTGGGGTGAGAGACTGCCTTTCAACACCGTCTGCGGAGAGTACCTGAACAATTCCGCCGGATGGGTGCACTCTGTCGCCTTCTCCCCTAGCGGAAACACTCTGGCATTTGCGGCACATGACAGCAGCATCACTGTCATCTACCCCAGTGCTCCAGACCAACCTCCCGCTGCTGTTGTTACCATCTCCACCCAGCTCCTACCCTTCAAGAGCTTGATCTGGAGCAATGAAGACGAAATCATCGCTGCGGGATATGATTGCGAGGCCTTCCGATTCCGTGGTGGAGAGACTGGCTGGCAACTCGCCGGCACAGTTGAGGCCAAGGGCCCGGCCCACGTTGAGAGACAGGAGGAGTCTGCTCTCCAGATGTTCAAGCAGATGGATCTTAAGGGCAAGGCTAAGGATGACACCCAGCTCAAGACTGTCCACCAGAATACCGTGACCGTGATCCGACCCTACCAGGCTTCTGAAAGCGGCGTCACTCAGTTCAGCTGTAAGTTGGAATATCTCCCCTAGCTACACTTTGTTCATCTTTGCTGACCTTTTCTAGCGAGCGGTGTTGATGGTCGTGTTGTCGTATGGACCCTCTAGATATCTTCCTAGGGAGTCATGATACATATCACTCAAACCAATGAGGGATCAGCTGGCGCTCATCCCGCTACTTGTCATCATGTTGAATTTTAGCACGTTTTAGAATCTGTGTGATACGAATAGTATATATATGCAATCAATCATGATAGATTTCCAAAGCTCTAAATTGTAAACGCGTGAGAGGTGGCGGCACGATTCATAAAACTCACAACGTCGCGGCCTGACCTTTTGTACCACCCCCAAAACATGGAGAGCAGCAATGGCGGAGAAACCTATAATATTTTGAACGAAAAAGATTGGTATCACATGTGCTCGAATGAACGATTCACCACAGTGTGTATCTGAACGGATACAGCCTAGGAATGAAAGTGTAGATTGACCAGAATTGGTTGCCTATGGACTAACGCAAAGCTAGGGAACAGCAGCCTTTCTCAGTTCGAGTAAACCCAATTAATCCCACTTGAATCCCAGCAGTATTTTCTTTTAGCTAGTATTTGGGTATTTAGGGAAGAGCGATGGCCTCAATCTCGACGTCAACGTTCTTGGGGAGAGTCTTGACAGCAACACAGCTGCGAGCAGGCTTGTGGGCGAACCACTTCTCGTACTCAGTGTTGAGCTCCTATTTGAAAGACAGATGTTTAGCATAGTAAAACATGCGGATGGTGGATCACCCAGAGATCTTTTATGCTTACGGCAAAGTAGTCCATATTGGAGAGGAAGATGGTGGTCTTGACAACCTTGCTGATGTCGGAGCCAGCGGCCTCAAGGACGGCGGTGATGTTCTTGCAGCATTGGGCAGTCTTGTCGGCAATGCTGCCCTCGACGAAGGTGCCGTCGGGCTTGAGGGGGATCTGGCCGGAGAGGTAGATGACGTTGGCGGTCTTGATGGCCTGGGACTGGAACGGGGGAGGGGATGGTTAGACGGGGCGTCTCATATTGAAAGCAATGGACTTTGGCAATTGAGGAGTAGATTTCAGGGTACGTACGTAAGGGCCCAGGGCTGTACAGCAGAAAAATGCAGGTCAGCGAAATTGCTCTCTTGATTGTTGTCGTGGGACGTACGTACCAGCAGGGGCCTCAGCGGTAGAGATGATCTCGGCCATTGTGGATTTGAATCGGGGAGCGGCTGGGAAAGATGTGAACCTTGCTGGTCTCAGGGAAGTTTGAGGTCGAAGAGAAGAAGTGACAGCTCGAATTGGAATCCGTCTGGCGAACATACCTGGGGATGGATGAGTATGGAAAAGTTGGGAGCTTTGGAGGGGTGATGCGGGGTGCCCAGGGGATTATTAAATAGCAAGGGACGTTATAGCTATCAGAGCTCCGGCACTAGCTACGGATATTTTAGAGGAACATGCAGTTAACTGCTTGTTTGAGTTTCCATTACGACATGGCCGGTACAGGATACCGAGGACAGGGAATTGCTATATCAATGGATGCAAGACCACACGTTTACATCACCGATAAATCAAGGTATTCGTGCTCATCACATTAGTTATTATCACCCTCAGAATCATATCTCTCATCCAGCAGCCAGAGATCTTTTTGGGCGGAGGCCAATGGCGGCGTGTTGAGCGTTTCGCGCAATAGATCAAAGCTCCGTTCATCGGCGTTGAGTTGCCCCGCCTAACGCTAAAGCTAACTCACAATGGTTCCAGGCCGTCTCTGGCCGCCGACGGCTCATTCAGGCCGAGAAATTTCCTGGCAGGGAGCTTCCCGGAGGTGAGCCGAGCGAGGTTGCTTTGACGGCGTCTCGTAAGACGGCTAGAAGTACCGAAGTTTAGAATAAAGACTGGTTAAAATAGACAAGCACAAGAGCTCATTTACTTGAAGGAGAATGTCATGATTTATGGTATCGACAGCTGCAGATTACCCAGAAGTTGGATGAATCACTTTGCGGTTGGTGCACAAGACCCCCACGATGTATTGCTTGCACAATGTGAAGACATTGCTATGAAGGAATAATGACATGGGCCCGACGAACATGCTCGTGAATCTTGACCTGGCTGCAAGCTAGACATTGATATATCATGGGCGCTAGGGGAATATCAGGGGAAGATACCCCTAATAATCAAGGGCCCATTCCAATGACGATGCATCAAAGTCAATTCGCAACAGCTCGAGCTCGCGTGTCTCGGGTTTGGGACGACATGGAAAAGGCGGCTCTTAAATGGCACTGTTGATGGGGATGTCTGCGAACACTTGTTTATGATGGAGGGTGGAATAGCAGTGCCATTGCCTGTCCAAATTGATTTTACTATGTTTTACCGAGCTAGATGTGAGATGCTGGCTGATAGGATAGATTGAAGATACGAGTGCTCGTGGACCTAAAAGCTGGTGGACTCGTCACCTGGAGTCTTTATTGAAGGGAGACTAACCCTGCAGGACCTCGCTAGAACCCCTGAAAAGGCCTGGCCAACCGCAACATCCAATCAGCGCGTGGCCTGACACTGGAAGTGCCAGGTGGCAGCAGCGGCTCTCACAGCACGGCGGCAGTAGTTATTAGTTCGCTGCATTGTTTCTTGGGAGCTTCCTTTCCCATTCACCTCGCCTGCAACGACAAGCATCGGCTTGGACTGGGATTGACAAGGTTGTGCTAGAGGGAGCGCCCAAAACACTACCAAAGAGAGAGAAAGCATACTTACGCCATGGCGCGCAACGACACGCCGCAGGGCAGCTTGCGCCAGCGCAACACCCCAGCGAAGAAGGCAGAGCAGCCCGCTGCTGCCAAACCCGAGATCGAAGTTGACAAGCTGGTCAAGGCCGCTCAGCAACAGGCGGCTGTCGACAAGGAGTGGGACTATAAGATTGTTTGTGCTGTCATCACCGGGCTGGCTTTTGTCACGCGTTTCTGGGGAATCAGCCATCCCACTGAAGTCGTTTTCGACGAGGTTCACTTTGGAAAGGTAAGCTCTCACTGGCCGCCAATTCCATCCTGCGATGCGTTCCCATTGCAGTTGGAAACGTAGCCATAACTGACCAGCTGCTTGCTTAGTTTGCATCCTACTACCTCGAGCGAACCTACTTCTTCGATGTGCACCCTCCTTTTGGAAAGCTCCTTTTCGCCTTTATGGGCTGGTTGGTTGGATATGATGGCCATTTCCACTTCGACAACATTGGCGACTCCTACATTACCAATAAGATCCCATATGTCGCGTTCAGGTCTCTCCCTGCCATCCTGGGTGCCCTGACCGTCACCGTCACCTACCTCATCATGTGGGAATCCGGATACAGCTTGCCGGCATGTATTCTTGCTGCAAGTCTGGTTCTCCTGGACAACGCCCACATCGGCCAGACCCGCCTTATTCTCCTCGATGCGACTCTGATTTTCGCCATGGCTTGCAGTCTTCTCTTCTACATCAAGTTCTACAAGCAACGCCACCAGCCATTCGGCAGGAAGTGGTGGAAGTGGCTGATCCTGACTGGCTTCGCGCTCTCTTGCGACATTTCGGTCAAATACGTGGGTGTGTTTGCCTTTGCCACAATTGGCTCTGCTGTCATCATTGACCTGTGGGAGTTGTTGGATATCAAGAGGCCCGGTGGCGCTCTCAGCGTGCCAGAATTCGCCAAGCACTTCATTGCTCGTGCCTTTGGTCTTGTGATCCTGCCCTTCATCTTCTATTTGTTCTGGTTCCAGGTTCACTTCACCGTCCTCAGCCGATCTGGCCCCGGTGACGATTTTATGACTCCTGAATTCCAGGAGACTCTGAGCGACAATGTGATGCTCGCAAACTCTCTTGACATCCAGTACTATGATACCATCACGATCCGCCACAAGGAAACCAAGACCTACCTCCATAGCCATGTCGACCAGTACCCTCTTCGATACGACGATGGCAGAGTGTCTAGCCAGGGTCAGCAGGTGACTGGATATCCATTCAATGACACCAACAACAACTGGCAGATTCTTCCCATTGACGACAACAAGCAGACTGGACGCAACGTGAAGAACAACGATGTTGTTCGTCTCAGGCACCTTGGCACTAACAAGATTCTGCTTTCACACGATGTGGCCTCCCCTTACTACCCCACAAACCAGGAGTTCACTTGTGTTACTGACGAGGAGGCATTCGGGCCACGCCAGAACGACACTCTCTTCGAAATTCGAATTGAGCACGGGAAGAAGAACCAGGATTTTAAGACCATTGCCAGCCACTTCAAGCTGATTCATTTCCCCAGCAAGGTTGCCATGTGGACGCACACGAAGCCCCTCCCCGACTGGGGCTACAAGCAGCAGGAGATCAACGGAAACAAGCAGGTCGCTCCCAGCTCGAACATTTGGTTTGCCGAGGATGTCCCATCCCTGGCACTCGACGACAAGAGACGCGACAAGCCACCGCGCAAGGTCAAGTCTCTGCCCTTCCTGCAAAAGTGGTTTGAGCTCCAGAGGGCTATGTTCTACCACAACAACAAGCTTACCAGCAGCCACCCCTATGCCAGCTACCCTTGGCAGTGGCCTTTCCTCCTTCGAGGTGTGAGCTTCTGGACTCAGGCGGAGACCCGCCAGCAGATCTACTTCCTCGGAAACCCATTTGGCTGGTGGCTCGCCAGCAGCTTGCTCGCAGTCTTTGCTGGCATCATCGGAGCTGACCAAGTTTCGTTGCGCCGTGGCTTGGACGCCCTTGACCATCGTATGTGTAACCCAATCCATTATCCTTGACCTGAACTAGGCAGTCGGTTGGAATACTAACAGTTGCGCTAGGTACTCGCTCTCGTCTGTACAACTCCTCCGGCTTCTTCTTCATTGCTTGGGCCACTCATTACTTCCCATTTTACCTGATGGGCCGTCAACTTTTCCTGCACCATTATCTCCCCGCCCATGTGGCCTCGTGTCTGGTGACCGGCGCTCTTTTGGAGTTCGTCTTCAACACGGAAAGCAGTGATGAAAATGTTGTCTACGGTGACCGTAAGAAGGGTGGCGGGCCCAGGAAGCACATCACTGCCCGCGAGAGGTACGCAGGCCAGAGCATGATCGGCGCCTGGGTGGCTTGCTTTGCCATTATTGCTGTTGCCGCCGCTGGATGGTACTTCTTCCTTCCCCTGACTTACGGTTACCCCGGCCTGTCCGTTGAGCAGGTCCTCATGAGGAAGTGGCTTGGATACGATCTTCACTTTGCCAAATAAATGGCTAAGTAAGACGAGGTAGCTGGTGTACAGATATGGATGCCTTTGGTAAGTTGGAAAGACGCCCGGATTTTCGGGGCTACACCAACGTTCCTGCCAACATTTCCCTTACCCTCATAACCCTCATAACCCTCACACACTCTCTCACTTCCCTAGCCATCATAATAGTCTTCCCATCCTTTTGTAAACTTGAAAAGGGGAAATGTAGGATTTTCAGATATGTACTTTAGTCGGATGGATGAATTTCTTCTTCTATTTGTCAAGCAGAAAAAAAACAAGGGGCGCACGCTGTTTATGTATCCTAGGAAGGGAAACGGCACAGAATTTATTTATTGAAATGAAGCATACTGATGATGTCAAGCCACTGCTGGTCTGTCTATAGAACAGGGTTAAATGCAGACATAGCAATGTTGAGACTCGCCACGACCTATATATATACGTTGGTCTGTGTGTCAAGGTAGGTATGTGCATAATGTAGATCTAGGACCAACGTGCGTTCGCAGGTGAGAGTCAATACGACACAGGTCCCTGTGTTCTGGCCCCTGTATTTTCTTACTTTCCCCCTGATTCTGCTGTCGGGTTTATCCTTTTTGCCGCCTCTCCTTTTCACAGTTCTGTAGCATGCCCGGGCTTGGCTTCGCGAGTGTGGATGCACTATCAAGGGGCTACATTCAATGGCCAAGCCAACACCTGCACTAACATGGCACTACATGATGATATTTGCACATGTACATGGAGTAAATCTGGGGCATGTAACATAAAAAGTGTCAACCTGCAGCAGCGATTCCCGTTTCGAGGCAATGTGTATGCAAGCCCAGGGGCGTGGCTGAGTCAAAGACGGCGCCAGGAACAGGGCATTTCAACCATTTCTCACACACGCGTCGGGGGCCTTGGAGGTATGCTGGAGTGGTGTCGTGGCCGCTACGTAAACAAGTACAGTACACATCCAATTATTGCCATGGGGAAGAAGCAAAGTGGCTCCCATCCCTCGTCAGCCACACGCAGCCCTGCGGATTGTTCGTTCGTATCGGTACAATTATTCTACGTAGCCCTTCGTCTGGTCTTCCTGCAGTCTTCAACGTCACATCCAGGGTTCCTTTTTGTTTCCTTTTTTGTGTCTCGAAGCTGCAGTCCGCCAATCTTACGCCCAATTGCTATGGCTGTCCCCCCCGCATATGAAAGGTGACAGAACATTGCCTTACTACCTGGGAGGGCCGGCGCGCAGCAGCGTCGTCGTGGAGTGAAACAAGGGAAGAAGCCATGGGGATCATCCCGTCTGCACGCCGGCTGCAGCTCCGGCGCATCACCCGCCACAGGATCTCCCGCATCCTCCTGCTGGTGTTCGCCCTCGTCAGCTTCTTCGACGTGCTCCAGGTCCACCACGGCATCCGCAGCAACGAGGAGCGAGAGCCTACCAAGCAGGGCAGCGGCAACCGCCGCTCGCGCCAGCAGGAGCGCATCTACATCACGGGCCTGCACTACAACGACGGCGAGCTGCTGCGGAACCACTGGATGACCTCCCTGCTCGAGCTCTGTGACGAGCTGGGGCCCAGCAACGTGTTCGTGAGCCTGCACGAGAGCGGCAGCTGGGACGACACCAAGGAGATGCTGCGGTGGCTGGACCAGGTCCTCGAGGAGCGCGGGGTGGCCCGGCACATCGAGGTGTCGGACGAGTCGCACCAGGACGTCATTGACCAAGGGTTCGCCGAGGGGGAATGGGTCGAGACGTCGGCGCGCGAGAAGGCCGTCCGGCGCATCCCGCATCTCGCCCGGCTTAGGAACAAGACCCTGCAGGATCTGATTGAGCTGAACAAGAATGGCGTCAAGTTTGATAAGGTCTTGTTTCTTAATGATGTAGTCTTTACGGTTTGTTCTTCTTCTCCCCCATTGCATTTAGGTATGAATAATCATTGATGATATAACCCACAGACGGAGGATGTCATGACTCTCATGGAGACCAATGGCGGAGAGTACGCGGCTGCGTGCTCCCTGGATTTTGATGCCCCTCCAATCTACTACGACACATTTGCCCTGAGAGACTCGGCGGGCCGCCCGGACCAGATGCTCTGGTGGCCTTATTTCCGCCCTGGGCCCTCGAGGGATGCGCTGATGAAGAACATTGATGCCGTGCCCGTTACTAGTTGTTGGAACGGCATTGGTGAGTGCAAAGCTTATGAGATTTCTTCGTACGAAACCTAGCTAACCTTGGCAGTCGTCATGCCCGCGGAGCCGTTCGTCTCATCGACCCAGCTCCGCTTCCGGGCCATTCCCAATTCCCTGGCCGCCCATCACCTTGAAGGCTCTGAATGCTGCCTCATCCACGCCGACAACCCCCTCTCGAAGAGTCTGGGTGTGTATTTGAACCCACGGGTCCGGGTCGGCTACAACAAGAAGGCCTACGACGTGACCCACCCCAAGGGAAGCTGGATCTCGACTTGGGCCATCCTCCGCGGCCTGTGGGTGAACAGGCTAAAGACCTGGACAACCGGGCTGTTCTGGGACGACCTGGTCCAGAACAGGGTCATAAGCAAGGTGAAGAAGTGGGAGAAGGAGGCCATGGGCAACTCGGAGCCCGGCGTGTTCTGCCTCATCAACGAGATGCATGTCCTGGTCTGGAACGGCTGGGCGCACATCTGACACGGTCTCTTATCACTGCCCTTTTTCCCGTGTTATCCCAAACTGAAAAAGACCGAGAGGTTGGATACCCTTTTGTACTATGTGTTTTGGAGAGGATAATTTTCTTTTGAATAGATTTGCCTAGCGAGGCCGGCAGGACGGAGAGGCGTTTGAGTCACAGCATCCTTCCAAATTTAGGGATAGCATATAGAATGACAAAAAAAGTTACTGGGTTAAGAGTATCGTGAAGAGCATTCGAGGATCTATCCATCCGAGATTCTCAATTCAACGTGGTCACGTTCCGATAGGCACAACCATGTACTGGATATAAAAATTTGATATTTGAAAGACAAAAGGAAAGTCTATCACATCGATACGCCAATCAAATCCCTTTGGGACTTTTTTTCTTGGGGGTTTTAACCCATCATTTTTTTTTCCAAAACAAGGAGATATCTCACTGCTACAATGACATGAAGTCGTCTCGAAATATTCCACTTGGAGTTTTTTTTTACCTTTTTTGCTGTGGGGTATTTAGTGGTGGAACAGGCGGATGTTCTGCTCAACAAAGGTGATGCCCAGCTTCTCGGCGGTGTCGAAGACGGGGCCGTCGTTCTGGCTGCCGCTGGGGGCGGCGATGTACTTGACTCCGGAGCGAGCAGCACGGAACACGTTGTCGATGAAGGGGAACTGGTGAAACATGGGTTAGTTTTTTTTTGTGCAAAGGTTCCAAAGGCAGGGGTGGTGGGGGGTTGGAAGTGGCGGTCAACTTACAAAGGCGTCACTGGAAACGGCGACATCCTTCAGCTGCTTCATCCAAGCCTCGCGCTCCTCGCTGGTGAAGGCGGCGGGGACCTCCTCGAAGACGGCCTCGAATCCCTCCCGCTCGATGCCGTCCTTGGGGAGCTGGCCGCTCACGAGCAGGTCAATGGCGTTGCTCTTGTCGGCGCGCTTGGTGCCCTTCTTCCACTTGAGGCCGAGCACGCGCTCGTGGAACCGCATCCACCAGTTGTCGGCCTTGTCGCCGGCGAGACGGGTGCAGTGGATGCGGGACTGCTGGCCGGCGCCGAGGCCGATGACCTGGCCGTTGACGGCGTAGCAGACCGAGTTGCTCTGGGTGTACTTGAGGGTGATGGTGGCGACGGTGAGGTCGCGGGCGGCGGCCTCGGAGAGGGTGCCGGCCTTGGGGGTGATGACCTTGGTGAAGGACTTGGGGCTGACGAGGTAGTCGTTGCGGTGCTGCTGCAGGTTGATGCCGTAGACGGTGCGGGTCTCGGTGCCGGTAGGGTTGTACTCCGGGTCGATCTGGAGGACCAGGTAGCGCCCACCTTTCTTCTTCTTGAGGATCTCGAGAGCGGCATCGTCGTAGCCGGGGGCAATGACACCGTCGGAGACTTCCTTGGAGATGATGCTGGCGGTGGCCACATCGACGACGTCGCTCAGAGCAATCATATCACCGAAGCTGCTCATGCGGTCGGCGCCACGGGCACGGGCGTAGGCCTGGGCGAGAGGGGAGCTGTCAATTCCCTCAATGTCGCTGACAAAGTAGACCTTCTTCTCGTCCTCGGAGAGGGGGGTACCAATGGCAGCTCCGGCCGGGGAGACGTGCTTGAAGCTGGCGGCGGCGGGGAGACCGAGTGCCTGCTTGAGCTCCTTGACCAGAGGCCAGGCATTGAGGGCATCGAGCAGGTTGATGTATCCGGGAGCTCCACCAAGAACCTTGAATGGCAGCTTGCCCTCAGCGGTGAAGGCAGCGGCGGGCTTCTGGTGGGGGTTGGCGCCGTAGCGGAGGGCGAGGTATTGGTCGCCGTCGGAGGCATACTCCTTGCGGAAGAAGTCTGAGATGGCCGAGTCGTAGTCGGCAGTGTGCTCGAAAGCCTTGAGGGCATATCGGTTTCGGCTGGTCTCGGAGATCTCGCCAGCCTCGAGCTCCTTGAGGAAGCCAGCATAGTCGGCCGGGTCGCTGAGGATGGTGACACGCTTGTGGTTCTTGGCGGCGGCGCGGATGAGGGTGACGCCACCAATGTCAATCTCCTCGACGGCCTCGGGGACGCTGACGTTGACCTTGGCGACGGTGTCCTTGAAGGGGTAGAGGTTGCAGATGACATAGTCGACCTTGCTGATGTTCTGCTCGGCAAGGTCCTTCTCGTCGGATGCCAGGTCACGGGCGAGGATGCCGGCGTGGACGGCCGGGTGGAGGGTCTTGACACGGCCAGCCAGCATCTCGGGAGCCTTGGTGATGGCAGACACGTCCCTACTTGGGTTTTAGCAATCAACCATTGACGAATCCATCAATCCATCGACCGCGTGCATGCGGCGAAACGGACAGACAGGGCTGTGCATACTCTACCGGGAAACCAGACTCGCGAATCATGCGAGCAGTGCCGCCCGATGCGAGGATTCGGACATTTTGCTGGACCAGACCCTTGGTGAGGTCGAGGAGGCCGGTCTTGTCGAAGACGGAGACAATGGCGATCTTCTGGTTCGAGGCCATGATGACTGTCGAGATGGATTAACCCAAGGCCTCACTCACTTGACTACTCCTGGGAAGACTGCTGTTTTTATGAGCAAAAAGTGCAGAATGAAAACAAAGTGCAGAGCCAGTTGCGACATCGCCGGAAAAGTTTGGCGGGGTAACTTAAGCTGCTCTGCCTTTTGCCCGCCAATATCGGAGCTCAGCTGCCCCATAGCGGGGTGGTTGATTTTTTTTCGTGCTGCATCCCTCGACTCTGTCTTATTTCGACTCGTGCTAGTGCCTATCAAGTGATTTCAATTACAAAGATTGGATGATTTGTGTGTAAGGGATACAGGATTCCCTATATCCCCCACCTATGTACTGTACATTCGTGGCTTGAGGAGCCAGAGAATAGAATATCGTCATGCTTCTGGCCGGGGCTAATGATCTGCAATGGCTCGAACTTCTAGGAGCACTTTCTTGACCCACCCATTCTGGTTTGCTAATAACGAACCTGCTCTTAACTTCTAATGTAAACAGGGAGGTTTATGATTATATTGCTTGGGCCTGCCCAGTCAAGGATTGTTGCATTAAACCTGAATTTTCCAATCGAAGAGTTGTCTATTGGCGGCCATTATGACATTACGGTAGTCTGTGTTGGCTCATCCCTCGCCGCCGTTTCAATTTTGACGTGAGGCTGCCAGGGCTCATGTGGCTTTATCTATTCAACACAAATAAAAAGTAAAAATGAATCCTCATGATCTGAAAAATATTGCCTAGCCTTAAGTACTTTACTCGAGATATTGCAGGCCGAACCACGTACTATTGGGATCGCAAAGCACAATTAAGAATGTATCACCATCTCCCCTTTCTCCCTTATTAGTTCCTACTCGCGCAATGAAAACCAGCATGTTAGGCGTGCAGAAGTGACTCTAAAATCTGCAACTTGCCCGCGAACGAAAGATACCTGGCTTGGTAGCTAGGCATTGAGTTTCATGTGTAAGTCTACGACGGTACAATGATGAGGGAATCGTTGCACTCTATCCCACCTGTCGAGCAAATTACTTTTCGGATTGTGCCTCTCAAAAAACTTGTTTTCAAGTTTAGCTCTCATATAGGTTTGAGCTTCCGCCACCTTGGTCAACGGTGCCGCCCGACTTCAGTGTAAAAGCAGCCACCAAAACCTTCAAATAGTAAAAGCCATGATGAGAGGAAAAGCCGTATATATCTGCGTGAAAGGGCTCTTTGATCAAAAGGCTTTCTTCATACTTCATTCATTAACAAGGAAAGTAGTTCGCCCTTTTCTCTCGAGCTGTGAACCTCGAACTTGCTATCTCCCAATTGTAGACCCCCTCTACAACATTGGAACGTGATTTTGTTCTGCAATGAAGATTCCAAGTTGTAAGAAGGTCAAGGGAAAACTAAAGCGATGCAGGAATGTGACTATTATCCCCCGCCATTGGCGAAATGATGAAGGGGCAAGCTTAACAAGCAGCGTCAACGGGAACCAACTGCCATCTCCCGATGATTCTACACCACCTGGACCAGCAATAACTAAAAAAGGCAAAAGATCGTTTGGATGGATGAGTATCTCTTCATTATTCTCATCGTCCTCAAAGGAAAGGGCCCGGGACTCCAGTCAGAGCCCTTCCAGTTTTTGGTTCACTCCTACCCGGTTATCGGCATCTCCCGAGGAAGTCCAAGAACCTCATGAGAGCTCCCAGCGCCAACCTTCGCCTCGCACTCCGTCAACCATCTCGACTCCGCTCTCCGAAATCCACTCATTGACACGGATCAACGCCGAAGGCCATCGCCCGCCTGAAGACCAGAGTTCTCCCGGAGAGGAGAGTGTTGGTCAACCCCGGAGTGTTCTTGGAGATCACAACTCCCACGGATATCTGAACTTTGGAGCATTCGACGGTTTCCCTGACCAGGGCCTCTTCAGCTGGAACGACCGAAATCCAAACCTCAATGATGCCTGGAGCGACCACACCGATGTCCAGGCAGGGGAAGTAATTGAGCTAGAGGGGCTCAGATCTACCTTGAAGGCCATCTGGCGACAACATGACCTCTCGCGCAATCCCTTCCGTCCCCGGCCCAAGCACTTGAAACAGGCTCGCGTTCGGTTCCCGCTTGGTTAATGAAATATATTTACAGTGTTGTATATTTGGGTAGATTTTATGAGCCACGAGTTACGATACTATGAATTTGTGAGGTAGACATGAGCACTATGATAGGCGACTTGATTAGATACTAGATTCTGAGTAGAGCGCACTGACTTGATATCACATGATCAAACCTTCTCCCTGAGGTGGTATTATAGGCATGGTTGAGGGTGGGGGTTGATGGTATGTCGCAAGCAGACTGGGGTATATGGAAGGGGTTGGTGTTCGGTACCCAGAAGGCATTTTCCAACTAGACTTCCGTGTGCACAATGGATGGATCTTACGCAAATGATGTTACGTACCCCGTAGACGTGTCAGGTATAATTTTGGGCTAGATTTGGTTGTCTCGCGATTCAGGCAGCAGAATAATCGAGATAAAAAAAGGCATCATGTGCAGGGTGGACAACAGGAATTCAGCAGCCTAACACGATCTTCAGAGCGATCGAGCTAGGGCATCGACTGGGGCCAGAAGCGCCAAGGTGTCATTCGTCAATTGCTGACGATGAAAGGGCTTGATTTGGGTTTCGAGGGGAGCGACGGCAATTGGCACAGACACTTTCGATCGGGTGGGTTATGTTGGGCTGAGCGGAGCGATATGGGGCGCGGTGAAGGCAGCAGAATTACTGGGAGAAGAAATACGACTGCCTGATATTTAGGGTGCAGACAGTGTGGGCGACCCATGCAAGCCATGCTTGTTTTTCGTAACGCGCTACGCCTTGGGAATGGTTCTTTTCGCAGCTGAACTGAAGGTGGGATTGTGGAAGGCGTCATCAGGAAGCAGGCGCGCTGCCAAGGCGACCGACAGAAAGCTGCAATACTCGCTCAATCGATGATGGATGGCAACCACCCACCTTCAGGGTCGTAGCGACCAATGTGGATGATTGGACTGGGACAGAGGTCACCGGCAAGTGGGGGGCAGCATCGTGATAGGGCTGAGCGAGGCCAGTGCAGCAATCAGTTTCAGGGCCAGGGATGCCACCGGCCCACGCTCATACGTGTCCGCTTCTCGTACGGGATTGAAAGGGGATTGCAACCAGAATAAGCTGATCACGGGCTTAGCTCTGATTGTTGATTGTGGGGTGGGAGGGAGAAGTTGTTATCGTGTAAATAGCCAATTGAAGCCGGATATGGAAAGCGAGGCAGCAGGGAAAGCGGCAGGAATCTGCACAGGGACTTCAATGAGAGGGGTCATCTGTGGTGAGATCTGAAGTTGTGTTTGGCATGCGTCAAGGGAGAACCTGGATGCGGACAGATCAACCAAACACACCTCCTGAGTCCGAGCTCATGTTTGCGCCACCCAAAGAAGAGACATGTGAGTGTCTCACTTCCAGCCCTACCAGCCGGCGAATGCATACCATCACACCAAAGGTGGAGGAGTCGCAGACGAATGACTCCACCTTGTCTGGCAGTGCTTGACTCGATGCATGACTCCTTGGTTGCATTTAGAGCCACTCACCCTTGCCAAAGCTGTGCCAAGCGCTGTAGCCAGTTGAGTCAACGACGGGGTCGTGTCCGGAAACCATGCCATGCCGTCACACTGGAGGAGTCAACACAGCCCCAAACTCAAGACTATTAGCCCAGCATGGTGGAATTTTAAAAGTCCTGAGAGAACAGGGGCCTTCAGAAGAGGATCACTATGTAGACGCACGAGAACGATACAGATAAGTGGTGGAAGGCAATGGCCGTCTGCCTCTCATTTCAGGGCGAATCAATTGATTTGGTGGTGCGGCAGTGTGATACATGCCACGGAGCATCACCCTCAGAACCCCGTCGGAGAGCTGGAACTTTGAGCATGGTTGGCATTAACGGTCTAGCGCGCATTAAGAGGCGATGTGCCAAAACGCCCACAAGGGCGCACAGGGAGTCAGGGATCGTGGCATGGACCACTTTAGGTAAGAACAAGTGTGCGCTCGAGTGCGCGAGACCAAAGACTTGATGCGCTTATTTGGTTGGTCTGCAGAAGCGTCAACATACAGAAGCGGCTGTTGCTGGATCAATCAATCGGCGGGCCTTCATTCGTCCATGGCCGTCGCCAGCATATGGACCAGACAGTGCAGGTGTGCATGTGGGGAGATGGGAAAATGGAAATGGTCGAGGGAGGAGTCGGAATAAAAATGGAGACTATGATATGGTGGAGACAGGCATTTTGGGGAGCTTGCGCCGCAGTCCACTGAGACACTGCTGCCGGGGGGTTGTGGGGGTGGCCATAGGGATTGGGGCAGCTGCGAGCTGCCAGAGTTGCCAGAAGTTCCAGGCGGACCAGAGGGCAGCGACTTTGCTTGGTAATGCGGACCTTTGCCGTGTTAGTGCAAACAGCTGGGCCAGTGCCCTTGAAATTGTTAGTGGTGGATGTACATTCTCATACTCAAATATAGCGCCATGGACCAGGTCCGTGCGGACGTAAGCAAGCGGTGCGCTAATCCTCTCCGCAAGCCTTTCTCCACTTTCCCGCGTCTGATTGGCTAAGATTCTAGGCAACAGCCTCCGGGCTGAGCAATCGCCTTCAGAATTGCTGGACGACGACGCCATTCACAGTACCTGTTCCCTCCCAACTCCGACGGCCTCGTTTTCACGACCTTCACATCACGCCCCCCAACGTTCCTCGTTTTCCTCCTTTCCAACGGCCGCCAGAGCTAAACCATTCCCAAGTCTCGCTGCATACCACAGTATTACTTCACTGTGGCCCAATTCGATTGGCCTGGGCTCTCCCCACCCCCCCTTCGTCCACTTATCGTGTGCTTGGCCGTGCGCGCACCTGTTCGTTCAAATAACCGTTACTTCCTGCCACACCCGCGGCAAACTTGCCTCGCTCGCTCGAAACATATTATCCCGTGCTTGCGTCCTCCGACCTCACTGTGTCCTATTCCCGAGTCCTATCTGGCCCAGGTTCTGGACAAGTAACCACTAGTTTGACCAGTCTTTTGTTGGGGGCTTCAGTAGAACTTACTCAGGACTTACTTCGCCGCCTTCCAAACCTCCCACGCTTCTTCCGTCTTCCATCAACCTCCTTCCATCACCATCCGTGTCATCCGACCTTGGAACCGAGTAGGACTGCCACGTTTCCCACACGCCCTTTTTTCTACATCAATTCAATTTATTGAATCTTGAGGCCAGTCGATAACATTGTTGTTTACTTGGCTGGGCGCGCTTGTCGATTATCCCGATTCCCCCCTTGGCTGTGTGGTCGGGAACCTTCGCCTTGTGACTCATATCGACGAACTCTCTCCACTTGAGGGTTGGGCTGAGTAGTCAAGGCTTATTGTCCGGCCTCTCGCTTCCCGCAGACACAAATACAAGGCTTTAAGCTCCCCTTTCCGTCACCATGGCTTCCTCCAATCCTCGTCGTAGGACTCCGGCTACTCGTTCCGGTGAAGCTGGCGACGCCTCTCTTAAGACTTCCATGGCTCTTCGCAAGGGCGCCACCTTCCACTCTCCATCATCACCAACGTCGTTGTCATCTGACGACCTCGACTTCACACCTCCACGTCTCTCCCGATCCCAGAGCCACATGGACGACGTCGTCGACGCTAACCGTCGCCGTATCGCACTGGCCTTGAACGAGTTTGACGAAGCCCTTTCCACCAAGGCTGAAGGCCTTTCCATCTCCTCAAAGCAGGACAACACCGATGCCCTTCGAGACACCAGCCTCCCCGTACCTCGTGGCTTCCTTGAGTTGCCCCTTATCGACCCGAAATCGATGGCCAAGGAACAAGAGAAGCGAACACTCCGTCCTCGTTCGACCCGAAGGACACACCGCCACGCCTCTGACAGCGGGCTTGGTTCTTCGCTGGCCTCTTCCAGCGATACCCTCGCTGACAAGAAGGGCAGCCCTCTAACAACCGCTACTGCCATAACTCGTTCAGTAGCCGCTCCTAGTATGGAGAATCTTCCTTCGCTCGGCCCCAAGGCCGTGCACCGCATTCACGAACACCTTCTTGGGCCCCTCCTGGAGAAGTCCACCCTTAAAGGCTTCAAGCCTATTGTGCTTGATGTACCCCGTCGTATCCGATCGAAAGAGATCATCTGCCTCCGCGATGTGGAGAAGACCCTGCTATTCATGGCACCGGTGAGTCAACTTTTGAGTAATAATGGTTTATGGGCGAGTACTTATCGGAAGTTATGCTTGAAGGAGAAGGCAAAGTCACCCGCCTTGTACCTGGACTTCTGCCTTACGTCGATTCGATGCATCCAAGCGACTGTCGAGTACCTCACCGACCGAGAACAAATCCGACCCGGTGATCGACCTTACACTAACGGCTACTTTATCGACTTGAAGGAACAAATTTATCAATATGGCAGGGAACTTGCTGCCTACAAAAACGGAGAGCTAAGTGATGCTATGGATCTTGACCAGTATGTGCCGCGTTTTGTGCCTATTCGACCCAAAGCTGACATCAACAACCAAAGATCTGATGAGATTCGTCTCATTGGAGGCATCTCCGAGAATGGCCGACCCGCGGAGCTTGTCCGCATTAAGAAAGACGGCACTGCCATCTCTATGGCCACTGGTAAGCCTGTTGTGCTACATGACGGTCCCGTCCAGGTGAAGCGCTCCCTCAGCGAGGTGAGAGAAGACGAGGAAGAGATTATGCGATCAATGGCACGCCGCAAGAAGAACGCATCCCCCGAGGAGTTGGCACCAAAGAGATGCCGTGAGCCTGGATGCAACAAGCAGTTCAAGCGCCCTTGTGATTTGACCAAGCATGAAAAGACCCATTCTCGTCCTTGGAAGTGCCCGATGGAGAATTGCAAGTACCATGAGTTTGGCTGGCCTACTGAGAAGGAAATGGATCGCCATATCAACGACAAGCACTCCGATGCTCCCGCCATGTTCGAGTGCCGGTTCAAGCCTTGCCCGTACAAGTCGAAGCGTGAGTCCAACTGCAAGCAGCATATGGAGAAGGCCCACGGCTGGAAATACATTCGCACCAAGACGAATGGATCCAAGAAGCCTTCCACCAAACCCGCCAGCTCAGTCCAGCAGGCCAGCTCGGTCCAGCAAACCCCACCACTGGGCAATGCGTCCACGCCATCTGATGCGTACAGCGTCGCTACTCCACCCCAGGATGGCATTCCTGCTTCCTCTGGCGACTTTCCCCTGTACCCGGCAGACGCCGACTGGCTTGCCACTTATGGCTTGCAGCCAGAAACCCTGGACACAATGGACTTGTCCATGGAGAATCTCTCGCCATCTTCAGCTGGCTCATACGAGAATTTCCCTCCGTACCAGAATGGTTCTCAATTTATTACGGATGAAGACATCTATGCGGCCACGGCTCAGATGCCAACTCACATGCCTAACCCTGCTGACTTGATGATGTACGGCAAGATGGCTCAGGCTCCTCTATCCTTCGAGCACACGCAACATCAGCAACTCCTCGCTGGCATGCCAACCTATCACACCCCACAGCAGCAGTTCCAGCCTCCGCAAAACAATACGTCGCAATTCTCTCCGAACGCACAGCAGAATGCTATGCTGTACACTCCTTTGTCAATCGATGAGGACGAGGGCCACACGGATAGCTTCCAGGATGAGAATGCAGACTTCCAGCTGTTCGATTCGACCATGCAAAAGTCAGACACGGTCCAGCCGTTGTTCGGCGAGATCCCAAGTGCTGACATGGGTTTCTCCCAAAACTCTCAAGACATTTTCCAGCAAATCGACCTGTCTCAACTGGAATACCCATCATTCCAGGAATAAACAGGAGACATGAGCTGAGAAGAGATAGATTGAGTGACTGTGTCACAATCTTATTCTCTGAGCTGTATATTTACGAGGTCTGTGTGGAATTTACCACGTTGACATTTACGATATGATGATGCTAGTGCTGCGGGCGGTTGCTTTATTCTTTGCGGCATATATGTTTGCTTTTTTATTTCCCCTCGAACAGAGAGCCTCTCAACTCTGAAGACCTGCTTGAAGATGGAGAAGGAGTTTATGGAGATGAGTGAAGAATAATGGAGATTGATGGGATAGGATATGAATCCAAAGCGGGGTATACGTTTGCGCAGAATTGAAGACCAGACTGCCAATTTTCAGAAGAACGCGTTTCGTTCCCAGATATATATAATAAAGTATAGGCGTCTTTTGCACTCATAAGCTCCTTCATACCCTTGTATCTGTGATGAAACTCGCCATTCTCCAAACAAGTGATTCAAATATTCTAGTTTGGGACACATCAACGAACCAACGGCGGCTTGAATGTCGGTATAGGAATGGAGGGACGGCACTCGGGGCGATAGTGCCTGTCTCGGTAATTAAGAGTATCCACCTAAACAGGCTCTCGGTTTGTGTGTATGTAAGTACTATTAGGAATGCAGATTCTAGATAAGTAACAAGGACGTCGCTTCGAATCCGGATAACCCCTCACTCAACTTGCCATTGCCCAACTCTGTCTAAGACCGCTGGCAAAAAGTGAAACTCACCATCTCATACCATAACCGGACATTCCCAACGCAATGTGCAAGAAAGCGAGCTGCGATACTTGCAGTAAGCACCCGATGATCCCGCTTCACTTGCTCGTTCCACTTATGTTTCATCTACTAACAATATATCACAGAGAAGGTGACGTGGTGGGGCTGCGGCGCCCACGTCCCGATGGTGATGGACACCATCCCGGAGGAGGAGCAGTGCACCTGCGAGCCCAAGGTCGAGAAGGGCGGCAAGGAGTACCCTCCCATGGCCAAGTCGCCCTCGTGACTCGTCGGGAACGCGGCGGCGGCTGTGCTCTGGGTGATGGGGAAGCGTCCGGAGTGGTCGGCCGAGGGGGTTGTGCATAAACCGCTGGGCGGCGGCGGCGGGGGAGGTGATGATGGGAAATGATGAATGAGTGGATGAGCGACGATGCATTGGGTCTGGGTAAGGGAGTTGATGACGAATGTTGGTTCTGGCGTGGGAGAGGCGTTGGTAGGATGCGGGTTTGGTGTGACTGGTCGTGTTGGCTTGTATCTTATGAGAAGACCTGGGTGGATTCCTTGTATGGAAATAACATGCAAGCGGAAGGAATCTAGGAAGCTTCTTGAGATTTTCGTCCATGGTTACCTTGGATATTACAAGTGACCCCTTGCAGTGTGCAGGCCAAACGTTGCGTCTTGTCTCATATTGGAGGAAAGACTTGGGTATCTAACGAAGTGAAATTGCGTAAATCTCATCTTATCCCACCATAGGATGCCAAATATGACTTCTGAGATACACTTTTATATTCATCACAGGACCAGTAGCTATTTATCTTCTCCTCCCTCCACCAGCGGCCGCATCTCCCCTCTCCGCCAGGCTGACAACCTCCTGAATGCCGGCTGCCTCCTGCTCCTCTTCTAGGGCGGTAATCACCTCACGGGAGTCCCACCACTTCTCCTCACTCAGCTCGAACGCCCGCGCCTTGATCTCCTTGATGGTCAGAGTCTCGGGCTGGATGTTCTTCCAGCGGAGGCTTGTCATGAGGATTTCCTGCCACTCGTTGGAGGTGCGGACAAAGAACTCTCGTCGAGACTCGAACGGCTGGTTGGTAACGGCAACATTAGTGGTTGTTTTCATGGAAGATGTCGAATATTTCGCAACTTACTCTGGGGTGGGGGAGGCCATCGTCCACATTCTCGTCAGCAGCTTCAGTCTCGTCGTCATCCACAGAAGTCGGTGGAGTAGACGAAGTCTCCGAGGTGGTGTCTGACACCTCGTCCTGCTGCTTCTTCTTGCGCTTGCTGGGCGTATGAAGCTTCTCGGCCGCCTCGTACTCTTCAATCTCCTCCTCTTCCTCGTCGTCCTCATCGTCCTCGTCGCCTTCCTCATCATCTTCGTCATCGGATTCCTGTGTTTCAAAATTAGCCCATTTGCACAAAGTATCGCTGCATGGCTTGAGGGAGAGATCCTTACAATCCAGTCTTCAACAGGTCGCTGGAATATCTCCTTGCAGCCGTCTAGCTTATCCAGATTGATGGCGTACAAGTCATCAAATGTGAACTCCCGATCGCCCTTTTCGTATGTGCCCCCGTAGATGTAGAGATTGTCGCCTTGGACTGCGAGCTGGGCATTGAATCTCATATGCGGAGGCTCCATGGTGACGGGCTTCTCCTTGACCGGCGTCTCCTCCTCTTCCTCTTCCTTCTTGTCAAGCTCAATCCCGTCAATGTCTTCCAGGGACACACCCGTCTCGAGGGCAGCCAGCTGCCGGAGAAGCTCCTCCTCGTTGCCCTGCCGGTTACGGCGGCCTCCTCCACCGCGCTGCTCCTGAGCACCCTTCTTCGCCTGCTGGCGGGGCTTCCTCAGGTTCAGCGGCATGAACCTGTTGCGCTCAACGTTCCACGCGAACAGCTGGTTGAAGAACTCGCTGTCCATGCCCTCCTCGCTCTGCTCGACGTCGTGGACGCCGCCGAAGAGGATCCCCCGGCCCTTGTGCCAGGTCATGGTCGCGCCCGCGCGGGACGGCGTGGGCGTGTTGACCGGCTTCTTGCGCTTCTCCCACCTGACGGTCGGGAGCGCGTTCGGCCCGGCGTCGGTGGCCGGCAGGCCCATGCGGAGGAAGAAGCAGTCGTCGTGAACCTTGGGCTTGAGGATGTTCTTCTGCCCCTGGCTCTGGCCGCCCTTGCCGCCCTTTTGCTTGATGTTCACGGTGGCCTTGACGCGCGAGTACCCTCCGTAGAGGACGGCTCCTTGCTCATGGGGGAGCAGGGTGAAGGAGGACCTGGCATCTGGTTTGAGTTGAGCGGGGGGCAAGACTGGGCTGATCCAGACGAAGTTGATCGTATCGAAGATCCAGAGATCCGCCAGGTACTTGGTCTGGTTGGAAGTGTCCTGGAAGCCACCGAAGAGAATGATGTAGTGCTTCCAGTACGTCATTCGGTGGCCACTCCTGGCGGGCGGGCTCTTGTCCTTGCCCTTGACCTCGATCTTGGTCCACTCTCTGGTTGCGGGCTCCAATCTCCAGAAGTCAGAGTAGTGGTGGAAGGTGCCCTGCTTGGGAGAGGAGAACTCGCCGCCGAAAAGATAGACGTGGTTTGGGTTGCTGGCCCGGGTCCAAGCATGACCTGATCGGGGCAGAGGGGCATTGGGCGAGGTGACGCAGCGCCACTCATCACGGCTGATGTTGTAGATGAACAGGTCGTTGTAGAACTGGGCGAGCGAGCCGTTGAAGTACTCGCCGCCAAAGAGCAGCAGGTTGTTGGAGTCGTGGGGGGCTGCCATCAGAGTAGAGGCGGCACGAGGCTTGGGCGGGGCATCGCAGACAGTCTCGGTGATCTTGAGGAACTGCTCCTGCTGGCGGGCGTATTCCTCGAGGATCTCGTCGAGGTCGACATCCTCGGCGTCGCTGCCCTCGACCTTGGCGGCCTTGGTCTTGGCCTTCTTCTCGCCCTTGGAGGCCTGCTTGGCTGCCTTCTCAGCCTGTTGGTTTGGACGTGGGTGTTAGCTGGGATGAATCAGTGATGAGGATGGTGGAATGAGGTGGATGGGTGAAACCTTTTTGGCCTTTTTGGCGTCCGAGTTCTTCTTCTTGTCCTTGGCCATATTATATGTTCAAAACCTCATTTGATTTTATTCTTTGAGGTGCTACTTATTTAATAGCTGTCCCATCAAATTTTTTTGGGCTCTTGGTGAGGGGACAATTGAAAAATCAATCTCCAACCCAACCGACGTCCAAACCATAAGTGAGTGTGAGCGTCTCCACTAGGATTTTATATGTCAAGTTGCTACATTTTCAATTTTTATTCTGCCTGTTTTTGACTGAGCTCTGTCTAATTATCATACATTTATTTCCGTTCGTCCAAATATCAAGACATTGCTGTTCTTGGTATATTTTCTTGCTCGCCTCATTTACCATCTCTCGTAGCTAGACCACATAAAATAGTCGGCCAAATCGATCAAGTGTTGGACAGAGAACATTTGTAGCTCTGCAGCACTAGTTTTTCTCCGAGATATTCTTTGCTGGAATGTAGGCCACCATGGCTTTGCTCGCCCCCTCCATACAGTACTGGACGACCTCTATCTTTTCTCCTTCAGGAGCAAGCTTTGCTATCTGCCGAATGTCGCTTGACCTGGGAAGATAGAGCGCGTGATCCATCGGATAGCAAGCGTTGTGGAGTTGACGGAGATCATACGGCTGCATAGTATACAGGTCGAAAACTTGGTCGCTGCTGTATCCCACGCCTCCCCAAGGCGGACTGGCAAAGACAACGGTGGTTGCCAAGTCAACTCTGAGATCGGGATGAAGCTCCTCTGGCCGGTTCACCAGAAGATCCAGAAACTCCAAACTGTCTCCGTGTACCCACGTGATGCAGGGTCGCTCGACGCCATATACATCTGCATTGTTCTGGGCGCAGGCCAGGGTAGATGCGTCCTTCTCAACAGCGATAATCTGGCTCCATCGGCCAGACAGGGCAAACGCAATGGTGTTCCCCCCCGCGCCGGCAAACATGTCGATCAGAACCGTCTTTTTGGCATCTGAATCGTACATATCCTTTGCAACCTGGCTAAAGATGGGTCGTGAAATGTCAGCACCTCGCTCGCTCAAGCTCAAATTCAACCAACCTTACTTTGCGACAGGTTCGGGCGTGACTCCAAACCAGGCATCATCCGTCATACAAATGCCTTGGTCGTACCAAGAGAAGATGGAATATCTCTGCGAGAAATACCTGTGTCCGTGGTTAGCAGACTGGGAAGCACAGATGAGATTCGAAGCTGGCTCCTAGGACTTGCTTTTGTATGTCCCAGGGAACTTCATGCCGGCCCTGGTAATGGTGGCATTGTTCGGTGAGCGGGAGCCTGTCGGCAGGCTTCATCGAGATAGTGAAGGGTTGATTTGCCGATCTTGATGAGATGTACCAAAGTTCTTCCGTCCTCACATTTCACAAATAGTCATCAGTGAATTTTTCCCGTCATCTTCGTCTCTTGTGTATGTCCTGGGTAACATTTTCTGGTGATGGCCGACGGCCAACGACGGTCCAGTAGGCCGCTAACTCAGTGATAAGATAAGCCCTGGGCCTTGCTGGGTCCTCTCAACCGCCGTTGATGAAGGAACCTCTTCCAAAAGCCATCTTTACCATTTTCTTTGTAAATTGATACCAATGGCTACCGAATTAAAAGAATACGAGGCCGATATCGACGTGCCAATTGAATCTATTCAAAACATTGACAAAAATGTCCTACACAGTTGGAATTCCTCAAGCCCTCAGCCGGCCCCAGAGTCTAATCACTAATACGCCTTGAGCTTGGAACAGAACTTCCTATCAAGACCAAGATCCTGTCGGTCAAACCGCACAGCACCAGTTTATGGACCCGTACTGCATGTTTGAACGTTGAGACGGATGGCCAACCGGGGCGGTACTTCCTCAAGGTACGTCCCTGATGTTTCTGGCTGCCCATCAACTCATTCAAAGTCACTCTTGGCTCATGGCACACACAGACAACATTCGGTGAGCGAGGCCGTCTGATGGTGTCTGGAGAATTCAGCTCGATGAGCAGGATCTATTCTGTCAGCCCGGACCTCGTCCCTCGCCCTATTGCATGGGGCACCTACGACTCAATGGCAGATGTGCACTTTTTCCTCTGCGAGTTTCGCGAGATGAAGGAAGAGCTACCCGGCCTCGATAGTTTTCCCGCCAGAATGGCCTACTTGCACCGTAATGCCACCTCTGAGAATGGAAAATTTGGGAATGATATGACAACATTCCATGGAAACACCCCGATTGAACATGGCTGGTCTGACACTTGGGAGGAGTACTTCACTAGGACCACCCGTGTCCTTCTTGAAATGGAGCAAAAGGTCCAGGGACTAAATCAAGAGATTTTAGACTTGTCGGAGCCGTTCTTTGATAAGGTCATTCCACGACTATTGAGACCTTTGGAAACAGGAGGAAGATCTATCCGGCCAGCGCTCATCCATGGCGATCTCTGGCATGGGAATGCGGCCATGGATGCATCCAGCGGCGCGCCTATCATTTACGACGCCGCATCATTTTATGCCCATAATGAATGTGTGTCTCCCGTCTTTTCTTCTTCTTCTTCTTTTCTTTTTCTTTTACTTTTGCTTCCTTTTCCTTTTCTGAGAATGCGGGCTGACGTCTCAAAGACGAACTTGCTGTTTGGAGGCAGCCCTGGAACAATATTGGTACAGCGTACCGCCTGGAATACTGTAAACATTTTCCTCCATCCCGGCCAGAAGAAGACTTTGATCATCGTGGCGAATTGTACGCTACTCGCGTCAATATACTTGACTCTATCCTCTATAATAAAGATCATCATTATCGCCAGATGCAAGTGAATCTCTCATAGCGAGCAAGGAAGGAACATTATGGCTAACTATCGTTTCAAAGGCTTCTTGAATCACTGAGGAGCCTGGTCAAAAGGTTTTCTGACTGATATACACTACGACTACCGAATGTATTCCAATATCGTACCAAAACATTTAGCATATAGAACCAAAAGATATAGATCAGAACACCTATAGACATTGCACTCGAGAGAACTATGCGCAGCATTTCAAACTACTTTTTGTATTCTATCGTGAGAAATATTGGCTGATAGCCTGTCATGTTTGGGGTTGAACCTGGCGTTTTGGTGTCTCACGCTTTATATCACCCATATGAGAGCGAAATCAAGGTATGGCGTAAATGTTGCATTTCTTCAATTCTATATATATAATTGTAAAATACTCTATTTATTCTATTTTTATTAAACAATGTAACATCTTTTCCTGGCGCGGATGACTATTGGAGACTTACACTGTTGTTGCTGCTAAGGGATGTGGTCAGCTCGAGGTACGAAGCCAAAGTACCTTTCAGCTACGCAATCGGCCAAGGACAGCTTTCATACCTTCAAGCTTCAACTCCCTCGACAAACCACGAACCCCACCCGCTTTATAGCCAAGAATCTTCGACTGCCTTGAATCTAGACCTTACGAGTGACGAGCCATTCTCTAGTTGGAACATCTAAATCCGACACCGTGGCTCCCAAGAGCCTGCAGCCACAGCCATGTTCAACGCCCTAAACCGATTCATGTCCCGTCTAGACGGCGACACCCCACAGCAACGACGCCAGCAAGAAGGAGGATCCTACGGATTCCAAGTCCTGCGCAACATAAACCTCGAGCTACCCATAGAGCCCTGGTTCGACTTCATCGTCGGCATCAATGGGCGACCGATTGTGAGGCCCCGCCGCCTCCAAAACCCGCCAGAGCTAGCTTCAGAGCTGACCACATCCCGCAGGAGAACCCAGACCCGACCTTGTTTGCCCAGGAGGTCCGAAACTGCGCCGGTGGGACCGTGACCTTGGGTCTTTGGAACGCAAAGGTAGGCGACAGCGGTTTGGGGCGCATCTAGTCATGCCATGGTCCGGCTAACATCCTACGTGACAAAGGGCCAACGAACCAAGGAGCTGCATGCGCCTGTCCCTCTCGACACGGGCTCTCTCGGTCTGTCTCTACAGTACACCCCCATCGCCATCGCCGCCAACATCTGGCACGTCCTCGACGTGGCGGCCAACTCCCCCGCCGACCAGGCCGCGCTGCTCCCGTACAGCGACTACATCCTGGGCAGCCCCGAGGGCGCCCTGCACGGGGAGGGTGCGCTCGGGGAGCTCGTGGAGGACTTCATCAGCCGCCCACTACGGCTATACGTCTACAACAACGAGTACAACGTGACGAGAGAGGTCACGATCCAGCCGAGCCGGGACTGGGGCGGCGAGGGCGCCCTGGGATGCGTCCTGGGATACGGCGCCCTGCACCGCCTGCCCGCCCCCCTCAGCGAGCCCGTGAGCGCCCCCGGGGAGACCATGTTCGACGGAGAGCCCAACGAGAAGGCCGGACCTGCCCTGTTCTCGCCGGTCGAGGCGGCGCCCCCAGGTGGTGGTGACTACCTGATTCCGGCGCAGATGGTCGAGTCCGCCCCCGTCAGCGCGCCGCCGCGTGGAGGGAAGAAGAAGGAGAAGCACGGGCACAATGCGAACCCGCTGATGGACGACTACTTCAAGGAGGAGGAGCAGAAGAGCCGGGAGCTGGACGGTACGCCCAAGGCTGCGACGGGCGCCCTCCCGCCGCCACCAAAGGCGGGCGGACCTCCCAAAGCTGCCGCAGCGAAGAGTGAGGACGAGAGCGAATGAGACATCACACAGCATAAGAAATCAACAAATCCCCTGACGATCTGCAAAGGAAAAAAAAACAAGTTTAAATTGGGCTTTCTCAGTTGGCCGGTCTTGCTTGCATCTCATGGTGACCAGCGTGTCCTCTTCTAAACGGTGTAAATGGAAGCGTTACTATATTGTACAATGTTCACTTTTTAAAAGCTCGGCCCTGGTTCCTTCGTGGCAATTGTAAATGCGTGTGTTCTGAAAACCCCTTCTCTGGGACTTCGGCATAGGCAGCTTAGTTGATGAAGTTGATGCAGAAGAAATGTAGAATCAAGCTGCAGACGATGAAATCGGCGAAGGACCTAGACGGGCAAGAGTGAGCAACATGGATTATAGGAGATTCGATGTGAGTGAGCATACCTTTCGGGTGAGACCTGGGGGAACTCTGATTTGTTCGCCTCGGTGGTTTGGATGCGCAATGAGACTGGTTTATTGGTGAGCACTGCTTTACCTTCTCAACCAAGTAGGGGGAGCATACTAGTAAGAACGAACTGGCCGACGGTAGCACCGAAACCTGAGAGGAAAGCATTGAAAGGCTATTGACACGTATTTATCAGCATTCGTGGTATGATCCAGAGGGGACTCCAGCTTCCCATGGGAAGATATGCGACGTACGTAATTGCCTGCTAGGACACAGTAGAGAAATTGGAGAGCACCGACGGCGGCGAGGAAGACGAGGAATACGTCGAGGAGCTTCGTGCGCTGGGGGGTTTCGTCGATGTAGTGGTTGTAGAGGTTGATGAGGACTTTGTCCCAGGGAGTGCTGGCCTCGCTCGCCTTGGGCTTGGTTGGGGCTGGCTTCACGACGGGGGCGGGCTCGACGGGTGCAAGCGCAGGCGCAGCAACAACGGGCGCTGCGTTGGCGGATTCTCTTGCGTTCTTCTTGGGAGCCATCTTATCGGGAGGTTCGACCGTGAGGTAGTGGGATTGGCGCCGTTCGGTGAGGTGATGCTCGAGGTTGGACAGAGAGTGTTCGGCGTGGTTTGGGACACGAAGCTTCAAGGAATATGGCAGGCCAGGTACTCGTATGCAGCTCCCCGTGGTTTACGTGAGAGGTACTCGCCATGTACCCCTGTGCTCGGCCAGTGGGGATTTCAACATCAACACCCTCGAGACACATGCCATATAAGCGAGGAAATGAAAGCTGTTCACGTAGCTATAAAGCTTTAAATGAAACTTATTATTCCAATGACTTCATTTATTGACATTTATATGATTTATATGGCAAAAAATTGATAAATGGTCTGTTTAAGAGCGTCATAGGCTTACGGAGCTTTTACAGACAGAAGTACTTAAAAGGTACAAAGAGAGATCTAGCGTCTGATAAGATAAGAGCTACGATCCACTCCAAATGCGTATGTCGTCAATTGCTCCGACTATATTGAGCACTTGAGGGCGCTGCGACGCTCGAGTTTGTAATATCGAGCTTAATAGTCCGACCCCTCACACCCTCGCCGACCAACCTCAATCATAGGACAGCGCCGGAATCAAAATGGTAACAACATCCCGGGATAGAAATTGGCCTAGGTTCCGGTAACACAGACTGACAATTACACGCAGGCTTCCGAACAGTACCTGCAGTTCTCTTCCTTCGTCCTGGCCGTTCTGACGGCTGGCGGAGGCACCATGGGTTATGTAAAGACCCGATCGCTTCCGTCCATCATTGCCGGCTGCTCGGTCGGATTCCTGTGTAAGTAAATGCCCGTCTCCCTCTCGACCGCTCTGCGGCGGGGCGTTTCACTCATACTGACGGACGGGGTACAGATGCGCTCGGTGGTTACCGGATCCAAAACCGCCAGCCGTACGGAGTTGAGATTAGCCTCCTCGCCTCTATGATTCTGGGCTGCGCATCGTTCCCTCGGGCCATCAAGTTGAGGAAGCCTGTGCCGGTCCTGCTCAGCGTCCTCTCCGCGTTTGGTCTCTTCACCTTTGGGGGCGCAGTGCTCCGAGCCCGGCAGTAGTCGGACTCCTCCATGATCGGTAGAACTTGTGTGGAGTTTGAATTAATACATTCAATTATGATACCAGGCCTAGAGAGCTATCCCGCCCTGCCCTTTTTCTCGATTCGTAGCCGCGTATAATTGAGTTTCCTTTCGAGCTTGGTCCCAATCGAGGAGTCGGGGCTGTCCGTTCTCCTCCCGCAAATGCGTGATAGTAATACAGTTGAGTACATGGTCATGCTAGTGTTCGTTCTCGAGTCTCTCGCCCCACGAGCATCGAGCCGTCGTTCCCATCCTTTCGGTTTATAACCCCAGCTCCTTCTGCGCCGCCTTCAGCTTGTCTCGCTTGGCCCGCGCGATCGCCCTGTTGTCCGCTTGCACCTTGGAGCGCTGCTCGCGCAGGCAGGCGTCGACAGCCTCCTTGGCCGAGTTGCAGCTTCCGACGGCCTTGTGCAGGAAGCCTCGGGCGTGGCACTCCTCCAGGGCGGTGATGACCTCGTCGCACGCTGTCGTGTTCAAGGTGATGTTAGCGGATGAATCGCACAAGAAGGAAGGGTACTGCGCCTGGATGCAGCGAGATGGAGGGAGAGAGGGCCGTACCCATGGCGTTCTTTGTGTGCAGATGAGGATGCATTTTGGGCGATTTGGACTGATCAATTGGCGGGTGCAAGATGTACAATCAGCTGTTGCATGTTCCGTTCAATCGATATTATAGACTGGGGCGAAATTGTTAGCCAGTGGATCTGCGCCGATTAGACATTCAGGTTGGCTTCTGGGTCCTGTGGCCTATCAGCCCGCTGAAGACTGCCCCTCCATATGCCACACCTAAATTCCGTACTCACATACCTCGCATCGGCGGACGGCAAAGGAGCACGCGCCTCATCCGAGTCGTCGAGATTCCATACCCATAGGCATATTTCCTCTCTTTTTTCTTCTCTCCATCGGCGAAGCCTAGCTGTGCGTAATGTCTTCCGCAGCCACCCAACAGGCCCAGCCTGCTCAGAAGGGCCCTCAAAGTTTGTCCCCCCGCCATGCCTCACTCCCTCTTCTTGAATGTGGACGAAGTACTCATGCAAAACAGCCGATCTTCAAAGTACCTACACCAACTACAAGAACACCCTCCAGCAGATCGCGCAAAGAATAGGCGATATCGAGCAGGAGGCTGAAGAACACAAGTTTGTCTCTCCTGCCCCTCCCTGACCAACTGCAAGCTTTCCCAGATTCGCCCTCTCCTTCATCCTGTCAGAATGCCTCTTTTATCCATATAAATATATTGTATATTATCTATATGTATATTCATATTCTTCATGTCTTTCACCGTCTTTTCTTTCTCAGCCGCAATCTTTACAAGGATTTCACTCTTCTACAAGGATTTCACCGCTCACATCGTTCTGAACCCTCTTCCTTTCTAGGCTTGTTCTTGAAACTCTAGAACCCCTCCCGGGGGACCGAAAATGCTTCCGTTTGATCAACGGCGTGCTTGTTGAGAGGACCGTCAAGGATGTTATACCAGCGGTCAAGACCAACCAAGAAGGCTTGAGACAGGTCCTTGATGACATGGTTAAGCAGTACAAGACAAAACAAGATGAGCTGGACAAGTGGAAGGTTTGTGCACACCCTCCGAACTTGGAATATGAGGGAGGGCAATATTGGACTAACAGTCAATGCTACAGAAAAAGAACAATGTACAGGTAGTCCGGCAGTGATGCAACAACGACCAGTTGGTCATCATGACGGGCAACGCCAGCATGCTGGGTTACGGGTGACAACCTTGGATGTTCCATTATTCCATGTCCTTTGGCTTTTGAAGATAGCTCCAGACGTGCTTCACCCCCGAGCATCAATCCCGGCTACACCCTTCTCTTCGTATGTATGAATAGTGATCCTCTGGGTCAATGGGTGGAAATATTCTGTTTCATGCAAATACTAAGCCATGAAGCGAGAAGGTTAGAGACTGAAAAAAAAGAGGACGCTGCTCTGGAAAATGACCCGCGCCGCAACCACACTGCAGCTAGTTGCCAGCGCATACCGTGGTCGTGGGGTAAATTTCTGCCCAATGAACCACGCTCCCTGGGACCATGATCTAGAACCTAAGCGTATCGGTGGAATAAAAAACTTACCCCCCGAGTTCCTGCCCGCGGACGTGCTAAATACCGAAAAGAGAGTGAGCGGTAGGGTGACGCATAATGCGTAGATCATCGTTGGTGCGTTTATAGGCTGCTTGCTTTTTGAGGCTTCAATGCAGACCAGAGAAAGATGGGTGTTTGCTTTTGTCGTGATGAGGCTTCCGTGTTTCGCACCTGATCTATTGAACTGTGTAGAAACCCAATTCTCGGGGCATTGGCCCAGGATGTGACAGGACCACATATGATGGCATAGGAGTTCAGCTGCATGTCAGAGGCCTTGACACCTGGCGCAATAAAAAAAAGCTCCGTAATGCTACCCTCCATGATACCATGTACTGGGTTGGGCGGCACGTAGACTTTTATTTCTCTCAGTGGACTGGGCGAACAGGCATTTGGTAAGCGCACTATCTACCCGCAGACAACCTCGTGTTGATCCCAAGTTCTCGGTTTCACTCCCCTCTCCCAGGGGAAGAGAACTCCTGGGAAAGTGGTGTCGTCGGGCTTCTCTCATTGGGCTGGCGGTATGCCGGAAGCTGCATGCCGTACATGAGCAGGTGAGAATCTAGGGCTGAAGTCAACTGAGTGGCTGACAGCATGCTTGGCTGGTGGACAGACGAAGAGTGGTCATGCAGCTTGAATGACCCGTCACTTCTGGAAATAGACTCAACTGGGTATCAATATGCCAATGAGGAGAGGTGGCCCCACGAAACATGGTCCGAGAGGGTCTGAACATTACACCTCTACCCAATGCCACGTGAAGGGGTGTTAAACAATTGGCCAAGTCATGCTGCTTTGGAGCCGCCTCGAGAGACCAGCGCGTTCCATGTGTCAGAATATGCAGGCGGGAGAGGAAGGCTTTGCATCCAGTATTGCTAAACCTTGGTAGCCTCGGGGAGTATTGGGGTCGAGAACAGGCCCATCGGGCTCACTACCCCCGCAGCCGGTTCTGGGTCCCAAACTCGCTCAAGAAAAGTAGCGAGAACTCTCCCGTCTCAATGGCTCGCACCACAAAATGAGTGGCTTGGCCTGCACATGCTGTGGTGGTGTCGCAACGGCTGTGATACCCAGTCGGTTGCTAGCCACACCACCAGGCCGGGGACAACAGCGTGTCCGAGACTGGGTATCAATATCGGACTCGTTGGTATCTTGTGACGTATGTTTTAGCCTGCTGATTGACACATTGCAATACATATCTCCCCACCTTGGAACAACGTGTGGGAAACATGGAACCCAAAAGAAGAGCAATGGATCATGAGCAGGCATGTAATACATAGTAGCAGACATGCGTGGGTGGGTGAGCGAGAGCTAACCTGACTTTGGCTAACCCATCGACCCGTTAGCACAGCCAATCGACACACCGCCTCTCCTACGATGAGCGCGGATGTCTAGAACGGCACGGTCGATGAAGCAGGATTTCGAATCGAGGGGATGCGTGCCAACGCTGTCAGATTGCTGGTATCCAGTGAGATATTCACTGCTTTGTTATTGCCTAGATGCAGTCAGATATCCGGCGGACCGTATATCAAATTATCAACACAATGTCGTTGATAACAAGCCGAGCATTTTGGGAGACATAATTCATGGGTAAGGTAGATAGATGCCTTAGCTGATACAACCATTGATGGAGGTATAGTCTAGCGCTGTTATGGCCCGAGGCTTCCATATTCATTATGTCTTCGCCCAAACCCAGGCAGGTTCGACTTACTGACTTTGGGTAGACAGGCAGGCATGCGTACCTGAACGTCCGCTTCAGGTAAGAGCAGCTTCAGGGGCCCAAGGCAGTGGGCACCCATCAATATGTACAGCCAACCATACTACATGGTTGCTTGGATGATGACATGTCTGTCTAATGTTTTTTTTATCCGCCTGGTTGTTGATTCTTGGAGCTTCTGGGAAGCACAGCTAGAATTGGATTTGGGCTCGGGGCCATTCCAGTATCCAGACCAAGCCCAGGAGGATGGAATGAACAGCGGCTGGACGGTGCGAAGGCTGCTGTAGCTACAGCACCTATTGATGCTGCTAGTGCTGGAAGCTGCACCCGGGTAGAGACTTAGAAGCATGCGCCTGCTGAGTGGGAAGAGAAGCGGTGCGAGCGGGACCCCACGTCTCTCCCACCCAATTCTCTCCACATGCCAAATCCATCCAACTACTGCTTCACCGGCCGGACGCGAAGTGATCCATCCTGACTTGACTTGCCTTGCCTTGCTCTCCCTACCCTGCCTCGCTCTTGGACAACTCAGACACCCTCACAAGCTCACGACGTCAGGCAGCGCAGCACTAACGTGCGCCAAGGGACCTTTACTCTTCTGACGCGATCTTGCAGCACGCCATTGACGAACGAGACCGGCGCGCGACCCCGTGTAACATCGCATCGCCGTCGCAACCAGTCCGTGCCTTGCCCTTCCCTTTACCGAGCAAGGGGAACGCCAGTCAAGGAGCCCAATCTCTCGACACACCCCCTCCGCGATAGACAGAGCCGATTCTCCATTCACATCAAGCCCATCTCCATCTCGACCGCTCCGCGGTACTGCACCACACGCGTTGCGCTTCGTCTGCGGGTCGTCCCACCCCTCCCCCCTCCCTCTTGGGCTGCTGCTGCTGCTGCGCGCGCTGCTGCCAACCCATCATCCCACAACGCCCGACTGCCTACCTACGCACCCCAGCTACGCGCCTAAAACAGGCGTCATAGTCTCCGAATCTGCGGGACAGGGATCAGCTCAATACCCAGCTGCTGGGCGGCATCGACTACCAGCTACAGGCTCAGGGTCTTCAGACGCTGCTTGCCTCGCCTCGCCCTGCGGAACGGCTCTAGAGGAAGCTACTTGGCCGCCCTTGCGACGTGGCCCACTGCGGCAACGCATCATCGCCAGCAAGGCTCAGCTGTACCGACCCGAGGATCATACATAGAGACGTTGGCAGCCGCTGCAGGTAGACAAACATGTCCGCTTCCTCCCAGTCTCCTCCCAAGGATGTCGAGCAAGGTGCACCGTCACCCGAGGACGAAGGACAAATGGACGCGCAAGACCCACAATCGGGAGGCCTTTCCTATGAGTTCGAAGGTGTAAAAGAGCAGGACAGATGGCTCCCCATAGCCAATGGTAGGTCCTCCCAACCCTAAGGCTGGATCGTGATTTGCTCGCTTCTGCACGCCATCCTCGCAGCCTCGCATAGGATGTCTCACGATTTGTCTAAGTCGCTTGACCCGCCTTGCGCCTCTAAATCGCCTGGCAAGATCGACGAGCTGGATGCTAACATTCGGAATTTTGGATTAGTCGCTCGAATCATGAAGAACGCCCTCCCTGATAATGCAAAAATTGCAAAGGAAGCCAAGGAGTGTATGCAGGAATGCGTCAGCGAGTTTATCTCCTTCATCACTAGTGAGGGTCAGTACCCAATTGTCTCCCATTCCCTGACCAAACAGTGTCATTGAGGTTTCTAACTGAGAACATTACCTGCAGCTTCTGAAAAATGCCAGCAGGAGAAGAGAAAGACTGTCAATGGCGAGGACATCTTGTTCGCTATGACTTCCCTAGGGTTTGAGAACTACGCCGAGGCCTTGAAGGTCTATTTGTCAAAATACCGTGAGGTAACTCTAACCTAATACAATCCGCGTGACTTTGGCCTCGCTTTCATTAACAACTCCCTTTAGCAACAAAATCAGACCAACCGAGACCGTGTCATTGAGAACCAGTCATGGGGAGGGCAAATGTCGGGTGAGGGTACTGTCGCCTCTGACGGCGCAGCTGCTGCCCCCGAAGGGTCAAACAACATTGAGGGAGGCGCTGATGTCAATTATCTGTATTCCGGTGCCCAAGCCGGCCACAACGGCGCCGGTGCAGGCGAAGGTTACTAGTTGGAAAGCACAGCTCCCCAGTCGACCATTATCGAAGGCACCTTATCATTTCTCAGCCTCAAAACACAACCAACCACCAATCCTCCCGAGCTTCTCGGCGACCAATTGGCTCAGTTCTGGACGCAGAAATTTTATTCTCCGAGAATCTTCTGTATATCCCTAGTTCTAACACGCTAAGCGGACCCGGTCGAGAGCTGATGAGGGACATGCTCTCTTATTCTTCATGCAAGAGGATCGGACAAGGCCTTTTTTTATCAGGCATATGGTTGAAGTCTTACTGATGGGGGGTATTAGATTTCTTTTGTGCGCGTGTTTGTGTGTATTCTTGGCTTGTTTCTTTTGCTTCAGTCTCTTGGTATATCTCTATCATCTTGGGAGCCTCCTGAGACAGGTATGATCCAAGATTAACAACAGTCAACCAGGACACCAGGGGCAGTGAGTGCCATGGATATGAATATAGTCTTGGGATGGAAAATTTATTATTTGGCCTTTTCCTTAAGTTAGGGTTTCTTGGGGTTTTTTATCAAAACTACGACTTTGGTGTCTAATGGTCCTTGGGTAGAAGAGGTGTGCGATATATTGTTAGGCTTTCACGTTCAACCTACACAAGGTTGTACAAAACTCTTGGTGTCTTTGGCGATGGTCCTTAACGGAAATTAGTGCAGATGTTTGTCCCCTAGTTGCTCTTGCATGGCGTCGTACATGCGTACAGACATATAGACGCAGTACGACGTGCAAGAGGTGGTATTATTGACTTGGGACTTTGTTCTGTTCCAACCACGGAGGCATCTGAGTAGCTCTTTTTCCGGAAGTAGATACGGGAGTTACTCAAAGAATAGTCTGCGGCCGGCCTTGTCTTGTGTAGCCATGGAAGGGTCCCACAGACAAACAGTCCCAGTTGTCGCTGCGGCGGCCTGGTGTTGAGGTACCGGTCAAGTGGGTGGCATTGGATTTAAGACATTCAAACAGTAGACTGCTTATTTTGTATGCCTGCGACTAATATTGCCAGATTATGGAGGGCTAAGGATGGATTTTCAAGAGATAACTTTTTACACATATCATTTAATACTGCTATAGCATTCCAATTATCGTAGAAAATGATCTGGTCATAACCACCTTCCAATCCCATGTCTCATTTTCCTCTCACCCACTTGCCTGGTGTTGAGATGCCTGTCCAGTTCCAACAGCCTTCAGCTACCCTAAGCCTCTCCTGCCGTCACCACGATGGTTACGAGGCACGTGCACTCTCCACAACTTTTTCTTCAGAGCTCCACTCTCGCCCGCCGCCCACCATCAATCAGCATCATCTCAAAGGAAAAAAAGTTACTCTGCTCTCCCGCATCTTGACGCAGTTCAAACCGTTTATCAACCCCCGCTTCACCAACTGCCAGACTGACATGTACAAACCCAACTGAGGATCCCCGCCCTCACTTGGACCCCTGGGCTCAGCTCTGTCTCACATTTTACTCATTGTGAACAGACAAGACCGATTATGACAACCAGGCTTTCGCACGCTTTGGCCCAACATACTTTTCAATCTATGATCACACCCTAGTTGTTAAAATATCATCAGCCCACCCCGCGCCTATCTAATAGTTCACTCACCATCTAAACTCGGTGCGCTTGGGCTGGTTAACCCCATGAGGCCATTCATGTCTTCAGCGAGGCCCATTGCCGGCCCTCCCAGGATAGCCACTCCTGTCAAATCGATTCTGAAACCATCATCGGTCCTTGGGAGGAGAAAGGCAGATGATGCTGGGCTTGACGATGAAGAAGCCGTAGTACCCAGTAGCCCGACCAAATACCGCCCGGCCAAATATCGCAAAGTCGACTTCGACATCGCTCGAAACACCACGCACGAGATTGGCAATAGGACCATGGAGGAGGTCAAGCGAGAAGTCAGGGAGGCACTTGAAGAGCATCGACGCGGAAACGACGGGCCGTACGACACCCTCAAGGAAATCTTCGGCGACGACAAACAACGATACCTCCCACCTGTTGTTGGTGAGGAGGATGATACCCTGAAACCTCAGGAGCTTCGGGCTTACGTTGTGGCGCTGACCAGCTGCATGCCCATCCTCAAGGAAAAGGAGTGCAATGGTCTGGTAAAGACGATCCTCAAATGTTCTTGGCTCGGCCGAGACGAGGAGTTCCTCAAGGTCTTCACCAGCTTCCTGGCCTCGTTGATCAGTGCCCAAGGCACTTACCTACTTCCTGTGCTGGCTATGATCGTTGACAAGTTCACAGCCACACGATCATCTACCTGGGATGTGCCGGACTTTCCTGAAGTCAGCCGCGACGTTGCGCGAGATAGACTGCACAAAGCCTTGCGGTATCTGCTGGAGATGTTCCCATCTGCCACTTCTGTCCTCGAGCACCAACTCGTCGCCAAATTTCCTTTCCCCGACGAGTCGTTGCGTGTTCACATGGCCTACATCGACAACCTGTTCCGGTTGAAGGAATATGCTCCCGATCTCAAAGAACCAATCTTAGATCTCATCCTAGATCGCATCGTTAAATTAGATTCCCAAATGCAGCTTGATTTAGAAGATATCGACGACGATATCACTGCCGCCGTCATGTTTGCCTTGCGGGAGCATAACAGACAAGAATCACAATGGGAGGATGATGACGATTTGGACGACAGCGACACTGAGTCGGTGGACATCGAGGATCCTGACTATGATCGCGAAGCCGCGAGGATCAAGATGGTCAAGGAGAATGTTGAGAAGATGGATGCCATGCTGGACACACTGTTCGCCTTCTACACACCTCTTATCGCGTTCAGCCCTGGGTCGGACAGAGCATACGATAACTTCACAATCATTCTTCGCGAGTTCGAACAACTGGTCCTCCCCACATACAAGTCCCGCCACACGCAGTTTCTTATTTTCCATTTTGCTCAAATGGACGCACGACTATCAGACGCCTTTTGCGGTCAAATGATCCAGGCAGCATCATCTAGAGATACCCCGAGCATCTTACGACAGGCCGCAGTTGCTTACCTAGCTAGCTTCGTTGCTCGTGGCGCAAACGTGCCCCGCGAATCCGTGCGTGAGATTTTCTCTCTCCTCATTGCGCATATGGACGAGTATCAGCGGAGGCATGAATCAATTTGCCGCGGCCCAGACCTCAGGCGTTTCTTCTTCTACTACAGTCTGGTGCAAGCCGCCATGTATATCTTCTGTTTTAGATGGCAGGACCTCGTCGAATCCGCCCCCGATTTCGTCGACCCCGAAGATCCGGCCTCCTACCTTGGTCATGAGTTGGACTGGACTGGATCCATTAGGCAGGGACTGTCCGTTCATATCTTTGGCAAGTTCAACCCCTTGAAGGTTTGCGCGCCCGTCATCGTGGAAGAGTTCGCAAAGCTTGCGCACCGCCTGCGGTTCATGTATGTCTATCCGCTAGTCGAGTCCAACAAACGCCTTCGACTCACCCAATACATGAACACCTACGCCACGGGCGGAGCTCTGAGAGATGCTGGCAATGAGACGAGCGACGAGTCCTCTCTCCAGCTAGACCCTTTCTTCCCCTTTGATCCATACCAGCTGCCTGTCAGTAAGAGGTGGCTCGAGGGTGATTACCTTCACTGGAGGGCAGTGCGTGGCTTGAACGAGGACGAAGAGGATGATGATAGTGACAACATGGATGATGATGAAGAACTAGAGAATTTCGACGAGGGCACCGCTACGGATAGCGATGGAGAAATCTAAAGGCGCAGGGATGTTTCAGTTCCACACTACCATGTGCGAACATTGATTGATGCCGGTATATACATTGGGGTTTGATTTATGTAATTTTTAAGCGAGGCGCTGGCAGGATATAAAAGTTTTGAGCGATTTCCAGTATATAGCTTCAATCTACTGCTTTCGGTATTGTCTTCTCGGGTCCCTTCTTGGCCTTCCCGCACGTACGAGTTTTCTCCGCGTCTATCAAACAAGTCGCAGTCCATCTTAATAATTGTGAAGGCAGCCGGCAGCACAGCAAGCTGGGCAAAATCGTACAGTATACACATGCTGCAACAAACCTCAACCAATGTAAAATCGATAGTTCACGCTGAAAGATCAATTACTCCAAGTCGAAACGGGAAAGTTGTCATATTATGATATATTCTCTACAGCGCCTTTACTATGGTGCGATCATCAAATAAATCCCTAAGCAAACCCCCCTCGCAGACCTCCCTGTCCAGCACGCCCATGGCGTACGTCGACTCAAAGGCCATGATGCTCAGCTGGCCGAAGAAGGGCTTCAGGATCTTAGCAATCAGCTCGTCCCGGCGCTCGATCGGGGTCTCGTCGTTGATGCCGCCGGGCCCGCCGATGAGCGGGCGCCGGTACGAGTTGGCGCCGAGGAGGGACCCCTCCTCGGCGGCTGGGGGGTTGGAGACCGTCACCATCGAGGTGGCGGCGCTGCCCAGTTTCTCGGAGAGCTCGTCGACCAGCGCCACGGGGGAGGAGTTGGTGTAGCGGTGGACCGCGTCGATGGTGTCGGTGATGAAGAGCCACTCGTGGAGCTGGAAGTCGTCGGGCCCCACGCAGATGAGGAGGTCCAGGAGCTTGCAGGCCTGGAGGACGACGAGGTGGGGGAAGGTCTCGCTGGTTGGGGTGTTTTCTGGGGCGGCGATGGAGGAGATGGCGACGTGCAGCTCTGCGTTGACGACGGGCCATATCATGGCCAGGTGGATTGGGCTGATTCTGAGGACGAGTGCTCGGATGACCATGTACACGTCTGCCCGTGTCGTTGACGAGGGCGAGGACGTCGATGTTGCTGCCAGAAGCTCTACCAGCTTGTCGAAGATGGTTGGAAGCTCTGTTACGAAGGTGTCTTCCGCAGACGCAAGGATTAATGTCGCGATACGCCGCAGGTTTACTTGAGTTCTACGATCTGCTTCCAGGCGAGCAGATGTCGCTCCCACGCCGAAGACAATACCGGCTGTAGTAGGGGGGGTGATGCGGCTGACGATTTCAGTGATCTTCTCCTTGTCGGTGAGAATCCACTGCTTCAGCAAGGGGATCCATCCGCCATGGACCAAGTCAAGGTGCATTCCGAAAAACCTAGAATCGTTCAGGGCGTCGCTAACATCCTTCTTCCATGTCTTTTGGTTGTTTTGTAGTCTTGATAATTCATGTAACAATGCCATGGTACTTTCTGAAACAGTGTCGGGAAAGGACTTCGAGCGGAACGTAGGTGCAATGATATTGGTGGATATAGCACCGGCGGCAGCCAACACACGATCTGGTTCTACCAGAATCTTTGGTAGGTTTGGCACGATGGAGGCTAGCCTCTGGACGACATCGGTAGCACCATCCCCAGCGCCGATAGCTGTACTCCGTCGAGATAGTTCTGATCGTGAGGATCGCTCAGATGCGCCATTAGATGATGAGGTAAACTCGGTGAATGTCATTGGGCGAGTGGTGAATAGGGCAGCAAGAAGCTTCAGAAACAAATCCTACACAACTAGATTAGTACTCAACCATGCGAAGGGCATGTTATCAAGTTCAATGGACGTCTAACTTACCCCGAGCTCTCTTCGCATCTTCTTCTGCTCGCCAAAATTGGTATTGTCTACCTTCTCACCCAAGATAGCTGTGAATTCAAGGAGACCTGGGAGATTCTGACGATGAGGGAATGGGTTGCTAAGCAGATCCTTGAGGAACACAATACAATCTTGCCAAATTTCGTCCATCGCATCATCGTCCAGAGAGCGCCCGTATTCAACAAGGAAGTAGACAAGGTCATGATCATCGATTGATATGGTCATGGTTGATTTTCGAGACGGCTCCAGAGCGGTTGGGTTGGTTCGGCTATAGATGGCGTTAAATAAGGCTGGAACTGCACGCCTGGGTCGAGCAGCTTCAAGTGCGGAGAGGAAGTTGAAGACTTCAGCCTTGCTATCAGGTCGACTTTTCTTCTTCCACACATCTATCACAGTCTCAAGACACTCCAAAGTCTCGGCGGTGAAAAGATGGTCTAGCAGCCGCCTTGCTCGGTTTCTCATCCTGAGAGACGTGTGCCTAAATGATGCTAGGGAACTCTCGTCTTGCTGCACTGCCTCCTCTCCCAGGCCCCACGACCATATATTATAGCACATTCGAGTCGCGTCTTGGAATGCCAAGTGCACAGTGAGTCTATTGTTGGCGGTTGCGCTGCGGGTGTGCTGGGCGTCTGACTGAAAGACACCAGAGATCATGCTCCCAAAGACCGACTGTGGCTGGTCAGGGCTTTTAACACTAAGAGCCCTCGCTTCCTCAGCCAACAGCTGGTCATGGGCCCTGGCAAGAACCTGTTCCAGGCCATTTAGGAGATAGATCAATGTAGATTCAGGTGCCACTGAATCTGTTCCCGGGGTATAAGAACCAGATTTGAAGGTATCTCGTAGGCTGGAAAATGTTGCATCAATTTGGCCGCACAATGTTTCAACAAGAGGTATCAAGATTTGGAAGATCGAATCCGTATAAAGGGGTAGACACTGGGCCAAGAATGACATCCAACTATCCAAAACTGGTCTGCTGCTCGGCGAACTAAGGGCGGCTCGAAGACATTTCAGTAGTTGCGGAGGGGGTGGCATAAGCGGTGGCTCTTCACGCTGAAGGGTTATGGACGGCCGATTCGGTCGTAATCCTTCTGCGACATCACTCGCCCTTTCATTTGGCGAGTTGATTGAGCCTTCCGGTATATAAGCATCGCGGATCTTGAGGGCTGCATCGATGACCTGAAGTAATAGGACCTGAGAGAAAGGATCGGCAGAGTCTATAGCCAAAGCCAGCCGGTCAATAAGAGGGTATTCGAGATGAAGGCTAGCAAGAGGCGCGGCATGGTAGCCTAGGAAGAACTGATGTAAGAGCCGTAGAGCAAAGCGCTGAAGCTCCGAGACACGGGCTTTTAGGTCGTTCCCTGCTGTCTCTTCGGTATCGCCCAGAATACACCTGAGGCACACGCGTACAAAGTAATCTTGCAATGTCAGATCGCCCTCTTCCGCTCCAGCTAGAAGAAAAGTCAGCAACAACAGTTCTGCTGGGAAAGATTTACGGGAGTAGTGTCGCTTACAACTGATGTGTAATGTAGAGCTTTGAAGTGCAATGTGCTTCGTCGCGAAAACTGACCATATAATGTCCCCGCCGCAACTGAGAACATTAGAGAGCGACCGCAGGTAGTAGAGACACAAATCGAGGTCGTCATCATCGGAAAAATTTGTCGAAACAGCCAGGGGTTTCTCGAGCTCTTCTTCAGCCAGCAGGTTTTCCAAAAAGCCAAGCTCGCTAAACTTAATCGCAAAAATTAAAAATAGCCTACGACCATTAGTTAGAAACGAAGAGCCCAAAGCATCAACGAGGGTTAGATAGGCATGAACTTACCTATCGATGCCAATCATGCTATTCAGCCACGATTTGGCGGTCATGTAAGACTTTGATCTCTCATCAAGCAAAGAGTCGAGCACCAGGAAAACCGGTCGAGTTAGCATAACCTCAAAATGATCCATGCCCGCTAGTCGAGGGATAACGTAATTGTCTATGACGGGCGTCTTCACGGGTGTCTTCCCTCCTCGTCTATCAGATGGGTTGTCTTGAAGAGTATGAGACCATAGGACGTTGAATACATGCATCTCGGCCGTAGAGCACGTAGATATGACCCCATGCGATCCATTTGATACCATCAAGGCAGCTAGTGTGGCCTCGATATTCCGATCAGACAACGTGAGCGAGGTTTGCAGTTGCCACAGGTTGCGGACGGCTTCGACATGAAACTTGGGATCCCCCGCTGCAAGATAGGTCCACGCATGCCTCACGAGCAATCTACTAAGCTTTGACAACTCCAAAGTGGATAGCCTTTCAGCACTGTGAAGCTCAGTGGCGAGTTGCACAATCGATGCGAACTCTGCGAATGATGGGGTATTCTTTTGCCCGAGCCGCTCCTGGAAGAAGCTCAAGAGCCGATCGACATTAACCTCATAGCTCGAAGGCATGTTTGCTAGAGCTAAAGATAGTATGCGTGCCGTAGGATCTACCGGGTGAAAATCGTCACAAATTAATTCTACTGTTTTTTGCAGTAGAATCGCCCCGATCTCTTGCGGCTCAAAGGGAGCTTTGACTGCCTCTAAATTGCCTTGCTCGCTGACATAGAATTTCTGTATCTTCTTCAGGAGATCAATGTTGGCGGGCGAGCTCGAGCTAAGGCGCTCTTTCTGGCTGATTTCCGGGAATGTGCGACTAGGTATAAGCTCTAGAAAAGAGATGGTGACGGAGAGTGCTTTCTCAGCGAGTTTATAGGAGTCGGGCGAGCTTCGATCTTGGTCCTTGGACCCCTCCAGCATTGATAACGCCGCCAGGCAGAACAATGGTGCATGTAAAGTCACCATTTCCTCTTCGTGTATGTTGAAATTTGTAAGTATGAAGTTGATGAGAGATAGCTTATCACACCGTTCCTTGAAACGGAGACTGCCTGGGCCAATGGCCTGAGCAAGTAGCCCAACAAGTTCGCCGTAGATCAAGCCGCTTTCGATACCGTCGAAGAAGACGCTGGCGCTCCGGAGGACTTCCGCAAACTCGGCCTTTGATGATGCTTGGGCTTTGAATTGGCGAACATTTTCTAAAACGGGCAGGAAAACCTCTGGAACAACCAGGCCGCCGATTTCCCATCTATCCATCAAGGACAGGCATATTCTGTATGGCTTAGCTCGATCTATGCTATTTCTGTTACCACCATCTTTGATCATGGATAGTAACGCTTGCGTCAAAGCCTGTAGGCCAAACTCTTCGAAATAACTTGTCCTCGAGTTGACATAGGGTGTTGGTGAGTTCGCGCCTGGTTCAGTTTGGTCGAATTCTGTAGTCGCCGGTTCTGGTCCCAAGAGCCAAGCCCATAGACGTCTGTTTAGACTCATGTCACGCCTCGTAACCACACCAACAGCAGCTTTTAGGAGGAGCTCTAGGTCGCCAGCCTTGACCTTTGATTGTAACACAGGTGAGTTAAGAGGGAGGTGGGATACCAGCAAATCCAAAAATCCGCGCTGAATGAGAAGCTGCTCGTCACATAGACCGCTTGCAAACGAGCGGATCAAGAGACCTGGCTCGGGGGAGGTGACGACACTAATTATCTTCTCATCTGACTGGCTTGGGGCGGCACTACCAGCCGGCAGTCCTCCCAGAGACGGCAAATACCTCGCGAGGTACGCGAGTGCACCTGGGCGGCGGCCATTGCTTGTGATGGACGCCAGAAAAAAGCATTGCCAAAAGTAGTCGTCCCCGGTAGCGTGGTGGTTGTCGAGAGGTTCGGAATCAGCTGGTCGAATAGCCTCCTTGAAACTGGACACCAATCGAAGCGTTCGCTCAAAGTCCTCCGAAGTCTCGTCCTCCAGTCCAGGCAACAACGCGAGGATAATTGATTTCATGGCTGGCCTAAGAGATCGAGGGTCGACCTCCAGAAAGTGCGTCTCCAAAAGATCCAGATAAGGGGAACGAACAGAGAGAGAGGCGAAGGAGAGAGTCGACACCAGTCCAGGGAGATAGAGTGGCAGGTCTCTTGTCAATCCATCGCGTCCAATCGTAGAAAAGACATAATTGTAAACTTCCAAGGTCTTTTGGTGCACGCCGGAGGGTAGGGACGGGTTGAGACATTGCGACAATCGTTTGGAAACGAGGGCTTTCGCAGGAATCGTTGTCGCAGAGCTTGGTCGAGCTTGAAGAGCCTGGTAGCGTCCACCATCAGTAAGATACGGTCGTCTGGGCTTAGATCCTTGGTCGAACTAACTTTTAACAGCTTGTTGAGGAATGATATGTAGTCTGCCCACTCCTCCAGTGCGGTTTCGAAGAGGGACAGTGCCCTGTCGACTCCGGCCGCATATCTTCGGTACGACTTGTCTTTCAAAAGGTGCTCTTCGGGTGCTCCTATGAAAGTCAAAATCAGATGCTCCTTGTTGGGCAGAGGGTCCGTAGCTCACCACCAAGCTGGCTTCTCCATTGTCGTGGGATCGGCGAGTCTCTGCCAGAGCTCTCGGGTGACACTGACCTGCGACCAGACACAGGATCAGGTGCCATATTCGCTCGCTTGGATTCCAGCCGGGCGGTCAGGGAACATAATGCGTCGGTCGCCGGCTGCAATGATCTAGGGAGGCGGCTCCGGGAAGCTGGGTCGCATCAAGAATGGCTGTGCCATCAAATTGCCATGTGCGCTTACAGTAAGGCTACGTTTCTTCTCAACGCGCACGCAGCAGTACGTCAGAGCAAGGTCCATGTGGCTTCGGCCGCCAGCGCCAGGGGGATGGGCTCTTGTAGCACTCGCCTGTGGGTTGCATTGCCCACTAAGTCGGTAGGTCAGACACCTAAATTGAGGCGTTGTTCAGAGCCCGTAGCCCCTCTCTGGTGGCAGCCTGGAGCTCTCCGATTGGCCGTGTCCCACTAAGTGAGGTCAGTCGAGCACTAGGAGGCACTATTAATCTGGAGGCTCTTCATGACCGACGTCCCTCCATCCCTCACTAGACCTCCATTCCACGCCCATTTTGAAAGTCTTCGCCAACACCGATCGGCGGACACTTGCGATTCGACTCGGAAACATGGCATGATGGTATTGGATGAGAGTCTGCCCTGATCCCCGGTGATAAGGGTCCCGTCGCGCCCGCCCAGCGACTGATCAGATCGAACCGACGAGCTTGAGATGCAACTGAGGGAAGAAGATGGGAGGGGAGACGGAACCACACGATGAGGACCAGCGTCCTCCTCCTCTACCACCTCGACCCGCACCCGCACCCGCCTCGCCGACAGATGCAAAGGCTCTGCAAGCAGAAGCCACTACAGCCGTGACTCCCCTGGAGATTCAGACACTCTCGTTCCCAGACGGTTCCCGGGGTACATTTTCGAGTCCTGGGATAGGATCAGTTGCGAGTCCCGTTGGCAGCGGCTTTTCGACCCCAAACCGTCGGCCTAGCACATCATATCTCCCTGAAGATGATGCAGTCAGCGTGACCAGCTTCGCGCCCACCCTGCGGCCTGCTGGCGATATCGCTAGCCTGCTCACCTCGGAGTTGCACAAGAGGAGTCCAGCATGGCATCTCCTCAGGACGCAGGCCAGCACCGTGCAGCCATTTGAGAGGTCTCCCAGGGGGGCTGGTGATCGCCTAGCCAGGTTCGAGCAAGAGTTCGACGCACTTCCAGAAGAGGGAGACGGTCAAGAGGATGATGAACGTCTGTCTGCTTGGAAATCCAAGCTTAAGCATTATTTGATTCTATCGTCGGCTGGAAAACCCATCTGGAGCCGCCATGGTGATCTCAGTCTCATCAACTCCTCGATAGGCGTCGTGCAAACAATCATTTCGTTTTATGAAGGGGCTAAGAACCCTCTTCAGGGGTTTACTGCGGGCAACACCCGGTTTATTATCTCTACCCAAGGTCCGCTCTACCTCGTCGCGATCACCAAGCTGGCAGAGAGTGATATGCAACTACGTTCACAGCTTGAAGCCCTATACATGCAGATTCTCTCGACGCTGACCTTACCAACTCTTACTCACATTTTCAAAAATCGCCCTTCGAGTGATTTACGCAAGCCACTGCAAGGCACCGAGTCGCTGCTGTCATCCCTCGCTGATAATTTCACAAAAGGCTCGCCTTCGTCGCTTCTGGGTGCTCTCGAATGCCTCAAGCTCCGAAAATCACAAAGAAATACTATTAACAATACTTTCCTGAAGCTCAGAACAGAAAAATTACTTTACGGTCTCATCGTGGCAGGAGGCAAGCTGGTCAGTGTCATCCGACCGCGCCGCCATTCTCTCCATCCAAGTGACTTGCAACTCATTTTCAATATGTTGTTCGAGTCCGATGGCATCAAAGCTGGTGGTGGTGAGAACTGGATACCATTGTGCCTCCCAGCATTCAACAATCGAGGCTACCTGTACATGTATGTGAGCTTCTTCGAAGACCCAACCTCCAACGAGGAACAGGAGACTTCAACGCCCGAGCCCAAGCCGAAATCATCCGAGGAAGAAATCGCCATGGTCCTCATTAGCGCAGACCGAGAAAGTTTCTTTGAACTGCAACAGATGCGAGACAAGGTCACCAAACAGCTGACCAAAAACGGCAGCCTCGCCATAATACAAAGCGCGGTGTCTGCTGGCCGTCCCAAGATTCCCGAAATTGCACCAGGAAGCCAAATCAGCCACTTCTTATTCAAGTCTCGCGCCAACGTACAGTTCTGCATGGGAACATTGGAGCCGTATTTTACGGAACCAATGACACGAAGAAGGTTAATGAGTGTGTACCATGAACTACATTCGTCGGTCCATGCCAAGAACTCGCGACTCAAGGTGTTACATTCAGTTGCTGAGGATGCTACATCACTGGCGTGGATTACACCGGCATTCGAGTTCTACTGCGTGGCTGGACCCAACCTCTCCAGGACTCTGATTACCCAAGGCGCCAATAAGATCATCCAGTGGACAAAGAAAGAGGAGGAGCGTTTGTTCATCATCGGTGGTGGTGTCTTTTAGACATGGCCGACTACATAGCTTCATCATCGGATATCCCTAGTTATACACATATAATATATCATACCATAGACAAGCACTCAACAGCCACACACCGCTGTAGACTCTACGATGTGAGGAAATTCATCACAGACTCTCAGCAAGCCGGCGGATAGAGCGATCCTCGACGGGCGAGCTGTCGAAAGTTACTCATCCAGAGCGCTTGCGTCTGACAACAATGACCGAAGCAACTGGCAAACGCAGTTTTGGCCAGATCAATTATTGGATATATCTTCCGCCGAGAAGTAGAAACGATGTGATATGGAAAGACAGTCCTAAATCTTAACCGAGCTGGTGCCTTCGGTTGGTGCAAGGCCGCGACTGCCTTGTCAATGCATTTGGACCACCTGCCACACTTGCGTTTTGTCAAAGCGGCAACGAAAACCGAATTAAGCGATCGGCCTCCAGGAAGGTGTTGCCTGCCTGATTTAAGGAAGGCAAGAAGGAGCAGGTGTCCGTGGATGGTGGAGTGATCAACAAACCATCTTGTGCCAACTCTCCTGCTTTCCTCCTTGCTACAGCTTCGCGTTTTCCCCCTCCAGCCCAACAAACATGAGAGTCTGCGACAATTTTTGGTGGTCTTTGGTACCTCGGAGTCATTAGCCCAATACAACGACTTGGGAGTGGCCATTTGCCTTTTATTTCTATCCACTAATAAGTGTTCCGGTCAACTTTCGCTTCAAGCATCATATTTACCTGAAAACTGACTCCTGGGCGACTATTTCTATGGCTCTGGACACAAAGATCCTATGGAACTTAATCACGTTCGGCAGAGATCGGCCAGCCATGGCTCTCTGCAGAGTAGTTTCAGAGGCCCGAATCGAGCAAGGAGTCAAACCAATCCTCGGCCAAGCTCGCAGCGTCGGCCACTGCGCTCTGTCAATGAAAACGCACATCTGCTACGTTCACCGGGGCCACTTGAAAGCATGCTAAAGACTACTACGGAGACTGGAGACATTGGAATTTTCACAATCGCACCGCAATCCTCCCGTGTGAGTGGCATGCCGTCCTGCCCACAACTGTCGACTGCAGCGGATGAGAATATTCCACGAACTCCTCATCGCAGGGATGCCGGGCACTATTCAGATGATAGGAAACGATTACCTTCCTCCTATAGGGATACAACATCCGAAATTCTCTCCTTGTATGGCTCCGATATCTTCCCTCCGTGCTCGAGATCTTTCTCCCCTTCAGTGGATGAAAGCCAACGGTCATATTCTTTGACAACTTGTAGTTCAAGACGGGCCCAATCGCAAAAGTCCTCGGCAACTCTCCAGAGTCAATCCAGTGCTGTGGCTCGACAGCGCCCACGGTCTCCATTTGGTTACCCAGCGCGATTAAAGAGATCCGATATGAGGCCTGCGTCACCCGCTCTGACTAAAAATGGAGTGGTTGACTACAGCAGAATGGTAGAGCTGGATCGAGTTTCCCATGTATTCATATGATTCCTTGATTCACTTCAACATAATTGCTGACAGGTTCGTAGAGAACTACCTACGGCTCCTACAGGTCAACATATGCTACTGAGCCGCGCCGCCCACTCCCATTTTCCCTTCATTCAGATGCCAACGGATCAACAATGTCGCTACCGTCGAGGTCCCCGGCGCCGCATCCGACGTGGTCAAGCCCTGCCCGCTCCAGGACGCCCAGCTCTCACCTTACGGTACCAGTCAATGTAGACGCTGACAGAAGGGGCTCCAACGTGCATACTGTCAGATCCGCCAGTCTAACCTCTATCGTTCAAATGTATGACAGTACTATGAAAACTGAGAGCTCAGGTTTCTATGGATCCTTCTATTATGACTACACCGAGGGGTTCGAAGAGGATATACCCCTAGTTGAAACTGCTCCCCCATTATGCCCCATTCCTCAAAGAGTCAAACAACTTCGAACCCCGGTGATCTTAAAAGACGAATTCGAGGATCATTTAGGAGAGATGGAGACGGCAACTCCTTCAAGTTGTAGGGGAGTAATAGATCAGTCGTTACCAGGTTTGTCATTCTCCTTTAAGGAAAGAGTGCCATGTAACTAACAGGACATATAAGACAACCAAGAGGGATCTAGTAGCCCAGATCCCGCGCCCTTAACCACAGGCGCCATTGATTCTCCCGAGGAAAGCTGCTCGATTCCCCATGATCTTCCTAGGATTGCAAAAGCAGACATTGGTCCCCCTCATTCAGCCGTTCTCGAAAAAGAGGGCTCAAAAGAGGAAGTGTCACCCCAAAAGAAAGAAATTGAAAAACCGGAGGCGCTTGATCGACCCGAACCCCAGGCTCCCAACATGTATTCAGAAACGAAAGTGACTATCATATCCAGGAAGGATGCAAATCAAGATTTGGGAGCTCAACTCAAGAACAGGGATCGGGGGCTCTGGCGGCGTTCCAAAACACTCCCCTCCATGTCCGAGTTACGGAAGCTCGCTGAGAAAAATCCCACTCCGGAGCCCAACTTCCGGAATCTCAGTGATCCCATTGAGCCTAAGCCTTCCGAGTTTGCCACGCTTCTCACGTCGTTAGATCGCCTAGGGAAAGCCGCTCTCCCTGACATCGAGGTCAATATTCAACATTCCAGCAACTCGGCAGGGAAAGAAGACGAACAGAGTAATGCGATTGAAAAGGATGGAAAGGCCACGGACAGTGTGGTTATCTCCGGAACGAGCAAGGAGGAAAAGGATTTTCAAAAAAGGCACCGTCGCAATTTGGCCGCTCTTCGAATCAGCACCACGGGGCTAAGTGGTATTGATTCTAAATCACACAACGTTCCTCGCGCCTCGGAAGAAATCCCGATTTTGTCTCCAGAACCAATATCTCCAGCTCGAGAACTACGGGTTAAGAACAGCATTCCACAATTAATGAAGGCTCTTCCTCCACTACCGGGGAGCACGTGTCTAAACTTGGCTGAAAATCAAGAGCATATGGTTGGCGCACCGCCAAACGACTCCTCTATTGACTCAAACATGCCCGGCGTTAAATTGACTTCGGTCAATTTCGGGATACCTCCTGCTCGCCATGCAAGTCCTCAAAAATTTAAGCTCAAGGTTAGAAAATCTCTTACTCAAGAGGCTGATTGCCAGGGTCAAACCCCAGCGCCGAGTTCAACAGATGGAATCCCACCTGCCCCGGCCAGCGCCTCACCAGGGAGGAAGAGGCTCAAAATCAAAATATCTCGAACTCACCTGGGGAAAGGCCTTGGAGGATGCCAGGGGACGGTTATCAGAAGCCCAGCATTGAAGCAGTGCAATTCTCTTGCAGATCTTGAGTACTCTTCACGAAGAGACATGTTCACCAAGCCGAATCACATGGTGGACCAGTCGGCAATGCATAAGCTGGAAGGAGCCAGACCAGTTTTGTCAAATCAAATTGATGATGATGACGTGTTGGCTTCGCCCCTCTGGGACGCTGGTGATCTGGGCACAAATTGTCTCGAAATCGCTAAAAGTCTCGAATTGAAAAGCCCCTCGCTCATCTCCCCCGTTAAAGAGATTCAGCCTGGAGAGACTCGAGGCATGTCTCCTCATGAGATCAAACCTCGCGAGCACGGCCTTCGGCAGAAAATATCGCTTTTCCACCTACGGCTCGGCAGCACTCCATCGAAAAAGTGCAAGAGAGCTCCAACCCCTCTCCCATTTTCATTACAGGAAATGTCCGGGTGCGCTCGGGGCATGACCATCGATCACCAAATGCTGAATCCGCCAAACGAAATTGTCTCGAAGCGATCAGGGCGAGTGGGCATCCGTGTCCGCAAATGGGCAAGAGGTGCGAAACGAGTTGTGCGTTCTTGTGTGAAGAAGAAGAAGTTGGATTCATAAATGCCATGGGATGTAAGGTCTTATATTGTCTTATTGAAGGTCATTCTGGGCCACCAGCCGTTGAACAGCTGCTGGCAAGCAATTTGGCTGGCAGCGAGCAGCTTTAATTAACGGTTTAATCACCATCTTTACTATTGGGATAGCCGTGATTCTTCATTTATTCTACATCCTAATGTCTATTTGAAGAAAGCTGAAGTACACTCACGGATGGCACCCTCAATCGAACGGCCTGCAGCGTATGCCACCATGCGGATGTTAAATTAATGGTGATTAAGTAGTACTTCTATATTTAATTAAAGTCCAAACTCTCTATCGTTGATTAATGGCAGGGCCGATACTCTGCCAAAAGTCACACCTGGCTCTCTCTATTTGAGTGACATTTTCCATCACGGGGTCTGGGAGCTGCAATACGAGCCTGCTCTGATTACCCGACCAAGGATGCCAGACCGGGGCTCCATCCATCCGTTGGACGTTGGGGTCAAGGAAACGGACGAAGCTCAACCAATAATGCATCACAAGTGAGACAGAACCAGCATTGTAGGTGAAGTAGCTCTCCTTTGGCCGAGAAGGGAGCATTTCCGGTGCCCAAACGGCCGGGGCCTCAGACACGTGGGGCACACCGAAGCCTTCTGCAACTGTTTCGTTATCCTCGACGTTATAACGGTAGGACCAAGTTGCGACATCCCCAGAATCACAGAGGGCATTAAGGATAGTACGGGTTGGGCAGATGAAGGTCCCTTCCCCGTACGCGCGGGAGAGCGAAGGGAAGTAGGAATCATGCAGGGGGAGGGGATCTTCCTTGGGATACAAGGTGATGAGTTCGTCTGTGTGTGACGAGTTGAGCTTGGGGAAGTTATCGACGAGAGAGCTGACCAGCTGGTCGGCAGAAGAGACGTCAGGGACAAAGGTGGATCCCTCTACGGATAGAGATTCACATGTCAGTTATCAGTGTGGCGGGCGGGAGCAAGCGCGGGATGAATGATCTCACCGTTTGTGACTGTGCCAAGCAATGCAGGGACCTTGTGGAATTTCCCCTGGGCGAACATCTCAGTGACGTGGTCCTGCAGAAACTCGCCATCGAGACATGGCGTCCAGTAGTAAAAGGGGTTCGAAGCCCTTCCGGGGAACGGGCTGGCGTCGTTGAGCTTCTGGAGGTCGTCTCTGCTCATGGACCTCAGGCAGTTCATTCGGTCGGCGGCATCTTGGCAGCCTGCCTGCTCCGCCGTGTGGTTGAACTGCCACTCAAGTTCGCTGACAGGGGGGTGGGCGGGCAGAAAGGTCGACTGCAAGATGGACCCTGCATAGAGCTTGTCGTCCCGGCCGCCATAAGCAGCCATGTGGAGGGCAACGGAGCCGGAGCCGGCTGATAAGCCTTGGATGACAACATGATCAGGGTCGCCTCCAAACTATGACGGCTTGTTAGGGAAGTAAGGATGGCTGAGCAAAGAGTAGACATACAGAAGCGATATGCTTTTGCACCCATTGGAGAAGGCAGCGCTGATCGAGAAGACCGGCGTTGAGGTTGCCGTCCTTGCGCACTTCTTCTCCGGCGAGAAACCCCCAGAGCCCGACGCGGTAGTTGAAAGATATGTAGACAATGTTGAGACCTGAAGCCTCAACCAGCTGCGAGCCGTTCCAGTTGGCGTTGGCGTTGTGTGTATAACCTAGTGCGACGGAGTAACATCAGTATAGGCTCAGGTTCCCATTGTCAATGCCTGCGAGCACAACTTAGAATGGGATATTTGGAGCATCCCTCACCGCCACCTTGTATAAAAACCATTACGGGCAGCTTCGTCTCTGCCGTGACATTGGACGGGCCCCAGATGTATGCGGTCAGGCAATCCTCATCAACCTCGTTCCCGGCTGTGTCACGTAGCCCGAGACAAACTGGGCCGAACTGTTTCAAATTATTGTGTCAGTCTTTTTCGATTCAAGTTAATTTTACTTTCATGTTTTACCGCCTGAGGCTGCGGTTGTGTTCGGGCTCCATGTTTGGGGTTTGTTTGTTCCTAACCCACCTCTTTTGCTTTCTGGATGCCTTCGGTCTGCTCCGGCTCGACGGGGGCCCGCCATCTGAGATCGCCGGTGGGTGGGCGGGCATACCGGATGCCAAGATATTGGCTCACACCGTTGCTGAGATATGTGCCGGCATATCTAGAGTAGCCAAGATCGACGACAGGGTTGTTGCTGGCGTCCGAGTCCTCTGGCTCCTCGCGCGCCGGCTGGCTGCCCGTGATGCCCATGGGGGAAGGAATGAGGAGGAAGACGAGCAGGAACAGCAGGGCGAGGAAGACGGCGAGGAAGAAGACGGGTGGGAGGTAGCGAGTCCATTTAGGCTGGGTCACGGCCGCCGCGGGCTGGTGCTCTGGATCAGCAATGTCTGGCTTTGGGGCGGCTTCACCCTCGCGGACGACGACGGGGACTGGCCCGGTTTTGGAGGTAACACATTGTGACGACATCCCATGGAGGGAGGAAGTCGGTCAGAGGAGCGAGGCGAGGGGGGATTGGCTGTCTGCCTCATAGGAAAACTGTGTATATACACCTGGATCTGCTATGTAGGAGCTATCTACGTTGGATCTCACATCATGGCATCTATCACGGGGGCCCCTTTTTTTTTTTCACTCCTCTGCTTCCTTTGCTTTGGGGTCTGATTCGTGTCGAATCCTGCATCAAGCATTGTTCCTTGTCGATGAACTTCCATAAGGGGAAAATAGCTGTGTCAAATTGTCAATGCGTGCAGGGCCCGGAGGGAAGTGGGTAAGGGCAGTGTGAAGAATCATGGGCCATGATCTCGGTAGTGGAGGGATAACCCGAACACAATCGGGCGTGGATCTAGGTAGTATGTAGTGATCAGCCGGGCGGGATGGGATAATAATTAGGTCGGGCTGGTGAACTGTTTCTGATGAACTGAATCATAGAAGGCTTGTGAGATGGGAGTACTCAGTCCAGCCGTGGCATCCGGATCAAGAAATCCACTACCGGGGTCGACCCGATCAGACAACAGGAGTCTGCGTGGTCGACAGGGAGCACGCTCATTTACCGATCCGATTGCACTGTCTCAAGATAAATGCAAGTGATATAGGCCAGCAGTGGTTGAAGGAAGACGTTGGCTGGCACGTCCGGATAGGCTCTGGCCCTTCCCCCGATCGGGGCAGGACCAAGTCCGGTCAGAAGCAGGGGCTGGTCCCAGGCCTGACGCACAACCTGGTGCTCCGTGCTCATCTCAACACGTAACCAGCTTGCGTCGGTAGGACCGCAATATCAAACCAGGTGCACCCACATACGGGATTATGTGCCGTGGGGTCGTGGCCGCCAGCGCTTACCTGAGTGGGCAGTGAAATACTAATATCAGAGGACTTTTGGGCATGGGACTTTGGCAATGCCGGCTGTGAGGTAAGATATGGCCAGATATCGCCTGCGGATCCCACCGTTACCACAAGCACTGCGGACGGCCCCAACCATCCATTCGATGCGATGGGATTGCAGCTGAAGGCCCTTAAGGAATAGAGCAGTTGGCAGCTCTAAGCCGGCCTCAGCCTCCCAGCAGAATCGAAGATACTCCCTTGCCTGACCTCGGCAGACCAAAGACCATTGGCCCCACTTAATCCCGTCTGCAGCCAACCACAGTGCCAGCCATTTATAGGATCAATTAACATGCACAGATGGAGATGCCTGGTTCTAAGATTGAGATCTACTTTCCACCGCGAGCACTCACCACTGTAATCAAAGTACCTGCCTATCCTGCATGTATCCATGTCCCGACGGCTCCACCCTGCCTGTCTTGGCCTGCAGCCACACGCGTTCCACCAACCAGAGACACGATCGAACAATTCCCCAACGACCAACCACTGGGGGCCATAATCATTTCGCCCAGGGTGGCTAACCCAAGTCGGATTTGGAAATGCCTGCCAATAGTGCTGGCTGAATCGGTCCCTCCCTCTCGTCTTCAGCCAAGTTTCTTGCCGTCCTGGTTTTGATCGTGTTTGACGACCCAACGGCAGCCGTATCGATTCCGACGACGACGCCAATCATCTCCATGCCGTGCTAATCGAGCCAAAGCATCCGTCCACTTCGTCTTGCCACTTCTAGACGCCCGGCGACCAACATATTCATCTTGCCTGGCTCCCATTCGCTCGCTGACTCGCCCAACCGCCAGCTTCCCCATCCCGAGAAAATACTACCTTGCCAACCAACAACCAACAGCTATATGACCATGAATACATAGGCTATCAACATCTATTTCGCTGAGAAGTTTCTCGCCCCTCTTTGTTCTCTCCTTAGGCTCATACACAACGGACGGACGCCATGTCGTCGGACATGGAAAAGCCGCCAATTCAGGCCGCCCCTTTCGACGAGCTTCCCGACGAGATCATTGAACAGTGAGTACAACTACACTCCCCTGCTCCCTCACCTGATGGAAACTGATGCTCTCTGCTCAACTTACAGAATCCTACTCGACACTGACTCTAATGGTTTCGCCTCCTTGATTCTTCTCAACCGAAAATGGCGGGCCGTCTCCCAGCGACCTCACCTGTACATACATCACTTGCGACAATGTCCATCCTTTGCTATCAGCCGGACGAAGCTCCCTCCTGGAAACGACAGCGACCTCCCGCGCTTGCGACGACTCTTTGCACAGCAGATAAAGCGCAACCTTTTTGATGCCTACCTCAGACCCCACCAAACCACCATCAAGCTCATCTCCAATTCCATCAGCTCCGCATCGTGTCCCGGTGGAGAGGGCATGCAATTCAGCACTTCGCCAAAGTCACAGCTTGTTCTCGCATACAACTCGTCACGAATTTACGTCATCGATGTGCGTGCGCCCAAGATTGAGATCAAACGCGAGTTCAAGACATTGCGCCGCCCCGTTGCGACATGCATCCTAGATGATGGAAGCCTTCTCGCCATTCTTTCGATGGAAATGCAGGTTGACCTGTACGACCTCAACCATACTCCGCCACGGCGGAAGCAGTCAATCATTCTCGACAACACGCCCCGGACGATAGCCTTGTCACCCTGCGGCTCTGTGTTGGCCGCTGCTTACGAGGGTGGAATCGAGGTGACATCCCTGAGTGCCAACGCCGGTCCCTCTGATAGGCGCTCTGTCAAATGCGATGCAGTAGATGCACTTGCATTTTCCTACGACGGCACCCAGATTCTCGGCACAACCGTCAACTCAGCAACTCCAAGCACCGTCATCCTCACGGCCCCCTATTACGATCCGGGCAGCCTCTTGCCTGAAAACGATACCAGCGCGTTGTGGACAACATCGATTTTATTTCCAAACTCGAGCCGCGACTGCACCCATTCGGTTCTCATCCAGGACGGCGGCGAAGATGAGGCCAGATGGACATTCGCATATGATAGGAGCTTTGAAACTTTCCGAGCTGTTCGCATCAATGATTTGCGCAACGGTACAACTTACTTCGTGGGTCCTGAGCCTAAGATAGGAACTCAAGGAAAGCTACTACCGAGCACCTTGTCAGGAGCTACATATTACGGCGAGATTGCTTCGGCCAGCTTCCACCATGGGGAGATTTGGGTATACGGAGTACCAGAGCGATTGGATGCATTGACAGAGGAAGAGGTCTCTACGCTAGACCTCACGCGCGGTAACGTTTCTCACGCATCTACATCGAGAGAACAGGATCCTGTCGTTGGTGACTCGGCTCCGCAGTGGAAACTCATGCGCGACCGGCAGAGAAATACTTTCAGATCAGGCGTCAAGGTTGACAATGTCCTTGGTGTAAGCTCTGTGAAGTGGATTGCAGAACATGGTGGCCACTCTCTGAAGGAACGTCTGATTGTTACAGCCACTGGAGTTTTAGGTCCCCGACTGGTCACTGAGGAGGAGGATCTTGATTTTGTCGACGGCGGTAGGATCAAGTTGATTGACTTCGACTACGGCCTTCAAGATGGAGCCGAAGAGGAAATCATTCTGGAAGTGGGAACCGATAAAGCAGAAGTTTTGGAAGAGGAGCACCGCGATATAGAGACCGAAGTCGCAATTGTGCGAAGGAGGACCCTCGTCCAAAAGCGAGGAAGCCGTTCAGCTCTTCTTCGCGCCGCAACAACTTCGTATCGGAGCTCCGAGGCGCCGCCGCCATTGCCTCAGACCGAGCCTACGGATGATGATGACCCCTTGATGCCCAGGAGAATCGGCCACAATCCTGCTGTCCAATCTTCTCCTCGCAATGACGCCCCTGAGGACCCCGATGTGGCCACCATCGAAGAACAAGAGGCGTTGGATGCTCCTTACGCACACTCAAGCCCGCGAACTGCCACCACTCTCCGGCGTGCTGCCACCGCCGCAGCAGTCAACAGAACTATGAATCCTCGTACCGCAGATGGACGTCCGATCTCGTATCGCCGTGCCGACGGGCGCCGAGAGCATCCCCATGAAAGTGACGCCGATAATTGGGTACCTCCACCACCACCTTATCAAAAGGAGGACCCTGGCGACCTTCCAGCCTTCTTGCGAGGCCCTGCTGTCCCACCTATGCCACCCTTACCATCGAACACAGTCGAATCCTATGCCAATATCCAGCGACGACCCTCGCATCATAGAACAGCTAGTGACTCAACCACTCTCAGTCGGCCTCGAATCGATCATCCGCCCCGTCCGAGATCCACTCCAGCGCCAGATCCAGATGACATTTATGATGCCACTCCACCAGCCTCACCTGGCATTCCCGCTCAATACTCCAGTACTATCGGAGCCAATCTAGAGAGACAAGCTTCGGTAAGCACCATGAGCTCGCCAGCAGATTCGCCATCATCACCTGTCCAGAACTCAAACATCCCCATCATAATTGCTCCTTCAGGAGACCAGGAAAGAGCGGATATGGGACACGGAACGCCGCTGCCAAGTTCCCAGGCGTGGTCAACAGGTCTCGGTATCGGGTCGAGCCAAAACCCTGTTCACAATGCCGCTACTGCTCCTCTGGTAGCACCTGTCCCGAGAATGGCAAATGCCGGCTTCTTGCCCAACTCGCCACCGACTTTGGCTACGAATCAGCCAGGATATGTCGATCCGAACACGGGACATAGTCATTGCCAGCGTCCAGTCAGCGTTGGTTTCCATGATCTCTACAACCCTAATCGGCCCGTCTTCTCCCCATATTTGGATCAACAGAGGCCCTCGACGTCCTGGAACAACGCAATGGATCAGCCTCTTATTGTTAGCACTCCGAAGGGTGTCTCGGGAGGGTTTGATATCCCCGAAACAGGGACGCCTAGCAGATGGGCGGAAACGACGATTGCAGCTCCCGTTCCCGTTCGCCCACGACCGCGCCAGGGTGGTTCGAACTCACAGGCCCCTGTACAGCGGCTGGAGTCTAGCGTTGCTCCTCGGGCTTCTTACCATGCACCACCACCACCAGCTCAGCGACAACAGTCGACTTTACGACCTTGGACTGGGTGGGGGCGATCACGTTCAATCTCCCCCGGCCAGGTTCCAGTAGGCGTCAGCCGACAGTCGAGCCGCGCAGAACGCAGCGCAGCCAAGAACATTAGGGATGCCAGAATGAAGGGGTGGAAGCCCAAGGCTCCGACAAAGCCCAAGAAGAAGAAGAAGAAGGATCACGATGCCGTCAGCAATGCTGGGTGGACTGACGTAACCACCGCCTCTGGATTCAAGGACAGGAGATGTACAGTGATGTAGGAAAGGACAAGGGTAGGAGGTGTTACCGCATACGGGCTGGTCAGATATCCTCTGTCAATCCTTGACCTTGTGTTTTTTTGTTTTTGTTTTTGTTATGGTTTTCAAGACTGGGTCTTCCAAAAGAATCATGTTCAGCGCTCGTTTTACGAAGGAGTTTTAGCAAATGGGTGGTGGTCTCGTACCTTCTTTTTGACGTTTTCTGTTCCCGCCTGATGTTTTTTTTCTCATTACTCCGCGGGAATTCTTCATCTTCATCTAGCCCATGAGCATATTATGACGGGCGGTAATTTTTGGATACCTAAGAAACATTTTTTCTATATTTTTACTCAGCACTTCTCATTTTCTCCTTCTAGGAAGACATTTGCTATAACTCGGGGCTGTCTTTCTCCATTCGTTCTACCATTTTTTCCCTCATTCTATTGGCAGGCCATCGATACATGACCAACATTTGATACCTCGGGCTCTAACGGAACAAGTCACATTCGTTCACACAGTAGGACATGCATATTATATTTTTATTTCACGGGGAGGGACTGGCTCATATGATGAATTTGAAATGATAAGATATCGACAGATAGTGGACATGAATTCATATTTGGTTCCATTAACTAAAACGAGAAGAACAAAGGGAAAATTCTAATAACAGTAAAAGGGCACGCTGACCTCCATTCCGATGATGCCCCCGGGTATGATGTATTAACATAAGAGGAATGGGTATATATAATCACTTTCGTGTTGACAAATGAGATGTTTAAACAATAACAGAACGTCAGTGGATTGTAAGATGCGCCTCCACGACCAGCGCTGAGGATCACTCGACGATGAACGGAGATCCAAGTGGTGTCGGTAGCTCGCCCTATATCCTCGGTGTTGTCCCGGGGACATAGGGCTTATCGCGGCCAACGCCTTTTAGGTCCGCCCTGTCCATGAGTTCTGTGAATGTGGTCTGTCGATTAAACTGGTCATCAACTGCGTTTGAATCTGCGAACACATTGATACATTCACCACTTGGCTGTCGGTGGATAGAGGTCCGCTGAGGCTTGAGGTACTGGCTGGATGCCTTCATTGTACGAATGGGCGCAAGGCGTGCACCCACCTGCCCCTGCCGAGGAGGGCTATCCTCGCAGAAAGAGGGGATCCTGGAGTTCGTACCCGCGTCCGAAGGGTTGGGGGAGTTGAAAGGATTTCGGATGGATCTGCGAGTGATTCGATCCTCGGAGATACACGGAATAGATTGACGATCAGTGCGTGGTGGTGTCGATGGCGGGCGGAGGATGAACTCGGTACGATAAGAGTTTGGTTGGACAATGGGATCGGAGATGATTGTAGAAAACCCTGAGCGGTCCGATCGTGGCTTCTCGCTGCTGGCCGAACCATTCTTTGCCCTTCGGCGTATACAAATCCAAACGATAAGGGCAACAACAGATAGAACGGCACCCCCAGCAACAACCCCCCCAATTATTGCCCCTAGATTTAGCTTAGACGTCTCGTCCTTTCCACCCGTAGCCTCGTCATTTGTGGCAGACGCTGTAGGCACCTGAGTGCTTGTTGCTGAGCCTCCTGTTGTTGAGGCACCTGTTGTAGAGGGCTGAGTTGTCGGCACGCTGGTTGACCTCGTTGTCGATGTCTTGGTGGAGGTTGAGGCAGAAGTCGTAGTTGAATGCCCTTTGGGAGGTTGTGATTGATCTTGGTCCTTCACACATTCGCTTCCCTCTGCTGAGCAAGAGTAACCAAAGGGGCAGCACATATCGCCACATTTTGGCAATGCTACGTCAAATACAGTGGTTTTCACTGGGGCGTCCGGGTGGTCCTCAGCATTCAGCGAATCGACGTTGCAGGTGATGGTTTGGATTTTGCTACAGTTGGAGGTGGAATCTTTTGGGCAGCAGAGGACTGTAGTATTTCCAGCAAGAGAGATGCAGGAGTTCCCATTTGAACAGCAGAAGGAGCTGTTCTCGCATCGGGATGCATTTGTGGGACAAGTGCTCTGGCGAGCGAAGAGCAAGTTGGCTGGAACAGCTGAAACCAGGGAAGCGCTCAGTGCTGAGAGAATGAGCACACGCAACGGCAGTGCCGGCAGCATTGGCAATTTAACCATGCCGTCCAATATAAAGCACTCGATATTGCTTCCGGAGTTTAAGATTCGGTATATGTAACTTTGGCAGCGGGATGCGGGTGTGTTGTAGATCTGATGGCTTATTCGGTCCGTGAGAAAATGAACGAGCGTAATAGGGATGGTTTATGAAAGAAAATGGCAAGTTGGGAATCGCTCCAGGCGATTGATAAAATGATTTTGTGTGTACCACTAGGCACAAGAAAGAGAGGGTTTTCCAAGAAAGTCCCCGGCTTGTTCTTGTTGAGAGTACTAACCGTTTTGTTTTAGAAGTTTTGCAATATGATAAAGAGACGTGCGGAAAGAATTAAGACAAAGACGCAGACATTCCAGAATGCCTGGGTCTGAAACGGTGTCTAGCACTGAGGAAGAAGTGAAGTGAAGTGAAGTGAGAGGAGAGAGGATGGGAAAGCGAGGACAAAGGAGAAGGCGAAGCGCTTGAATAGGTACAATAGGGCCCTGACGCAGGCACAGGCTGAACAGACGACTGGCGCCGGCGTATCGTCACGGCATTCTGCGGCCGACCAAGGCATCCACACATTCAGTCCCCACGGCACTTGTATCTCGGCCTGGGCGTCTCAGCATGGCCAGTCCACGGTCCACAAGAAGACAGCCATGGCCAAATTCACCGGCATCTGAAGTTGCGTTAGACGCCGAGCGATGGCAAACGATAGGCCAAGCGGCGGCCTGGTGGTCTCTGGGGCTCCGATTGGGTTCTAATTGCGGTTGGTTCGTCTCAGAGCAGACGCGCCGAGCAAGCGGGCACGCGCTGATTGGGCGAGGGCGACTCATTTGGCAATCCCCAAACAGGCTATGCACAAGCCCCATGTCCCCGTCACTGCCTGGAGCCGCTGGCCAAGCAAAGTGTGCAGGCAAGTTTTTCTCCATGACGTGCAAAATTTGATTTTGTCTTCAGTTCGCGGATATCGAGATGCTGCAAATGAAGTCCAACCCGGTTGGTGCCGAAATGGTTGGGAAAGAAGGAAAGAGCATCCCTATGAAACGAAAGAGGCAGGGCAGGAACCCACCTCGAACAAAGCTTGGGCAGGAGCTACCGCGCTGAGAGATAGTGAGGGTCAAGTACTAACACAGCTTAAACTTCAGTGCCTGTGCTCACACAATGCGAGCTGACAGCCCCAAACTTAGAACGTGGTAAGTCGCCACCCATGTCAACGGTCTACCCCCCTCAACGGTCCACCTTCCACATCCTAACCTCCCTATTTTCTGTATGTATAACTGCGTGATTTCTTATACAAATTTTATTCAATTCAATTAAAAATTATACTATTAGATTCGCTAATACCTGATATTTCCAAAGATAATATTCAATCAGCTATTCGTAAGGTATAAGCAGGTGCTTTACAGTGAAAAGCTGCAGCCCGATAGGGAATCTCTCGGATAACCCTATATATATATATAGAAGGTTGTAAAACGCAGCAACAGGAAGCAGAGACCCAGCAGTAGCTCTTAAAGGTCCAGGAAGCCTGTTTAATGAAATAGATCCTTATTCAAGATTTAATTAGGTTTCCTCCGACCTATATGAAGGTTAAGGATATTACTAAGTTCCTACTGTACGAACAGGGTAATCTTAACCCTATTAGAAGATATTAGATAGAGGGATTTTTATACTATAATCCGGAGGTTAGAACTCTCTAAGGTAAGAGAATTAACTTCCTATAAATTAATAGGGCTATAGTTAACTATATAAAGGATTTCTTTATACTTAAGTATATTCCTAATATTAAGAAGATCCCTCCTTATAATTATTAGAATATAGATAAAGCTAGTATTATAGAAGGTATTAGTAATAATAATCTGGTTCTTAGATTATCTTATAAGAACTAGGCAGCTAAGATATAGCTAGGAACTTATTATTAGACTATAATTATTAAGTATATTAGTATAATAGGAAGGTATTTTAAGCCTCTTATTATCTTTAAAGGAAAGACTGTTTAGTAATAGTAGTTTCCTAATAAATTAGATTATCTTAAGTAGTAGTATTTTATAGCTTCTAAGAAGGGGTAAACTTCTAATACTATTATATTAGTATAGCTTAGGGAGGTTTTTATCCTATTAATTAAACCTATAAATAATAGCTGGTATTTACTTATTATAGATAGCTATAAGAATTATAAGACTATTAAATTTATATAGGAATACTTCTAAAATAAGATCTAGCTTTTTTTCCTACCCTTATACTTATTATATATTTTATAGCTGCTTAACTTATCTATCTTTTCTACTCTTAAGCGAGCGTTTTATTACTATCTCTTAGAATAATAAATACAGATAGATTTATCGCTAATTAGTAAGATAACCTTCTTAAAGTATTATTACCTAGTCCAGCTAGCTATCTTAATAGTTAAAAATATCCTATCAGGCTGGAAAGTATCCGGACTTTAGCTAATAAATATTATAGTACTATTAATAAACCCTTATATACTTATACCTTAATATACCTTTAAAAATCAGCCCTTAATACCTCTAGTAATACCAGTAGCCGGATTAAAGAGGAAAGAAGCTATAATAACTACTCTAACAGGGAGTTAATAGCTATATAGCTTAATATATAATTTTATAGATAAGAAGGAGGTAGATCTAACTATCTAACTACTGTTCTATAAGATCTGCAAGGGCCTGGATAAACAGTAAATACAGTTATCTATCTTAAATACCGAAAATATACAGCTAAAGGAATTAAATAACCTCCTGCAGCTGAAGAAAAGATATACTATTTATCCGGATCCAAATAAATACTTTATCAAGATATCCAATATTATTAATATAAGGGAACAGTATAAGGGTTAATTAGATACTGAGATATCAGCTCAGGAAATTAAGACTTATATTTTTAAAGAGCTATACTTCACCTGGTAACTTAAATAGCTTTATTTTTAATATAAAAAAATAATTACACTGAGAAATACACATTTGAATTATATACTTCAATCGTTGAAGGTAGACCGTTAAGGGGGGTGGACCGTTGACATGGGTAGCGACTTAGGCGCTTGCCTCAGCAGAAGCCCCATTTTCAAGGACGGCGCCTAATTACCAGCCACTACGCCGACGAGCCGGAAAATGCCTAAGCACTGAGCTGACTTTCTGTGCCTGATCGCCAGTTGTTTTGGCGCCTTCATCTTAAGCTTAGCTTTGGTGCCACCGGGCAGCTTTAGGTGTCTTTGGGGGTAGCGACGGATCCTGGGCTGAAGCTTACCCAGCGTCTACCGGCTAGTGCACCAGAAATCGAATGATGGCTTGGAGCTTTCCGTGCCTAGCTCCCGGGGGCAAAGCAAGCCAAGCGGCGTCCAGGTCCAAGCTTGCGACATTTGCGTCATGGTCGAGTTATTCTAGCTTCTCCAACACCTATCCATGGAGTTCAGCTCCCTTCCTCAGATACTTCAAGCAGGACGCCTTCCTAGGTGGTCCCTGGGTAGGCCAGGATCCTCAAAACCTACCGACCGTGGAGGCCTCGGCCTTCCAAAAGTAGAACCTCATCGGTTGCTCCAGATCATGTGCCTCCAAAGGTCTGCTCAGGCAGAAACTCGGCGCTATCAAGATCCAATCCATCGCTGAGAATGTTACCTACCTATCTAACCCCAGTGCCGACATCCATCCGGGCTTCACCTACTCACTCAAGACAAACCGTGGCTGGCTAGATCCGGTCTGCTGACCACGGACTGCTTGCAACCAAACAAGGGGAAGCAGAAGAGGAACCACCAGCCTGACCTTGGCTTGGCTTGATTGACTTCTCTCCGCTCCTTTATTCATACACCCTCGAGTTTTTTCAGACGTATGTGAATTATTTCCTTACTGTGCTCCGGGTTCTCGTACCCCCTCAGGCCAGACTCCATGGAGAGCCGGTCCCACCGGGGCTTGCCTCACGCTCTCGTCCTCTCGTTCTATCTTCTCCCTGGCCGGTTTTTGCCTCACCGATTATTGGGCGGATAGTGAGCGAGCGCATATGTATACGCCCACATATCCAGCACAAGGGAAAGCAGAACTAAGCGAAACACCAGAGAGGTACAGGGGGCCGCAGGACGGAACAAGCCCACCGTACTACCCATACTGTCAAGTGGGTGACAGGAGAAATGAGACACCTAATAGAAAAGCGGTTATCAATCGACTACTTTTTGCAATAAATAGAGAAATCTAGGAGTATAAAAATAAAGAAAGTAACCGTATATACAGTATTATCTCTGAATTCATATTATTGGTACTTAATAATTTGACAATACCGGTCGCAGACTTAACAATAAGCAGCTTAATGATTGGGGTGCCTCAATTTCAATGTCACCCACTTGGCTGTCCACATCGCGAAGGTGTGAAAGAGACGGTCCAAGTTCCCCCAGCTCTAGACCTTTTTTCCTTTCTTTTCAGCAGACCGCACATGGGTCATGAATGCCTTACCCTTGCCACTGTCGTGGACACAACGAAACAGGGCTTCTTGAACTTCCGCCTCACTGTACGAGGCCACTAATCCCCTTGATCTAAGTGTTGAGTCAGAGCAAGTCCATAATTACCATCATTTTTTTTTTTACAATGTTCTATCCTCTGCAGTCGGTTCCCCGCTCCCCCGCATCCGCCAATACGGACCGATGCCCATTGTGAAGCATCCCCTGTGCCAGAACCTGTAGGGCTTGCTGGCCCATCGCACAGTGAGGCAAATACCAGAAAAAAAGGAACCAAGAGCTACGTGGACCTCAATTGCTGGTGATGCCGGCATCAAGCATGCAACCGCAACATCAGGGTGCTCCCATGGCGGCATTGCACGCGCTGATGATGCCGGAGACGGAAAGTTGAGACGAAAGCGAGCGAGGGAACAAGGGAGGAGACCTTCATCGGGTGCAGGAGACTTGTACAACGAAGTCGAGGGACCAGGCCTCACGGCGTTACACGTGTTCGTCAACCATCTTGATACAACACAAAGCGTATCATGGAACCAGCATGTATGAACAGACGGGATGCATCATCGTCACAAATAACTCCAATGTGAAATGTCGGAAACCGAGAATGAGCATATTAACGACAAGAATAGAACAAGCCCCCCATGCCCTCTGTAGACGGTCGCGACCTCGCCTAAGCACCGCCTGCAGTATGTATTGCATGCCGATGTAGTAGGCAACATGTATGGGCATACATATGCAGCATCACCCTCTACCGTTCCGCAGAATGTCATCCTACCTGGCTGCCTCTCTGTCCGTCCGCCAACCTCATGGCTGTACGTGTATATGCATGTAGGTAAGAGACGCATCTCCAACCTGCGCTGCGGTTGCATTCTCCAGGACCAGCCCTTGAGGGTTCCAGGTTGCGAATAGAGGACGGGTGGATGGGAAACGCGATGCTACCTTGCGGCATTCCCATCTCTCCCACATGCAATATTATACACTGTGTCGTCTTGGCTCCTCCCGAGATGCACTTCGCCCTGGGGCAAAGCGGCGGGAAATCCATCCGCACCACATACATACACACACGCACGAGCCCCTGATCCTATGTCTGAGCCCGGCATCCCTCCTCCATCCAGGATGAGTGCAGCGTCGCACGGCATCGGCCCATGATGGGGGCTGGGCCATCCCCCTTCCCGTACCTGTATGCACGTATGTATGTAGGCCTGCGTGGTGTGTGTTGCATTACCACCCTCAACCCAGCCCACCCACCCACGATCGCCCCGAAAAAGCATATGATTGATGTCCTCTGCTTACATAGTAACGCTGTCGTATTCACGGAGCTTCCAACCCAACTGTCCAGTAGTGGCTGCATTGCGTACACACTCTCCCACGCATTGCATCCCGCAGAATACACATCCTACGAACTCAGCACACCCACCCCAAACGAAGCTTGCTCCCCCCCCTTCCCTTTCCCTTCCCAATAGTCTTCTTGCATCTCTTAGATGCGTCCTAGTCACAGCTGAATCTCTTCCGTGCCTCCCACCCACACTTAATCGTCAGGGCGGGATAAAATAGGCCCTTTGGGGTTGGCTGACCGGTTAAGTGTCACCTGCATTGTCACGCTGCACTATGTAAGATTTGTTCGTATAACATTTTTTTTATTATCTTTCTGAGAAATGATGTGATGACATCTTTCATAAAAGCTACCTATGAATAATAATAAAAAAAAGGAACCTAGGAAAAAGACGCACAATTCTTGTGAATGGCGCCTTAGCCGATGGCTTTCCTCTCCCCCCAATCCAAGCCCGCCCTTTCCGTAAAGTTTTGCTCTATCCTGGAGCTTGCGCACTGCATGTTGCTCCCAGAGCTTTCGTTCTCTCGTTTCCCATCCCTCCCCCATTCCCAAAAATGCGCCAAGCCGTGATATCAAATCCGGTCCCGGAGCCCATTTGCACCCGGGACAGCTGGTCCATCCATTTCCTAGCCCCCGCCTCCTGGTAACACCGAATTGCGCCTATAAGAAAAAATAAATAATAAAAGAATTATCCCAATGCCTGCCTGGTAGTGTATAGTAGTAAGTTCTAAGTATAAGAACGTAAAAAAAGCCCAACCGGGGGGGTGTGCGTGCGGGCGGGATCAAGCCCGCCCGAGTATTTTCATGATTCATATCAAAAAGTGTGTTCCAAGTGTCGTGTCCTCTTCCTCCACATGCCTTGCGGCGTCCTCTAATGACCCATCCCAGTTGGTATCATATAGAATGTCAAGTAATAAAATAAAAAGTGTTGGTTGTTGGTTCACTCCCGAAGGGGGTGTGTGTAGGAGCGAACATGAGAAAAAGTGAGTGTTTGGGTAGTAGGAGCCTGCTCCGTCTTGCCACACAGGAATGCAAAAAGCGCCAGCATCAAGCCGACGAGTTGCATCGAGGAGGGAGCAGCAGTGCCGAGTGAAACTAGATGAGCAGGAAGTCCCATCCCCTTGACTGCATAACGTCCCGCCAGTGGACATGCAGGGGAGCTGCGTCCCCAGCGTTGGAGCCAGGGGTTGTTGCGGCTGATAGGGTGTCGTTCTGCAACCACACCTCGCGGAGGAGGGTGGCCATGCGGCCGAAGGAGCCACAGTTGGCGTTCTCGTTCAGCTGGGCGATGCGCTCCTCGAGGAGTGCGCGGAAAGAGCTGCCAGGGAGGCTGACAGATCCGCCAATGAGGTAGACCCAGACAACGCTGCGGTCAAAGCCGTGAGGTCCGGATGGGATGTTCTGGAGGACCTCGGCGAGCTTGTCGACCAGCCCCATGAGCGAGGGCTGGCTGGGGTTGAAGCCGGGAACCAGGCTGCACAGGTAGATTCTGGCAGCGAGGCGGAAAGCGGCGGTGATGTTCTTGGACAGCTGCTTGGGGGAGAGGGTGCCGTTGGCGTTGAAGGGGATCTGAACGGCGGTATCGCCCATCTCAGTGTAGCCAATCTGCTCGCCAAGGCAGGACACATGCTGGCAGAGAGTGAAGTCGTCCATGCCGGCCTTCTTGAGAGACTCGAGGCATGCGATTTCTGAGATCAGGTACATGACCCGGTCATCGCAGCCCATCAGCTCGCGGAGGCCGAGATGGGGGTTGACCTGCGAGAGGTGCTTCTCTCGGTAAGCATGTGCAAAGGTGGGGGAGACACCCTGCATGGTAGCGCCAAGGATGTCAATCCACGAAGTCATGGTCATGTTGAATGGAGTCTGCGCCATTTGCTCGGCCGGGTCCATGACCATGCGGGGCAGATCAAGCTTCTGGACAAGGTTGATGGCGGCTTGGAAATGCTGGTGCCATGCGATGTCCAAAAGGCCATCATCCAAGCGACCGACAACGGTCTGGAAAAAGATGAGTGCAAGGGTGGCTTCCAGGATCTGCTGGTGGTTCTCGTCCTTCTTGAGCGACTCGCACAGGGAGTAGATAGTAGCATAGCGGTGTCGCATGATGTCCTGGTCAATCTCCTCGCTGACAGCGTTGACCTGGCCCTTGAGGTGCTGGGCGGCAATGCTGAGGCAGCAGTGGAGATAGACCTTGTTGGATTGAATGGCAGGGAGGATGAGATCAGAGGCGACAGAGCCGTGTTGGTTTGACTCAAGAATGGGGAAGATGATGGGCAGCACATGCTGGATGAAATGGTCCAGAAGGCGCTGGTCGTTGTCATCAAGCTCAATCTTGATGTGTCGTGTGCCAGCGCTGGTGCCATGGGCAAAGTCAAAGAAGTTGGAGTTGAGGGACTCCTCTGACAGGGACTCCTTGCGCTCATGGTAGGTCGGCCGGGCCCAGTCACCAGTGGCTGGGTCGGAGACGAGCACGGTACCAGGCGGTGGGGGAGTGTGGTAGGTGCTGAAGGTTGAGATGTGAGACTCCTTCAAGGTAGGTACGTCATTCACGTACATTTGTCGCTCGGTCTTGACATCAATCTCATAAGGGGTGAACTGGCCACCGGGGTAGAGGAGCTCAGTGGGCAGCTGTGCGTTGTAGGCGGCGTACTCTCCGCTCTGAGGGCTGTGGAAGTCGAATCCGTGAGAGTAGCGGGAGTCGATGGAGGCGGATCTGTTGCGGTCCATTGGGTCGGTGTAAGTGGCTGATGTGGGCAAGGAGTGCGACAGGCCGGGAGGAGAGCTCATTGAGGTCTGGATAGCATGTGTCGACTTCTCAGCAAGCTTCTTCCTCTTGATGATGTGCTTGATGTCGTCCTTGTGCTTGCGGCGGAGGTCATTGTTTCCCCACCACATTGGTCGCTTGTATTCGCAGCAGAGGCCAAGGTTCTTGCAGGCAGTGCACATGGGAGAGCCCTCATCGCACTTCTTGCGTCGCAGTCTGCAAGTGTAGCACCCTATGCGACGAACGGCTTGTTAGTGACTGCGGGCTGGCTGTGTAAGTGGGAAGCAAACGTACCTGTTCGCGAACGGCGGTGCATCTGGGCTCGTGATTTGGTGTTTCCATTGCCAGCCTTGGAGGCCGACTTGGCCTTGGCAGACTGAGCAGCAGCCATATCAACGGTCGTTCCGGTTACTCTCATTGAGGTATTGTGGGAGAAGGTGGGCATGGTTGACATTTTGTAGCCTTGCGATACTCGACAGGACTCGAGTCCACTCCAGTGCGGGACTGGGGTACTGCTGGTGAAGTGAAGGGGGGGGGTGTGTCACGGTGCGACCTCGACAGAAAAGGTACTGTGAGATGTGCGTGGGTCGACAAGGGGCGGGAGATGGAGCCAGGGTCTGAGGGGTCCCAGTCAGAGGCACCGACTTGCAAGCCAAGAGAGACTAGGTGCAGATAGCAGGCGAGCTCTCAACAGTCCTGGGTCAACAGTGGCTGGAGAGAGACGGAGGAGTAATGAATTAAGAAATTAGCGTTTTGCCGGTGAGGAAGATGAGTCGTCGGCAGGAAATAGCGATGGGACTAATAGTTTGGAGGCGGCGGTCGTATCAAACGTCTTCGCTCGCGTTCGTTTGTTTTGGTTTTTTTTCGGTTTTATCAAGATGAAGAGTAGGGATAATTAAGTCGAGGCAAGACCGGCTTGCAGAAGGTTGTATGAAGAGAGGTGAGGAGGGGAAGAGGAGGAGGGAAAGGGGGATAAAAAGAGAATCCGACACTTGGTTGATGGGATGGAAGAGAAAGAGGGCTAAATTCGAGAAGGAGGTCTTAAGTCTTATAATTTGGTCGCTCTCCTCGAGGCCATCTCTCCCTCAATTGTCGTTTCTATTTTTGAATCCGGCTTCCAAGTGCCATGGCACTTGTGCAAGTCCTGCGCTTACAGAGGCCAATAGGAAGGCATCACAACATGTTTCCCGGTCTCCACCCTGGTGAACAAGAATGCAGAAGTGCATGCAGCCTATGGCCAGGGGGGGGCTGCACTAGAGTGGGAAGACCTGCAGAGAGTGGTTGTCTAGCAACTGAGGAGGTAGGGATAGATGCGCCCAACCCCCAGATGTGGAAAGGGCTGGGCTAGTGAGCTGATTGACGGCCAGCGAGGAGGGATGTGTTCATCCGACTCTCCTTCCAGAGAGCAAGTCGACCACCCGGCAACAGACAAGTGGTTTTGGCCATGTCCAGTCAACTCACTGCCAAAACATGGGGAAGTTCCCTTGACTGGTCCGGGTTGACTCTTCAGAAACTCAGGGCACTCGCGGCAATACAGCGGCGACTCTCAGCCAATATTGAGTGGTTCTGGCATTCAAAGGTGGGACGAGATGTGCGGAGAAGATGGGAAAGCGGTCACTCTGTGGTATCCCTGCTGCGGGCCTTTGCAGCGCTTCTGTGCAAGTGATTCGTACGCCGGCAAGATGCTGGCTGGGCTAGATTCGCAATGTGGGTGCAAGGATACATACGTCCCACGGCACGGCAGGTATTGTCCCTAAACGGCTAGACAAAGCTGCTTGAGTCCTCTCTGATGACAGTCATGGAGCAGATAGCATGCTCGGTAGGGACACGAAAATACATGACCGAGGAGACCGTAGTTGCGTGGGTGGGCACTTCAAGATTGCCAGCATTATGCCTGATCCAATGATAGGCCGGGGTGCCAGATGCAAAGAGAGGCGTTGCATAGTGGCCCTTGCATGAGCAAACAAGCTGCGAGAAGAAAACTCGATTCGTCAAGTAACTCAAATGCCTCATCAGACGATCATCTCTAGCGTCTGGCTTGGCGTATTGCAGCTCCTGCCCTCTTGCTTCCTGTTAGCCCGGCCGCTGATCACTCGAGCCGTCAAGGGCCGTGTCCAAGTTTTGCGGATAGATGTCGGGAGGCAAGAAGGGCCGCGACTGGACTGGAAGAACGAGGCTCATGACCAAGATGATCCAGGTTGCAAAATCCCTCCTCTGGGCTTCCTGTTCCCCTCCTTCCAGCCAGATCTGTCGGCATCCGAGAGGGGAGGGGGGGCCACCGCCGGTCACGATGGCCAGAAAAAGGAAATGGTCGGGTAGCTGCACAGAGTAACTGCGATGTACCCACCAAGTCAAGGTTCCTTCAGCCGACACATACGTATGCCCCAGCCCAGCCTCAGGCTCCCTCCCACTTGCCAGGCAGCACGCACCCCGAGCCTTGGTGTGCTATTTGGGCATGGTCGGTCAGCGACGACCCATAGGGAAAATGAGCGGCGCGGGAAGGTATCGATTAAGGCCGCTGATACGACCGGTAGGCGATGAGGGCATGGCATGGGTGCTCCACTGGTGCGGGAGAAGAAGGGAAGCGTGGTGGGTGTGGTGGCACTGGGCAGGCGAGAAGAGAGCTACAAGCCGGAGAGCGGGCAGCCACTAGCACCAGGCAGGTATCGACGGGCATGTCGGCAGAGTACGAGGGCTGTACATGGGCGAAACAGAGGTGAAGGAGGGAAGGAAAAGACGCATGAGCCGGCGCGGGGGGGAATCTAGCGACATGCCGCTTCTGCGACGTGATTGGCGGAATGCATGTGACAAGAAAGTTGTCTCGTGCATTAGCCGCTGGGGCCACGGGACCAACCGATTGTAGCGCCGGCACAAAGCAGGGATAGCGCTCCAAGCTGACAGGCTCTTCTGCAGCCCCATTGGCTGCAGCCCTCGACAGGGGCAATTTCTCCTTGCAGCCAATCAGCGCCCAGGACTGCCCTCTCCCACCCGAGTCAGGGCTCCAGAAATCTTATGCCGCAATATTGTGAGCAGTCATTTGCCTGCTTCGCCCAGGGCCAAGCGAGCGAGGAAAGAGGCCAATATTGCTTTGGGAAGCTTCTCAATTGAGGACGAGATTATGGCGCATGGGATTGGCACGGATGTTTACCTCGCAGCTGGTTGGTTGTCTTTTTCTGTATATCACTTGATGTGCTTTGATCTGTTTGTTTCTGGACTTTCATGGCATGGCGAATCTTCGTTTCTCGGGACACCCCCAGCATCTGGCCATTATTCCCCGAGCGGCTTTTCTCGACCAGAGTCCAGAAAGGGCCCCCATGTAGGCAGCCCTTGCGGGCGTTGGCGCGCCACCATGCGAACCTGGTGCCATAGTGGTCGAATTTAATCAATCGCCTAATGTTGACCCCATCGACCGAGATCACCTTAAGCACCTTCGGTGGCAGCGATCGGACTCGTTACCGAGTCATGTGGGAATACCTGCACCAGTTGGGCCGTTGACCATGTCGGCCTAGAGGGTCTGTGCTCTCTTCTAGTGTCCTGGATGTACACGCGGTAGCTAGTGCCAATCACGCAGTTAATTTAGCCCAGAAATGCCGGCGGGGGCAGAAATCAAAGTCCCTGATGGAGCGCCTGTGCCCCATACAAGCAGGGGACTTATGCTGCTTGTCCCCGTACGTCACATTGGCCATTGCAGCCTGCAGCTTAGGCGCTTGCGCTGTGACCTGTCAAACACGCATCGTGATCAGCTCCCCAAGCGCCAACCTGTTGGGCAAATATTGGTTTTTTGGCCTATTTTTAATTTAGCCCAGATGCAAACTAAGAGCACAACCAGTGTTGGTGCTCGCGTTGCTAATTTGGTCACATTTCGATCTTCACGTTGGTCCCTTCCAAGCGCCGGCGACGAACATCGTTCTGTTGCATGCAGATGCTGTGTACATCCATCCTACCTCTACATACAGCATTCGGACTAGCTGCTCTCCAACGAGCATGCCCCTCTCTGTATTCCGCGCAGCTATCACCGGCATGGCCCAGGTTCGTGACGACGTCGCTTGCCGCCCACGACGTTCCCCTCACAAACTAGCACAGTTCCGTTGCAGTCGAGCTCAGTCCAGGGCTCACCCGCATCAAACACCGATGCTATCCATACTTTCTCCAGAGTAGGGGTCAGAAGCTTATAAGTGAGCCTCGCCCGCTCATGGCACCGATGGTCCATCTCATCGAGATAATCCACCATGGATGGTTGGACCACCTTGCGAGCCGTACCCTCTCAGTTCCAAGCCGCGACCCTCGCGTATCAAGCCCAGCCTGCCCTGACTCACGCTCACAAATCCAGCCGTGCTTATTATTACCTATCAGTTACCTTTTAGCCCGTATACATATGCTCTACTAACATGGCGTATGCCCTACTGACATAGTGGGAGCACCTTAAAGCTCTAGCCAGTTTCATCAGCCTGGGTGTTCCCTGGTTCCCTCCACGACAGCAGCCGTACCATGCATGCAATCAATCAACGACAACCCCATCCACCTCCGCCCCATTAAACACACGTTTGGCGGCCTTCCAGGGCACGCACGGATGATTCTGGGCCTCGTGCGCACGGCGTTAAGCTTTCAACTTGCAGGAATGTCCTCTCGAGCCGGCGCCGCCAGCCGTCTTCATCAAAACCTACGTCCGACTCGCGGCTCGTTGTTCCACGCCCCAAACCCGACCACGACTCCGTCGTCGCACCAGCACCCGGACAGTCGCACGGCATATTTTAGAAAGGTCTGTGCAGCTTGCATCAGCGTGCATTACACATGCACACGGACACACGCACCTCGCACACGCACGGCATGGTGCGTTATGAACGGGCCAACTTCCCCAGGTCAGCTCAGGTTCAGGGCCAGGCACACACACACATTCGCACTAAACTACTGGTGTGGTTGCCCAACCACCATCCCATCCACATGCACGATGCGCCACAGCGGCCGTGAATCTAGAACTTGGTGCGGGCGATAATCTCACTATCACGCTCAATCACATCACATCTGGAGATCGGGCCTGACTTGTTCCTGAGCCTCACCCATCTCGAAACCCCCCCCCCCCCTCCGACCCCGAGCCCTTCCCCGACTGGTCGAGATGCATTGCCGTAACGTTTGATTTTCTGTAGATGCTCGCCCATCGCTCAAGTGGAGCGAATCTTTTGTTCTTGTGCAAGCATTGCTTCTCTTGACAAGACATACATACATGCGCCCCTCATCGAGTGATACCTCATCGAGTTTTGATAGACCTGCCCCTGGTTCTTGTGTGTCTGTTTTTCCTTAGATCCAGCCCCTCTGAATAAATGTTTATGCGAGTGAATATGCGTGTGTGCAAGTAAGTAACGACATGTGCATGTGCTCTGTAAAATTTTCAATTCCCTGTACTTTCAAATCCCCCCAGACCCTGGCCCAGGAAAATATGATATCTCC